ATTTCTTTTTTGGCCTGTCTTGTTCGATTAACTATTTGTCCATGTCCCACAGCCCCCCGGTGACTGCCTTGGGGTCTCTCGTGGGGACCTTGTCGCGCAACGAGCATGTTTCCGTCGTCCCAAATCCCGCGGTGGTAACGAAGACAATTGTGCCAGAAAAAACTGCAATTAGGCTCCCTGCTCTCGTCGTGCCGTCCTACGTTGAATTTGAGAGCAAGAAATAATAGAACGGCATATTAGATTCTCTGTATACGAAGTATATGGCACTACGGAGTACAATTGCCATGCTAGTCCTATTTTTTTTTTTTTTTTTTTTTTTTTTTTTTTGCTACCTCTCAGTCGGGCCTCTTCCATTTTTGAGACATCGCACAGCTCTCTCCACGAGTTCGGTTCTCTTTGCATGACTACCGCTACTCCGGACAAGGTAGTTCCAGTCGCCTGGGACGGTCCTGCTCTCCCCCGTGCTCCGTACCAAGTTAGATCATACGATCCATGGCCAGAACAGCCTCCACCTCCCCCTTTATGTAGTGAAGGGTGTCTATTCCCTTGAGCCGCTCATCTCTCCAGCGTTCCATGCCAGAAGGACCTTATTCACCCTGACAACCGTTCTAAATTTGTTCAAGGCCCAACGGCTAAAATGGGATCTCAAATTCGCGCAGCAATGAGAGTGTCAAGCATGAGAGATTTCTCTCCGAGTACGGAGTACTTGGGAGCCTGCAACCACACCTGGCTGTGCGCTATCCTTTCCTCAGTCCGGCTAGGGCCAACTTTATCAGTATTAGTTCAAGCTTGAGGAGAAACCCCTACCTCAACTCTCTCTCAATCTTTCCAGATTACTTACTGTCCACTATGACTCTGTCACGGGGTCCTCTGGTGAAAAAGCCTGCACATGCTCCATAGATAAAGGGAAAAAAAAAAAAATAAAAATATTCAGGAGACAGGGCCAACACAAGGTTGTATCCATACCATGCCTGTCACAAACCCAAAACGTGACTCTTGCTAAGGAGTGTCGCAAGGACAGTGTCACCCTCCTGGGCTACATTGCTGGGAGAAGGGATATGTTTTTTAATGAGAATTTTCAAACTCCACTAGCCATGTGAGCTTGATTTGAAATACACAAAGATCTTCATTCTACAACTCTCTGTGCCCCAAGCATACTTGGAAGAATCTGTGTCATCAGACAAGTATCCAAACAGTGAGCATCATTATGGCAGGGAATTCCAAGCAGACATAGGTTTTATGGCTTTCATCCCTGATGAGACCCTTAAGTTTCAGGAAATGGAGCAATAACCTAAAAGGGAACACCCACTGATATCCCATGTCCTTTTCTGTTGGAATGAAAATATGACATGGGAGAGAAAGAGACCTTGAAGAGCTGATGATGATCGTCGGGCTCTCATCAAACAAGAATTTATGTTGGAATACCCACACCACAACAAACCAACGGCCAGGCCAGCCTTTGTCCCGAAGGACGGAATTGACACGGAATGACATGCGGTTTGCAGGTCTCTCCGACTCCCCTCCAAGGATCATCATCCTTGCCATCATGTCGGCAACAACACCAGCAGCCTGACTATCAGGGGTCACAAGTGGTTAGGGACCCCTTGCAACAGCTTCACACCGAACAGTCGTGTGAAGGTGCCATGAGAGGTTGTCACTCTACCTCGGCCAAAGTTGATAAAGGACAATTCCTTGTTTTCACTGTTAAGCTACTCCAGACTCCAAGACCATGTTCGCGTTTGCGTGTCGATCAAAGCATGACAAGGCAGTGCTGTCAATCAGAATAGCAATGCCTGTCCGGACTGTCATCCAAAGAGAAAAGGTCGAGCAGCTTTCTGTGTTGAGACCCTGGGAAACTGATCGTTTACATCCCGGATCCTTGTCTGAAAATTTGTTCCTTGCCCTTTTGCACAAGAAAAGAAAAAAGGAGAGAGTGACTAGAAATCATGGAATTTGTTCAAATCAACAGAGAGTCCATGGAGAGCTAGAGGGCTCCAAACAAGATATTCACATGCGTGAAATAATTGAGTTAATAAGAAATTATAATGTGAATGCTTTCAAGCCAACCTTCCTTCTCGGCTCCCTTCACCCAGAAAAGATGCGCACAATATCTGTCGTCAAAAATCCAATTGAAATGCGTTCCGATGCCGCGGTGTGACTCGAATGGCAAGCAGCTCTGTCCTGCAGCGCTCATTCATCCAATTCAATGACAGAACAAAATTTTCAATTCTTTCAGCTCCGCAGAAAAATGATTTACTGATCCGCTTGCAGACAATCCACAACCTGTCTGAAAATGATTAAAGGGGGCATATTGTTTTTCTTTTCGACACGTCGATTTCTGGGCATATTCTAAATGTGCCGTCACCCGGATAGAGAAGAAAGCTAAGTTATTGGAGGGGGCGGATAAGCGGCAATCATATCGGTCCGGCCTCAAATAATTCTTCAGCGAACCATTTATTGCTGTCCACGGCGCTCCGTCTTGTCTCGAATACTTCGCACCAATGAGCTTGTTTGGCTATTCACACACGACACGGGGAAGAAACCCGTCAACTGTTGGATCTGCAAAGGCGAGGCGGTTTGACTGCGATGAAGCTGAGGCGAAAATCAATGTCTTGTACCCCCTTATGGTTGACTACGCAAATATTCGAAGAGTAGGAAACAAAATGGTAACTTTCCGCGAGTTGCTGCCTTACAAAACGCTGAGGTTGCAGAGGAATGTCAAAGCCAAGCAAGCGTCTGATTTTGGGCACTTGATGATTGGCACTCAGTCACACAGTCCCCATCTGATGATGTCTTTTGTTCTTCTAGACCATTCATTTGCGATGGCATTCGGGATACCCCCGGAAAATCCGCCCCGGAGGCAGCTAGAGTGTATGCTGCCATTACACGATCGTTAAGGGAAAGGCCGTTATGTCTAGCGCCAACAGCCAATACAATGACCTAATGGTGGAATGGGAGAAGATAAGATTTCGATAGGGTAAACTTTTGACCCGAGCAGCTACGCCCCCAGCAGCGAACATCAAGAAATATTCACGCGCAATCTGCGCAGATAAAATGCGCCCGCTTCAAACACTCCGTGTTTTCCATCTTGGTAAATTCCTGCCTTGGCCCAGAGGCTTCTATCGACGCAGCCCGGCACCGTCGCGGCGTTTGGCGCAATTTCATATGATTATTGCTAGGTTTTTCTAAACTTGAGAGGATCATGCCCGCGCAATGCCGGAAAGGGTAATTTTCATGTGGAGTGTACAACAGCGCGACAGTACATTGAGCAGCAATGGTGAGAACTTTCCGTTGAGGAGTGGGAGTTGGATTTGGGAGAGGCTGCTCATATCGACAAAATATGTACAACGGGGATGTAAAGGGGAAATCCATGGGCATTTGTCAACGGACGAAAACGCCATTGTCCCGAAGAGAAAGAGAACTAGAGTGTGCTTCCTTCGCCGGGTCGAAGGTGGTATTTGATGTTGAATCTCTGGGCTGATGACGCCTGTGATTCAACCTTTTCTCCTGGTTTGTTTAGAGGACTAGACAGATGACAATTCATTTCTGCACGCAGCAGTTTGCGCATGCTGTTGAACTTAACCTTGAGTGACATGGCTTCAGCTTTTGGCTGTAAGTTTAAGGCTTCCATGGCACCACCATTCTATAAGCCCGGGCTTTGGCTGATTGATAGGGGAAACCCACCTCATCAGCAACAGAGTGAGCGCGATGGACGTTGTTTGCATCGTCACGTCCTCTCTACAAACCTGTAGTGCATATTCCGGGCGCCTGCAAGCAAATGAAGTTTGGTAGCTATCTGGGGCGGCGGAGATCTTTGCGAGATACAAGAGCAGCTTATCAGGATATTTATCGCCACTTGGCTCAAGGGATGAGACGCACGAGGCAATATTCACGTCATCCAGTCTCCAGAAGCAGGCAAATACATGTCAAAATGGAGAGAACTCGCAGTCCGTTAAAGCAAAAAGAAGCAAATAAGAAATAGAACCAAATTAGAGAAGAAACAATTTAGCAACGGGAAAAGGAACCAAAAAAAAAGAAAAAGGAGGGAAAAAAAAAAAAGTCAACTTTTGAGAAAGCGACACCGCTGAGATTCGAACTCAGGCCCCCGAAGGGATCAGCTGTCGAAGATCATTCGATTCTAGGCTGACGCGATAACCACTCCGCCACAGTGCCCTGACGCCTCAAAGACCGGGGACCAGGCCCTTTCAGCACCATATCGTGAGTTTCGCGCAGAGCCGCTTCGGCTGGCGTTCTGAGAATCTGCACTGCCAAACCACGGTTGCAGCGAAGCTTGGTCAGGATAAAGTCGCAGCCCATGCCGCCTGCATCCATGGACTGCAGCCATTTTGTCAAGCGAAGGATTCGAGAGCGCACCTTTATCCGCTTTGGGCCATCAAGGTGGGGAGCAGTTTCGTCCTACTTTTTGCGAGCCACATAACTTCTAGTTCAGCAATGAGTTGCTGCTTTCAAGGCGGGAGGCGCTGGCACGAATTAAAGAGCAGCATCATCCAGACATTCTGACTGCTGAATTCAACACATCCATCCTCCTAGCCTGCTTCACAAAGTCTTTGTTTCAGTCACACGTTTTGCCTACAGCGCTGGCGCTGTAGTCCCGCCAATCAAACCGTGGCGCGAGATGTTGGGAGCTCGCCTAAAAATACCACCACCCAGGCAGCACGAGGTAACCCTTCACGCCGTTGGTCATTAGCTGCCCTTAGGTCCCAAGCATCCATGGGGCTTCAATTTATTCGAGGTTAGAATGCACTAGAGCCGGGGTCATTGCTTTCCCCCTTCATTCATCCGGACTTTCTTCCAAAAGAAAAATTTATTCATTTGAAAGACATCCTTCTGTCGCTCGTTTTTCCACACTTCATACTTCTCTGTCGCTCGCTTTCTTGTTTGTTGAATTCTGATCTAAATATCTTCGTCCTACCCCTCTCGAGAGTCGTTTTGCAAAGTCTTCCAAAGCAGCAGGGTCCGCACCACACCAGTCATTCATCATGGTCACTCAGCCCGAGCCTTCCCACGCTCCTGCAAACCCCTCTCTCCAACCCGCGCCCTCAAATCCGCACCCAGACACGATCACTTTCACCGTCAATTCTCGCACGTTGTCGATGGATGAAAAGGCAGTCAATGTTCCGGCCTCTGCTTTGAACCCTGTCTCGGTTAGACCCGTCCAGCGGAAGATCAACACTTCGATCGGCATTACCATCGCCCAGGGCGCCATCTTTGTTTCGGGTATAATTTCCGCCGCTCTGCTGGGTTCCAGCATAACAAAAGAGCAAAATGCCAACATTCGGGGTTACTACAGCGGTTTGGCGTTTGTTCCGATTGCTCCAGTGCGTTTTTACACTTCCCGATGTCTTTCACCCTCGCGTCGTGCTGTTACTCTATGATATTTACATGCGACGTTTGGACTAACCCAATGATGTTTACTTAAAATACGGCAGGTGTGCCTCAGCGCGTTTTGGGCTCTTGTAGCGCTGGGAATATCTCGTGGACTCAGAACACCTGTCCATCCGGCATTCTACGTTGCTTTTGATCTTCTTCTCTGGCTCACCATCCTCGGAATCTCGATATGCATCGTCATCCTCCTTGGAAGCCAGGACGGGTATGCCTGCAGCTACAACTACCGGAGGTATCGTCCCGAGCGAGGATGCCGTAGCGTCTTGATCGAGTCATGGAAGATGCAGATGGCTGCAAATGCGCTTGCTATCTTCAACGGGTAAGTTTTGCATTGAGGCTGATTATGCTAGTGGTCACATACTCTTTTTGAAAGCAATTCCTGACCATGTTCAAACCACTTTTAGGCTCGCTCATTTTGGCATCTTTGTCTGGGGCTGCAGGATGGTTCACAAGGTGAACAAAATGATGAAATTCGAAGTGACCATCAATCTGAATGGCTTCAATAACGGCGGAGTTGTTGCACCAGCTGCTCCGGCCGTCTACGCTTGAGTAACCCCGTGACAAAGCATACATACCATACCTTGTCCGAATTTAGAAATTAATGCTTATGTTCGATATGAAGGTCATAGCCGGGCCATTTGTCAAGATGCGGTGTGCCGAGACAGGAGGCAGCTGAAAAAGCTTCTTCACCTCATGGACTATATATAATATTCATGATATTTAATTTCCATTCACCTGGCACATTTTTGCTTGCTCGTATATAGTATCAATGCAATTGTATTCGCTAATTGTGCATAATTTGTACTGGACATACATGGAAGGGGAAGCTGATGCTGCTATGATCTCAACATCCATCCTATGTATACAACATTCCATTCACCCCCTAAATTCACATATTCAATATTTTTCCTTTGTTAAAGTATACTCTGTATTCCACTCAAAAGCACCGAAAGTTCAAGCGTTCCCGCATAGCTCAGTACTGCACTCAGATTATATCATTATTCTAGAGGCAATGCGAGAGATCCACATCACAGCCATGGCCAACCAAACGCATTGTTTCCAAGCAGTCCAAAAGAAGAATCGGCAATTGCTCATGTGCACTCTGTTTCGTAGCCAACTTGGCGAAGGGGTATTTGACAAACCGGAAAAAGAACCACAATAGTACAATGAAATCAACTCAGAAACACACAAGAAAAGAAATCCATCCATGATCAAAAAAGATATTACAGCTGAAAAGCAAAAAGCCTTGCGCATCTCACAAACCAAGAACAGGGACAGATTTGAACCAGACCAAGAAAGATTATACCCAATCAATCAATTAAGTTTACCGTTTTTCCCCTTAATTTTCAGCGATGTGCGATTCACAAATCTCCTCTCACCCATATCATGAAACAATTGCCCGGTTCCCATAATAAGATCAGAGAGAAGAGGCAGAATAAATTCGTTGAAGCATCAGTCTCACGCCATCAGGCTCATTTTATCGGCAAAAACTCAGATATATCTGACTGAGCCAGGAAATTATTAGAAAAAGGGTTAAAATGTATGTTTAACTCATGAAAGCAAGGAAAAGGGAATACTGCAGGAGACCAGACATTATTTTTATGTATGGCAATCAATGAATAAGAAAGGAACAGGGAGAAAAGAAAAAAGAGAAAGAGAGAAAAGGAATGAAATGCTCGGATGATTCAAAATTCGAGAGCGGGAAATCGCGGCTTAGAGCAAGGGCGTTACGGTCACATATTAGAAAATTATGATTTTCGTTTAAACTCATTGCTGAAATTAATTTCCGTTGGCCATTCGAGGAACTGGCTTTCTTTTGGAATTGTCTGTGACTTTCGGTATCCGGGGTACACCCTGGATCATTCGGGGCTCTTTCATGTAGTTTGGATCAAGTTTCGCAGGCACTATGGTCAACGTTAGCTTCCAACAAACTGGACGAAAACATTCTCGGTAGTGCTAACCTCTAGTGACCACACTCTTCCAGTCTCCGGATGCTGCCATCTCTCGTCGACTGCTGGGCGGAAAAGATGAAGCGCTTGCGGACCGCCAAAGGTGATTTGATGTATCTGACAAGAAATCGGTCGTCATTCTTCCAGAGAATATCGATGACCTGCCACGATTTCGCTTGGAGAGGATAATTTCATCGAAAATGACAATCCTAGGGTTTTTCGATTTGGAATCAACTCTTTCGCGCTCACCGATGAACTCATTGAATCCTAAAGACAGCAAATTAGAAATTTAGCATGGAAATGTAGCTTGCGATCAAATAGGCTAACCTTGTGTCTGCTGGAGCACAGCCATGTACTCTGCATGCTCATGCGGAAGACTCTTCAAAAACGCATCCATCTGGAAACTGTATGTCATTCCCGCCTTCTTCTTGTCTCCAGTCGCAGGGCGCATAAATTTCTTATAAGTATAGAGGAGGCTGGCAAAACATCGAACGAAGGCGGCTCGAATTTGATCCGGGTGGAAAGCTACCGTGCACACCAGGCAAATTTGCGAAGCACAGCGACCATGGACAATAATCTTGCAGCCAGAGCATCTATACATCGCATCTTCAGCCTTCTCATCGCAGATGGAACAAATTGATTTGTCATCGATTTGCTGCAATTGCAAACAATGGCCTTCTATCAACGTGCTACCAACGGGGTTTTTCATGGGCTGCTGGAATGCCTGAGGCATGATGGTCGAGGCGGCAATCGTAGACTGAGCATATACCGATGGTGCATACACTGACGTACTGGCGTCTGTGTTTAGAGTTGTGACAGACAGGTTGGAAGAATGACCCAGGAAAGGAACACTTGGCCTCCTTGGTATTCCGGCTCGTCGGTCAATGGCCATTGAGGAACTTCTACGGGATACTGCATCAAAATGGCCGGACCTTTTTTCACGCAGTGATGCTTGAAGAGCAAATCCAGAGTCGTTCCTTGAAATTGGGGTTAATGGTAAAGGAGGAAATTTGCTCGAAGTAGGTGATGTTTTAGGGGAAGGTGGTGTGCTCGCTTTGCACGTGGAGCCGGTAGCTGGGCGATCTTGGCTTCTCGGGAAGGATACATCGTTTCGAGCGTTGAGGAAGACGTTAAAAATAGGGGGTGGTGCCGTGACATATGGATCTTGACCAAAGGAACCAGAATTCAGATTGACATACTTTGCAAGCTGAGTCGAGGCTGCTTTGGAAGAGTAGATAGATGGTATCTCTGCAGGCATGGCATCGAAGGGATATGCCTCAATGGCATAAGCGGGGGGACCCGGTTTTACACCGAATCGATAGAGCGGAGCCGCAAGTTGAAGCAGAGACTGTAGTTTTCGACGTTGATGACGAGGGAGAGGTGTTGGCCTTTGTGTGCTCTCAATGACATCTTGGTCAAGATCCACAAGGACAAAATCATCGGATGGGAGCTCCAAATTCTCATATCGTCGTTCAACACCTACGATATATGGGCACGGAGCTTCGAGTGCTTGCAAGAGACGTGCAGGGAGGACCGGGATAAAAACGCCGGTCCACTGGAAGGGGAAAAGGAGCTCTGTGATAGCTCTACTAACGAGATTTAACATGGCGATATGGGAGGAGAGGAGGATAATTCGTGATTCGGCAAGTACATACTAAATCGCGGTTAGCGTATACGAAGCGGCTTACTTCTGAATCAGGGCGAACTTACTTCAAAGAGGATGATTATGTTGGAAATGGAGAGCGATCGGAAAAGCGGGTAAAGATCCGTCTATAGAGGTTAGGGCTCTAGACGATGGAATATGGGACAGATTATAACGTACGTTACGTGAACTTGGCAATTCGTTATCTGCCTCTTTGCGAGCAAACAAACGTAATTCTCGAACTGCGATTTCCACCTGGGTTTTTGATGATAGAGGGCTAAACGCCTCCATGCAAAGGTTGACAACATATCTTTCCAAAGGCTGCCATCTTCCAACCCTCGGTGAAGTAGGAGGAACTCTGAGAATGGCTCCGTCCATCATGGGAATAACGACGGACCTCAACCATTCTTTCCAAAAGGTCGTCATTGAGGGATCTCTTCCAAGAATTCCGTATGCACGTGGAATCCAGAAGCCGGTATCACCATCGGTCAACCCATCTATTTTTGACGCGGCACCATGGCGGACTGGGCGTAGTAAGTCGGCCATCAACCCAATCTTCTCTTCCACGGCACTGATTTCGTCCTCCAGCTCCTCTCTTGCAGCGGAACCAGAAGGGACAGTCGGAAGTTGGGCAAGCAGCCTAGATAGCTTTGCTCGCTCCAATCCCAATCTCTCACCCAGGCTCGCCGCAAGTTCGCGTTCCTCTTCTGTCATGTTATCTCGTCTCCATTCTTCACATCTTTTTTCGAGTTCGTCAGCTGCTCTGTGGCTGAGTGGAATCCAGATGGTGACACAAACACCGTGAATCTTAGATCCATCACCGCCGGTCATCGCGAAGCCATGCCACGTAGATCGCGGCCGCTGATCCGAAGAGACAATATGGATATCATTTGGAAATGCGAACATCGGCACGTAGTCTGGAAACTTCCCCCTTCGATGGCCCTCATCAGGTGCTCCTTTGGGCGGGTATCTATCAAGGAGGACCGGTTCAAATCTGCGTTTAAGAGGATGCATGTTCGGGGACATTTCTAGAGGCTGAGGGGTTGGAATCACTGAATTGTAGTTGCTTAGGCGTCGCGACGTTCGTATGGAAGCTATGGCGACAAAAAGTAAGGTCCTCACAGTTAGCAGAACCGAGGCAATAAAACAATGGATAATATAAACCGATTGATGGGACACTTACATTGGCGAGCTAGGGACGGCTGTCTTTTCATGCTGCTCATATCTCGAAAGGACATGTGCCTTCGCACGCTTCCAATGCTAGATTTCAAAGGGTTGGGGCTTATATCCTCGGCCACTATTTTCTGCGTCTTTGGTCTAGGCTTTGTAGGCTTAGGCACAACAGCTCCAGCAGTCAGGCTAAGGTCAGTTAGAAAAGAGTCTCTTTCAGCGGCAAACTTCAGTAATGCTTTATCGAAGTCTACGTCGTTGAGAAAAGAAGTTCCGTTAGAAGAGCCCTTGATGGTCATACTGCTTCGATTGCTATGTGAGGCGTTATTCGACTCCTTGAAGTCCACTGTCAAAGACTGGAAAGACAGTCTTCTGTCATCTGCGGGCTTGAACGATAGACGCTGGGACGAGTTTCGCTTTGAGGACGGCAGGGAAGAGTCAGCAGCCAGAGCATCTTCTTCCTCTTCTGCATCTGCATCTTCTTCAATTGTATCTGCCATAGGTCTCGGCTGAGAACGAGTGTTATTGTATTCCTCCCCTAGCTTCAAGAATATGTCAACTATCTCCGAGCCATCAACACCAGCAATCCAGAAAAAGTCAGCGAGAGGGGCTGAGTGCGCGTCGACAGATGATGCAGGCGCCATGGTGTTCTGTGATACGGTGCCTTGGGGGAGAGTGCGTATTCTGGGAGCACCGAAAAAAAAAAAGAGAGCGTTGGCGAATGAGATGTGGGATCCCCGCACTACCAGCTCATAGCATCGAAGGAGCTAGAAAAGGAGTGGCCAGCTCATCTGGTGGAGGGAGGATTCGGTGAAACGGCCGAAGGGTCCCGGGGAAGGGAGAGATCGTTCTGAGACGGCGGACAGGACAACGATGGTCACAGAGGCGGGAAGTTCAGATAACGATTGCGACCGGCGGCCTGACCCTAGTAATATGTTTTAGCAGCTGCAGAAAACGGTGCATTGCACACCCACCGCCGCATGGTGAGAATGCTACTGTTAGGGGGTGGCTGACCCGCTTCTGCGCTTGTTGCAGTAGTCGTTTGGTTAGCTTTTCCGGTGTGGTGCTCCGTAGCTTGTTGGAGTCAAGGCTCAACGCTTGGAGCTGGTTGGTGGCCCCTCTTTCGGGTGTTCGCTTTGCGTCCCAATAGTGATCCTACAGCGCCAGAGGATGTCGGCCAATTGCGCAAGTGACAGAATGCAGGTCGGTTCCAGAGAAAAGCACTGGAAGATATGGAGAAGGAAGCAAAAATAAATTTAAGTATAAAAAAATGAAAATAAAAATGAAAATAAAAATGAAGATGAAGATGAAAATAAAAAAATATCAGTTGTGATATTTGTTAGATTTCAGATCCATGCCGCACAGACGTTTCACCAGGCCCCAAAACTTTTTGTGTCCTCCGGGACAATTAACGAGCGGATTATACCAGGCATTCACAGATGGGATGATGTTCTTGAAAGGGCAGCAGTGAATGGTGCTTTGTCGGCTGCAGCGTCAGTCCAAGCAGAAATATCTATACCCAGGCACAATGATTATTTACTCCTGGTCTCCAGAGTACAGGCATTGTCAAAGGCAGCTTTAATGCTAACTACGGGGACAGGGGCTATCACTCTGTCCCCAGAGATTTTCAACTTTCGTTACCCGAGGACACAATATATCCTTAATTGCTCAATAGCAATCAGAGCTTCAGGCAAGGTACTTTGGAAGGCTCAGACACAAACACATACTCCATACACGCAGCCATTCTGTTCTTTGCTTTGGCAACCTACGCGGCCGCATGCTTTGAAGGTGGCTCATATTCTCAGTCGTCAACCCGGAGACTGAGAACAAGACATCGGGGCCTCCAGGGCCCAATCCAACCGCGGCAGGGATGCGTTTTTCGTTTATCGAGTTGGAGTGGAGACGCTGTGGACGATCCCCCCTTCATGGGTCATGGATCCACGTACTTCAGTACAACGTCGAAAGGACGCTTTGGCGCGGAGTGTCCCATCAGCGCATCACTGGCTGGGAGTGTTTCTCTCCGCGCGACAACCAAAGTTTTCTGGTCAATCACCGCGTCGTACTGTCTTCGATCGTCGTCCCGCCTCACGCTGCGTACGTACTATGATATATGTGTTTGATTCTAGTTACGGCCTGCCTGGGGACGAGTCAAGGCAGAAGACGTCAATCACCTGTTGTCGCTCTATGCTTTACAGAGGGTTTAGCTAGCTTTTCAATGTCCCCCAGTTTGGCTTGCGAGTTTTGCGGTTTCCGGTACAAGATGTCGCGCATTTTGCAGTCCTCCAGGACCAAGGGGAATGTTCGTGCAGTCCACATATGTAATCACCAAAACAAATTTTTCAGTACATAATAGTGTTGAACTGGTGAAACGATCGGAGCAACCTTGGTTTTAACTGTGGAACTTTAGGAGGTCCAACTGTCAATTGAATGCCAGACACACACTATTTCTATCCAGGAACCCGGCGGTACAACCAAAGAGGAAACCAAGATTAGTAGACAAACCGGCGGATACACCCGTAGGCTGAACGGTACTCCCGCATTTGAATTGTGTACCTGCATGGCGCTGTTCTGGGTCTACGTGTAAAAGTGCAGGCTTGAGTTGCATTTGTCTCAGTTGTTCCTGAGACTCTGAAACAAGCGGCGATCGCCCTAAGGGCCTAGTGGGAGACCTTTCTTGATTCGATAAATTTCACTGGTAAGGCGACAAACAGCCTTCTTTTCGTGTGACAGAGGGAGGTGCTGGTTGTCATCGTGGATGAAGGTGACTGGCTTGAGATCCCAAGGCTTGAGACTCACCTTATCTATTGCTCAATGGACCGAGACAAGAGGACGGCAACCAGGGGGAGATTTTCAAATGTTAGCACGCCGGCCAACATTTTAGCCCTAGGCAGTATGGAGAATTGAGCACTGCTTTATCCACTTTGACTCATGGAAATACTCCGAACCGGCTTAACGACCGTGAACGGAAGCGAAGTTTAACTCCTGATGCTGATAGGAAAAAGAAGCGAGAACGACGAAGGCAAGCGCTAAAGAGATCGTCACCTAGCACGTGAAGGGCATGTTGTGCATTTTGCTCTGCTCCACAGTTTATCACAAACTGATGCCCACGGATGTGATTGCTCCTCGAATTATTTGGCCGAGTGGCCTAAAAATGGAAACGATCCTTTTTCCGGGGAAAAGTAATGCACTCCAGAGATGTAGGATGCTGGATCCTTGTCATAATATTAAAATCGAATTATTACCCCTGAGAAAATCAAGCGAGGCGCTGAAAAAAACACAACCCAAAATTTGGTCTGAAGTTGGACCCCAATGCTTTCACAACTATCCAGCATACCGCAGTAAATTCATGTCTTCACAAGGTGCAAAATATACTTCCAAGGTTGACTTTCTATGATACCACACCGATGAGCAAGGAGCTTTCAAACGTTGGGAGTTTTCTATTCCAGCTTCATTCTATTAATTTTTTTTTTTTTTTTTTTTTTTTTTTTTTTTTTTTTTTTTTTTTAAAATCCCCTTGTTGAAGCTCTTTTCCCCATGAAGAGCATATGGAGCAACATAATCTGTCATCTCTGTCCTGAAATCCTGCTATCCTTTTAACGGATAAGAGCACCACTTGTCCCAATATTTTGGTTTATCTAGGGTACAATCGGGATGTTGCAGCTCTAGAGTCCGCCGTTCCTGAATGGAAGAGAGTAGGCCGAAGCTAGTAACTCCTAGCAAATGCGTCAGATTCAATAAATCTATGGATCGCTACGATTAGCGGACAAGAATCATATCACCGCTTTTTTGTCATGAGGTTCCCAGTGGTCAGAAATCCTCGATCTCCTAAAGCACTTCGCCACTCGAGAGATAACTGGCCAAGGGTAGCCCGTCCTTCTCGGTTCATATCTTTTTGCAAGGTTTCGAGGCCGTCTTGCTGGCCGTGCTCCTGCTCTACTATGAAAGCTATCTGTAAAACATCGCGCGGACTCAATGTCGGTATACTTTCTTTGTCAGCAGAAGACTCGAAATCCCAATTTAGCGATCGTGATTTGAATGGCGGCTTTGGATTCAATGTGACAGCCTGTGTTTTGTTCCGAGTTAGTCGTTTCCAATTCCCGAAACTGGAGTAAAAGTCTTTACAAACCCCAAGAGTGATGATTCCATCACCAACATTTTCAAGCTGTGCTTCAAGCGCGAACCTGTACAATTTCGTTTTGCCATACGGTCCTAGAGATCGATTGTCTACTTCCTGGGGAGGTAACTCCGTAGCTTTCGTGCGTACATTCAAGCATGGCTGTGCAACGAACTGGTATAATTTTCGAAACGTGCGTACCCTTCCTCCCGAAGCCTGGACACTTCCGTGTGCATCAGAGCTTTGGGTAATCATGGTCTCTGTATAGCTGACGCCAACAGCAAGAACGTGGTTCCCTTCCTCTTTTAGGTCAAAGCGAACAATCCTCTGCATCGACTCAACCTGCGCTATCCCCCCCGATTTGGTATCGTTATCGTCGCCTGACGGATAAAGCTCGAGAGGAACAACCTGGGAGGGTGTTTGCATGTCTGCAAGTATTCTTATGGAGGTCACCACACGCGAGGCGTCTCCGCGGAGGAACTCATTGTTGGCAGATAGCGAGCAGGAGAAGGTTTCGCCGACATACGCAGACCCAAACGCAGGCGGCAGCATAAGCTGAACACGTAATAAGTCTTTATTGCTCAATTTATCTGAGACCGTAACCGCTCACATTGGGGCTTAAAATGAACTGCTTATCTGCTGTGCTTGACGGGTAGCTCAGCGAAGGCTGCACCGGAACGTTCGCAAAGTCTTCAGGAAGAGGATGTTGGTATGATAGGGAAGGGCGTGAAAGTCTACAGAGACGGAATTAGTGTCTGGAAATCGTAAATAGACAAGATAGGCCAGGGATAACCCACCGCAGGACTGGAACTTTATCAGCTATCAATTATTTGCGGCGAGCAACTTGGGAACCCTACCTTTGAGGGAGACAGAATGGGGCTCTTTCGGTCCTTCAGCGGCCGAGAGAGCTCTTGAACGAGCCATGGTCAAGCGACTTTTGCAAAATTTTACCGTAGAAATTTCCCAGCTCGACGGCCAAACCCTCACCAAGCGCAGGGGAGAAGTGTCGAGACAGCCGATCAAGATAAGATAACGATAGTCACGGGACCATCCGCAGGTGACGTCGATCCTGAGGGTTTCGCGACCAGGGGGCGCAACAGGTCGCGATCCAAGCTCAAGATGAAATCAGCATTCACAGGACAAATGCATTTACATCTCACTCATATCACGACTTCTTCGAGCAAGGACTGGCGCTAGTGAATTTTATATGTTACGAAATTCCCTCTAGTCGCTTTTGATTTTCTCTCTGGATCGGGTTATACAGTGATTTCACCCCCTATTTCAGCAAGAACACTATTGGTTCCTAGTTACTATCTACATAACACTGAACATCAATACGGATAAATCTACCATGCCCGGGGGCTCGGTATATGCTGCGGGATCCGGGTCCGTCTCACGGACCAAAAGGAAGCGAGAGGAATACGGCCAAGTGGACGGATCGGCCCCTGTTACTTCCCCAAGGAAGACGAAAGGACTTCGTACCCTTTCCCGGAACAAGTCTGCTTCAGATGCTCCTGTATCCTTGGCTTGCCAGCCGAAACCCCCGGCTCCCGGCTCCAAACGGCGCAAGCGTGGCGCCGACGATGGTGTTGAAATGGTTCGCGAAGAAAAGAGGCTCCGCTCATTTCGGAAAAAGCCTCCTCAGTCCTATATCACAAAACTTACCAGGGCTACTCTCCAGAGGTACTATGCTCAGTGCACCTTTGCTGTTCAAAGCATCTATCTTTCTGTGGCGGGCTAGCTAACTATGCGGTCCCATGCAGAATGTTCATCGTCAAGAGGCAAAGGGAAGAGACCACAAGGGGCCCAGAAGAAACTGTGCATATTGTAGGCACAACAGGGAACATCTATAAAGTTGTAATTGGGAAGGTGCCTACTTGCTCTTGCCCCGACGCAATGAAGGGCAATCAATGCAAGCACATTGTTTATGTATGCATTCCTCTTTCATGTTTGCTGTGTCTACTACTGTTAATTTACATGAAGAAAGATGTACCTAACAATCCTCCATGGCGCAGGTCCTATGTAATGTCCTCAAAGTCAAGGACTATCTCCGATATCAGCTTGCCTTTCTCTCCTCTGTAAGTGCAGCTTCTCCAAAAGTTCAATAGCTTGCTTGCTCATCCACCCTAGGAGCTCCGTGAAATCTTCGAGAAAGCTCCGATAAACCCAGCAGACGGTAGTTCTACAGGCAGCAAAGGAAAGCAAAAGCCCATTGACGGGGACTGCCCTATATGTTTTATGCCGCTTGATTCTTCAAACGATCAAGTTGTGTGGTGCAAGGCCGCATGCGGAAACAATATCCACAAGCTCTGTTTTGAGCAGTGGGCGGCCAGTCTGAACGGAAAGCAACTGAGATGTGTTTACTGGTTAGTCAGCTTTTATACACTTTTGGCATGGGAATTGGAAGATGGTGCTGAACAATCGTTAGTCGAACACCTTGGGAGGACAACGGGTTCGATATTCACTCACTTCTAAGCCGTGCTACAATCAGCGAGGATGGCTATATTAACGTGGCAGAGGCGGTGGGACTGTCCCAGGAAAGGGGTAGGGTTTCCTCTCTGTATACTCCCTTTTCTTTTGAGAGTATTTGGCTGGTTTTTGAAAAGACTATTTGTACTAACATGAATATCTTGTTCAAGACTATTCAACATATCATCAGCCTTGGGTGCGCCGACAATTGTATCCCTACTATTAGCCTAACATGGTTGGTTCTCAGCTTGACCACACTGTGGTTGTGGAGACTCTTGGTTACAATCCAACATCATGTCCGTTTAAATGAAGACGCTTTGTTGCGTTCAAGAATATTGGCAGGTTTCGTTTTAGGATGGTTGGCTACACACCAAGCGTCAAGGTTAATATTCAAAGAGCAAGGACGTTTTGATGTTCGCATTGTTGAGAACGTGGACTGCTACCAAATTCCCTTTGACATGGCGAGTGCAGCTATCATCAATGGTTTCTGGCACCTCCTGAGAATTTTCATTCTGCTTCTCTGTTGTACCTCTAATGACAAGGTTGGTATTAACAATATAATCAGTTTTAATTCCATCTCACACTACGTTGCGCGGCAGGCCTCTGGTAAGAATGAATGTTTGACTAGACACCGGGACATTGGGCATCATGGGATTTAAATAACCAATACACTCGCTATAAGCGACCGATCGCGGTTCGTCCTCCGGTCGTACATTTGCCTTTATCATGCAGCACAGATACTACTCCCCCGAACGAGTGAGTCGACGTTTATCCGTGGTCATTTAATATCCTCTTTCCGTCCCTAACTACAGCAGAACTCGTACCCTCCTCGCCGGTCATCCACGGGGGCATCTTGGCTGCGTCGATCACGCCCAATTCCGCAAGTTGTCGCAGACCGGATATCACATCGGAGCCGGAAAAAGTAAGCGACATGGTGGGATTGTCGTCGAGTTCGAGACCTTTGACTTGAGACGAAGGAGTGATGGGGTCTTGGAGGGAGATGTCAATTTTTTCGAGAGCGGGATTGGGGCAGGTGGCTGCTTGGGGGACTGATGGTGGTGATGGTGATGATGATGATGCGCGAGGAGATGACGAAGGAGGAATCGCCAGAAGATGACGGTAAGAGCCTGATGTTCCAAATCTCGAGAGTATGGTTTTTTGTCGTTTTGTTTTCGCTGAGGAATGGGACGGGTGCTGATTAGACTCGCTCTCCGTCCCCGCCAATGATGACATATTTTCTTTCTGGGCTCCTGGATTTGCCGAGTCCTCAACGGGAGTCGATATGGGTAGCCTTGGATCAAGGGGGCACTGCTCAACGACCGCATCCGCAAAGATACTGAATGCGCCGTTGGCAGTGTTAGTTCTCCACGGGCCGCGGAGGGCAAGGAGAGTATGAAGACTCTTTGTCACCAGTGACGTTGCTTTCAGAGAATACCGCTGTTGAGGGCGGGATAATGCTTTAGGAATGGCGTCCATGACAATTCGTCTGAGAGCTCTGGTGTCGGTTGTCAGTGATGGTAAACGTGCAGAGGGAAGAGTCGCGGCGCGAGGGGCGGGAATTGAGAACAGTGAGGAGTATATAAACGGAGAACTATCCGGGAACACAAGATAGATTATCCTTGAAGCGTCGGTGAAGGCCTTGGGTGGTTGTTTTGGATATTGGTAGGGGGAGTCCACGATAAAAATCCGAACAAAGGTGAGTGGAAGACTGGCAGAGCGGGATATGTAGTAGTGCGCCTTGACAAGGGGCGATATCTCGTTTTGGATAGATTTTAGAAATGTAGCACCGTGAAAGCGTGGTAAAGGAACAGAAATATCATTGGAGTCATTGATTCTATGCCATGGTTCCTTTTTGTCCACGCTCGGCACAAGCTGCAGCGCAGTCCAGCGATGCGCGGCAGCAGGATTGTCTTCGATGTAGAGGATGTCGGCCATGGCAAGTTGACGAAGCGTCAAACCATTCCTCCAATCGCCTTCCAGTATACGATTGACAACTTCTCGTTTGCCCCCCCGGCGCTCCTGTAGGTCTGTATATATGCCCCTCAGCTCTTCAATTGAGGTGGCCGGGTCATACGGGTTGGCATCATCGTCATCTTCTCCATCGGCATCCCACCGTTGTTGCGCATCCCTACTGAGGTAGGGACGACAGATATGAACATACTCGTCATCCAGCCATTGCAGGGCAAGGGCGATTAGAGAAGCTCTGGAGAGTTTCCCGAGTGATTTGACGAGGGAAGTGGTGTTTGCCGGGATGCGAAAAGTGTCGTGAAGGCTTGCGGCGGACGGCACAAGGACAGAGGAGCGACGCGCCATGAGATGAGATCTATGCTATCTAAAAAAACGGTTCGTTAGACTTCCATTGCAGTTGATTCAATGCTCGGTCGGCCTTGTCCGCCGGCATGCCTCCGGTCAAGCGTTTCGCGCCGTTGGATATTAAGCGCGTCGGAGCTCTGGGTGGAACCTGCAAACAGAACAAACAAAACAAACACCAAACGGTGGGCCAGGATACAAGGTCTTTTGCTCCATGTTGGAACACCACGACTACGCCAACAGGGATTTTTTTTCTGCAGCGGAAGCCGATCAGTCAAGGAAAATTCTCGCTTCGGAAATATTCACAACGGCCATTACTTCGTACGCAGGGCTGCGACGGACTATCTTTCAAACTGCCCAAAACCACCTCCCCCCAAATATCCCATTAAGTTACTTCGCCAAAAAGAGAGTTTGCTCATTCTCTGTGACTAACTAAGTTAATCTGAGACGTGATTAATAATGATTCAACTCAATGGCTGGCTCCATCCCGAGGTTTTCTCGTGCGGCCCCGGTTTCGGCACCACTGGGCCCCAGAGCACAAGTTTTTTGGATTCCTCAGATAACCCAACACGGGTCGGAGGGGAAAAGGAGAGCGGCAGTCGAGGCAGTCGATATACGCCGTAGTATCTTTAGGAGTGATAGCTGATGTGGAGGACTGTACGGAAGTATGGAGTAAGTTACTGGTTTACTGGCCACATATTGTATGCAATTGGCGCACACGGAGGAGTGCAGCGAAGCCCCCGGGAGTCGGGACTACAGCGTTGGAAGCTGGCTGGAATTAGTCATCACCGGCGGGAGGGGAAACGCTGGAACAGCCCACCTGGCCGTCAAAGCCAGAAATTTGCCGCACGCCCATTAACTTTTCCCACGACGACCGCACACGCCATTTTCGGATCAAGTTCTCTCTCTGTCACGTCGGCCTCGACGGATTGAACATCGAAAACTGCTTTTCCCTGGGATCTGTCCGCCTCGTGGTCGCCATTTCAGTCGCTCTTGTGTGACATCTACCGGGTTTCGCCCGCTATCGCTGCTGCGCTGCTTATCCCTTCTCTCCGGCTTCAGCCGCCGACAAAACTCCCCCTTTGCGCTTCCCTGTCCATCTCCATCGCCGATCTGAGTTGATCCAGCGTGCTCCCTGGCATCACTTCCAAGCAAAGTTCGACTCCTCTGAGTTGGACGCCCATCCCCAAGCCCTCTACCATGTCAGGCTACAACGGGCGCCGGGCCCCCAACTTCTCTCAGTACTTGAATGACCTGAACACTGTTCCCTCTCCCTACGATCAGACATTGCAGCAGGACCAAGGCCTCTTCGACGTCGACGCAGAATTGGCTCTTTTCACGAATGCAGAGTTCTTTGACTTTGACTCCAGAGGAGATATGTCAAGTCACGTACCCGTCTCCCTTGGCGAGGACCTCGCACAGTCAGAGCCGACCTCGAGTCAGGACGTAAAGTACCTGGATATGTTGAATGGTATGTTGTCAACGGCTCTTAGATCCACGGAAGAATTTCATATATCATTGTCTTGGGAATTTCTGCCCTCTCGCCAATGTTATCCGCTTGCTGGCTTCTGCGTGCTTGATATGAAACCGGACCCGTCTGCAGGTCATCTCAACACGCCCTTCAGACCATATCCTTAGCTTAGACTCTTCCCTCTCCTGCACAGCTGCATTCGTTTTGATTTACAAGTCTTTATTTCCGTCCCATCTTTTTCACATCTGCACGTGATATCAATGCACAAGTGCATTATACAGCTCCACGTGACTGATGTGCACGATCTATGCCGTAACTCGTCTTTCCATGCAGTTGCCTGGCAAGTTTGTTTCTTTAAGTTTATAGCAGTGTTTTGCTGGCTTTGCTCACACATTGAGCTTATCCGAGACATGACGCTAATACCGTGAGGAAGCAGACTTCAACCTCCCAAACTATCAATATTACACAACCGCAATGGGCCCCGCTCAGGCTCCCGCCTATTCTGCCCCTCCACAGCAACCACCAAGTCACACAAATGCCGCTTCAGGCTCGCCTCCTCAGCCCGTTGCCAGTCAGCCTACCCCGCAAGAGACCCAGCCCAGACCTCAACACACCACAACCACCCCCACTACTGTAGGAACCAAGCGGAAGCAGGACGCGTCCACCCTTGATGAAGCCGCCCGTTTAGCCCAAGAAGAAGATAAAAGACGCCGCAACACTGCAGCTAGCGCTCGATTCCGTATCAAGAAGAAGGAACGCGAGAAGAACCTCGAGCGCACTGTCAAAGACGTCACAGCCAAGAACGCCGCTTTGGAAGCTCGCGTTAGTCAACTCGAACTGGAGAACCGGTGGCTTAAGAACCTAATTACCGAGAAGAACGGATCGATGCTTTCTGACGGCGACATTTCGGGCATGTTTACCAAATTTCGAGATAGCAAAGAAGGACAGGCTGCCACCCAACAGCAGCAAGTGAAAACAGAGACGGATGAGACGGAATCGAGGGCTTCGTGAATGGCTTGTGCCACTTCCCTATATCACATTGACGTTACATCTACGAATCGACGAGTAATGCGGGCTTAATTCATCCTCACAACGATCGCCACTCCCATGCAAAATCTGTGTCCTTATCTTCCCCTAGCATGTGATACTAGGGTTGGATATTCTTTAGAGCCATCAACCGGTTCTTAGGAATTGGCTATTATTAGCTTTGGCAGGATTTAGGAAAGGTGGGCATTTCGATCTGGACATTTCGCTTTTGTATTTCATCCATTACCCTCCCTTTAGCAGCTCCTCCCCATCCCGTATGTACATAAATCCCACCGTATCCGTACGTGTGAGGAGGGGAGAACAGCACCAAAATAATTGCCATATGTATTGTGGTTGGTTCTTTGCTTCTGGTTTGTTGCCCAGCAATTTCACTTTTAATGTGTGAATATTCGGTGTCCTTGATTGGTGCTTACTTGATCTGCTTGATTCTACCCCTTTTGTTTGCTTTGCTTTTTATGTTAGAATAAAACCTTGTGCATCGGTGGGTGGTTAAGAACAGGAGCTAAAAGTGGAAATGGCTTGAGATTTTATACATCACGCCGCTTCGAAATCAGCTAGAGATTTATCGACAGATGAAAAACAAATGATCAAAATGTTTCCAAGACTATGTGGCTTGATTTAAATCATTGCATTTGCATTTGTTCTTATATAGTTAACTGGTCGTCTTCCTGCTCTAAGGACCATTCTATCAAGTCTTAAATTATAACATATAAAATACCACTCAAAATTAAAGAGTTGGACAGAGGCACTCCTACGAGAACCTCAATCCACGATTGGGATCCCATTTTCCGGGAGACACCCGGCGCTCGTCAGCAGCGCCGCCACCACCAGCAGTCTCATTGGCGGAGGAGCCAGGACCGGACATTCGCGAGTTCAAGCTCATTTGTGTGGGCGTACCAAATCTGATCCCCATTTCGGGAGACCACATTCTTGACATTGCGGCAGAGGGAAGCGTCGGAAATGCAGGTGATGTGCCTGTTCCTGCTGAGGCTGGAGTTTGAGGCGGAGGGAAGGTAGGTAGCTGTGCTTGGGCCAGAGCGCGTGTAGGCTGTGGTGCTGTGAAGGGTGGATTATTCTCTTGCCTTGGCAGGGAGAAAGGTACGGCGTTCTTAGACTGCGGCGCTGTCGGTGACGGAGGCTGCGGTTGGATGGGTGGGCTGGCTTGGGTTATGTTCAAGGAAGCCATAGCAGTGGTGTTGGTAATGTCACTATGACGAATCCGTTAGCCCCGTGGATAGGTTCCAAGATAGAGTAGAAGAAGTCGGGGAAGACCTTACGTCTCCATCTGGCTGGCTTCCATCCGTCTCTGCTGTACAAACTTCTTGCACTCTTCCCTAAACCGGCCAACCAATTTCGCCAAATCATTGTAAAATTTCCTTCCCCCTTCGATGTTGGATATAATCTCGTTATACTTGATATAGCCATTTTCCAAGTCCTGCAAAGCTTTCTCGCGTTCTTTAGTAGATGAGTCACCTTTTCTCGCCATTATGAACGCTTTGTTGGCTTCTCGAATCTGGTTTTCGATCTGGGTTTGGTTCTTCTGTTCTTCGTTGAGCATATCACGGTCACTGTCATATAGACGCAGATGCTCCTCGAAGAGGTCTTCAAACTGGCCTGGCTCAATAGTCTGCATTGGATACTCCCGTTCGAGACGGGAAGTTTCCTTAACAAGCGCTGAATCTAAGGGAAAAATTAGCTTGCATTTAGGGATGGATATGGATTCAAAACCCAGTGCGGACTTACGGATTTTATCAGCCTTCGCCTTCTCTCTCAATGCTTCAATCTTGCGCTTGCGTCGATTCTCCAATCTCGTCACGTCATTTAATGAACCTCTTAGCCGATTTAATTCTCGCTCTACTTGTGGGGTGACTGTGGCTTTTCTGCTGCTCGGAACATACGCTTCCAACTCTCTATTCGTTGCCGTTAATACACGAAGAACATGCTCCGATTCCCGTAGCTTCTTATAAACTAGACTGTCACTCTTGTCTGCAGACGCCAAGTAGCCATCAAACTCGTGAACCTTAGTGTAAAGCTTCTCTGCCGCCTGCTCCGAAGGAAGCCTCGTCCATCGATCCGTGCCGTATTTCGTTCGCGCCCTGTTATCCTCTTCCTTTTCTGCCATCAAAAGTTCAACTCCTTCTGTGTAAATAGCCTTATCGTTAGCCTTGAGCTTGGAGGTATCCTCTAAGGAGCGATAGAGACGGTTCAAGCCGTCTTGCTGTCGAATCTCTTCCGCGTGTGATACTAGGGATGGGGGTAAACCAAGCGGTTTCTCGAGCGCCTGCAAAGATCCTGGAAGATTCAATGATTGAAGCAGATCCCGGAGCCTCAGTGTCATTGACTCCAACTCCCCTATCGTCTGATTAACAAGTTGATCTCGACGATCGACATATATGCTTGCAGCAACATGCACTGCATATGGCACCAACTTAGCAAACAAGGGCCGACCAAGTGGCGCTCCTTCACCGATCATAGACAATGCTTCTATGACTTCCTTGGGAGCTTCGGCAGCAACCATTGTAGCCCGATCAAGTAGTTTCAATTCTGATTTTGGAGGCACCGGTTTTAGGTATATCATGTCATTATCCTTCTCGGCCCGCTTCAAATCCTCACTCACCCGGGCTTTGAGTGTATTCAGGTCACCAAGGACGGCCTTATTAATCCACTTAGCCTCTTTCAGTGCTTCATTGGCACATGTGAGACTGTCCCTCATCCGAGCAACTTCCTCACCATATTTTCTTTTCTCTAAGCAATCCAAAGATTGTCTATACTGAGCAGCTGCGGCAAAATGGTGGTGCTTAGCGGTCATATGATGAATCCATGCAGTGCTTATAGCGTTTGATTTCACAGCAAAATCACCTGAATTGGCATAAAAATCTGATACTTTGGCCGCAAGCCGGGCGATTGAAGCATCTTTCAGGCCGTCTTTTATGGCCCTTTGCCAAAAGCATTCTTGGGCCTGTGCAAGCATCAATTCTTCTAAACTTCGCAATGTCATTTCATCCATATCTTCCGGCGGCGAGCTTCTAAGATCAGGTAAAATATCGGTACGTAGGTGTAAGATAACACCGGCTGACTGGCAAAAATACTTGCATGCTATTTTTAGGTTATTCGGATCTGACGGGTGTAGTGAAACGGCAAGCTGGGACAGCAGTGCAGCGAGGTTGAAAAGAATGTTGACCAACTCATATCGTACATTATTCTGGGATACTGTCGTAATTATACATGTCAGGTCAGCTCTGGCGTTGCAAAGTCATTCTTGACTAGTTAGCGGTTCCCAACCTGGTCGTGAGGTATTAAAGCCGAAAGCGGGATACCATGCAAAGTCGGCACCAACCTACAATGCCTCCCAATCCATATTAGCATGGTTCATTTCACAGGTAACTCGTATGCCCGCAGGATGTGAGCCACAAACACAAAACTCGGAAATCCCTTAAATCGTTCCACTCACGTCGATTGGAAATTTACCCCCAATCCATTTCAACTGCGCCGCGTACGTGACCAGCCTGCTGATCCCGCTAATATGGGGTTCCTGTACATTTATGGCATCGGTGCGCAAACGGCTGATGACCAGGAGGTCCTCGGAAAACATGTCTGGGTGCTGGTCATATTTGGAAGAGATGTATTGCGCAAGAGAGTCGGAGAGGGAGACAGGGTGGGACCGCCGAAAGGGGATTTTGAGCATATTTCTGTATTTCTCACGTTTGAATTAGCCATATGTTTTGTCTTCACAGCCCATTCAGTGAGTATCCTGTGATGTCAAGAGGTTCGGTGCGCGGGGCTGGGTAGCTCTCGTGGAGTCGAGCGGGGGACTTACGAAGCCATGACGATGGACCATGCTACGAGGGAAATATGCAAAATGAGAGACGTATGCTTTAGTTGTCGGATATCCTATCTGCATGGACTTGATTCGGCTGTCTTTGAAAAGCGAAATGAATTGTTTGTTCGATCCAAAGCTCCACAAAACTTCATCACCACAACAACCAGGGTCCATGCGCCAAGACCATACAGAAATGACGCCCTGGCTTTAACGGTAGACGTCTACAGGCTTCCTAACGCTACGCCATAGTCATAGATGCACGCTTTTTCACGGTAAGGGAGAGGGAGGAACTATCGGTGGCGCTACGTGCCACAAACATATTCCTCCTAGGAATGACGGCTCTCAAATCATATGACATTCGATTCGACGTTTCGAACGGGCTCATTGGAAGTTCTAGCGAATCAAGTGCCTATTTACAAAATTCTTGGGAATGGGGTCTTTCTGCAGCCCTAAAGTTTCAAAGCACGATTTGCCTAAGGGTAAAAGTATCAAAAGTCTCGACGCAGAGACCGAGAAGAGAAGTTGTCTGAATCAGCCAAAACGGCGCGCTTTCCCCTCCAAAATAAAAATAAGAGTCAAGCTTGAGGTTTCTCGTCATATAGTGGGAGCTCATTAATTTTCATCTTGATGTACTCGAATGTTGAGAGAAGGATCATGTTTTGCACCGATGTACGGAAGAGAAGGACAGTCATGCCTCTATAAGTTGACGATCTCGCGGCGGCGACTGTTGCTTCATTAATCTCGTTTGATTTTCCAAGCAAGATGCTTTGTGCGCGTGTCTTTTTTGTGTCAAGACCGTAGGTCTTTGAAGATGGATGTCAGCAGCTGGATAGACGGCCATGGAAAAGCATTTTGCAATTTTTAACTTACGCAGATCCAGGGAATGACTCCACAAAGAGCTCCAGCAACCATCGGTGCCCCAAACGGAGATCCATGATCGCCTTGGTAAGTTGAGATCAGCTGTTTAGTTGTTTCGTATATTGCAAAGTACATTCCGGTACCGATAGTGTCACGTAACGCATGCAACTGAACCCCGGTGTAGAGGCCACGAATACCATGACGCGAAATAATCTGCTTGATTGCCTCGGAGGTCGTGAGACGCTTGACATCTCGCAAAGGAGATTTGTCAGGGATCTTGCCAGCGGAAGCTTGAGCTTGGGCTCGGTTGGCCATGAGGACTGAAGTCTGCACAACGTTTTTCGCTAGTTCAAATGGGCCTGGGTCTCAAGTGAGTCAATGGAACAAGAGTTTACAGTCAATTAAGACTTACAAGCAAGAGGAGCTGCTGCGAGGCCTGCAGCCATGCCTCCGATCGTAAACGTTGTTAAAGTTGCCAATGTTGGAACACTTCCCGGAGTATTATAATACACCAAAGGTGACGTCCCAGTAGCTTGCTCGATGGTATCCGAAACCATATGCTTCACTTTCTGGTAGACGGTAAAGTTGATCACCCGCACAATGGTGACACTCGCGAGTGGTGGCAGAGCGCCTGATTTTAATGAGCAAACGGCTCCAACGCACTTGAGTGCACTATATGGGGTATTAGGAATAGTATATTTCCCACTTACCAGCAGTGTATCCCCGAAGACCTTCAGTTCGCCACATGTAGCGAGCACAGTGTCCATAGCCCTTGAAGTCATGTCTTTCCAACAACCAAGTTAATGGAAGGTGCGACAGAAGATGTAAAAGGTTGGATTTTGAGAACGACTTACGTTTGCATGCGAGTCTTCAAATTTTCCAACGGAGTCTAAATCCGAGACAGGATGTCAGTGAAAGCTTCAATCACCAAGGGAGGAGGATTAATAGCTCCCAGCAACTCCAGGAAGAAGTGCCATAGCACTTCGACCTACCGAGATTAGAGTCGCGATGATTGTAGATGCCCCAGAAGCCACCTGAGTACGATATTCTTTGAGGAATCGATTTCTCTTGGTTGGATCGGTCCACCAAAGAGTTGACGCCATGGCAGATGGTTGCGCTGGTCGGGCAGTGGCGGAGATTGTTTTGGTTACATGACCAGCGTTGTCTCGTGGGAAATTCATTAGGGCTGAGATAGATCCTCTTTAGGGTATGGACTGCGGGATCCTATGGAACGCAAAGTGGTCTCTCGGCGTGAACACGAGCAGACCTCTCGGCGTTCCACGGCCGTCCATGGATTGAACTGGACGACACAGATCTTATGTGAAGTGGAGCGTTCAAATCACCTCTCTTCAACAAGAGAGAATGGAACAGAGAATCCCCAGAGCTTGGAGGGCAGGCTTCTCTGGGGCCGCCACCGCCGCGTGTGAGCAAAGGAGAAAGCACTTGGAGACACTGAAGTCTTAAATCAACAAAGCAAAGCTAAAACTAATTCTCTAATAGGACAGTATCTGTGCTTTCAACAGGAGTCCTGGCTGGCCTCAACAAAGGAGAATGGCTGCTGGAAAACTCCCAAGACACAGATGCTCGGGAGAAAGGTTCAGTATCCAGCAAAGAAGTGGCTAAGATTAACTCAGAGTCACAGGATAAGCAGTTCCTGTAGAGCCTTAAGTGCAATATGTGCTTTGGTTCTTGGGCACTTCTCCTCTGGCTTGTTGGGAGAGACGATGGAAAATCAGACGCAAAGAAGAGGATACCTGATTTCCTATCCTGATTGAGACCGAGAATGGATGCCCTCGAGCACAACAGAGAAAGGGGGGAGTAGGGCAGGAAGAAGAGGAGAAAGGTGAGAAGAAGAAGAGCAAGCACATGCTGCTGCGAAGAGGTCTGAAATCACTTGGACGGTGCATGGGCGTGGCAGAAATGTAACTTTCGTGATTGGCCCAGGCCCAGGCTTCTGTGGATGGATTTGGTCTAGCGTTGTTCAAGGGCCTGGTTGATGGAGGGCGACTAGCAAGTCAGCTTCAGCGGTGCTTGGCTGCTTGTGGCTTACCAAGGTTTATTACTTTCCAGGATTTCTTTAGGGTTAGAATGCACTGGTGCTCGCAGTTCTTGTTTGGGGAGATAAAGAAGAGAGGCCAATAGGCATTTGTGGTGCATGAGACGATCAGGATTGGGTGTTGTGGGTTATCTGGTGGCCCCTGGAACAGCTTACCAAGTGTTGGCGCACTGCATTGGGAAAGATTTGGATCCCTTGTAACCATCCAACACAGGGAGCTCCCAGTTTGTGAGGGGAACCGTCAGACTGCAATGAGCGGAGGGACATCCCACGGTACACTCATCGTCCAGCGCATCATCTGCATCTTTCCATGCAGCCACGCCTTTTTCAACAAATGGAACATGGTCTTTCGCATCTCCGAGTATTGGCTCCGTGCAGCCAACCGTTGTCTGGACCTTCAAGACCACCATCCAGCCTCTGCGCGATGGTCAAGTTGTTGTGTTGGTTCCTAAATGGACTTACGCATGCACATCCACACCATACCGTGAGCACCCAAGTAACTATGGTGTTGCTCCAAGGGGGCATAGACCAGTGCCAGCCAAAGATACGCCAATGGAGGTGGCGAGTTGAGCGTGCATTGGAAAGCATCCTACTCCCTAGCCGCAGGAGCGTAGTCGGGGTAAGTACGGGTACGCGACAACGATGAGACAGTCTGTGTGGAGTCCAAAGACTCAGCGGTGTTTTTAATTAATGTGCAAACGAGTTAACTACTCTGCACGGTGTACCCTGCAAACTGTTTGAGATGGCCAAAACCCACCCCCTCGATCCACGGCTCGCTGGACGGCTGGATGGAAGGTAACTACGTAATCACTTGGAAGGTTTGTTTCCCGCCAGTTTGTACTACGTAGCTTTATCTGATAGAAACGGCCTACTCCGTAACCAATGGCGGAATGAGCATGGGTTTGGATACACACGAGCTATTCAACTATGCCAAGGTTGGCTTCCAGATGGAGCTTCCCCGCGCCTTTCCTTGCATACGCCACCATACAGTGAAAAGAAAACTACAAACTGGACACAAGGTCTCCATTAATTGTCATCATCCCGTTCGTTTAGTAAACATATACGGAGCACGGAATGGCAAGCATGCGGACTTTGCCCTAGGTCAACCGTTTATAGGGCGTTAGACGGTGAATGTTTGGCTGGTTTGCCCTGGCCCATCGAACCTCGGGACCTCGGATCCCCGCAGAGCCCGCTCCAAGGGCCGTGTCACTCGGAGCGTTTTACTGTAATTGTGGCATAAATACTTCCGGACAACTCGAAGGTCGCTGAAGAGGAAAGATTAGGCCCTGCCATAGAGATCATTGCAAAACTTATCTCTCGAGATACTTTGATCCCTGTGAGTTCTCCGTCCTCGAAATTGCACGTGCTCTTCTAGAATCTGAGGACGGACCTGTGCTGACCAGAGAGAAACTTGTTTATGCAGCTAATCTTTCCCGAGAAATAACACATTCATCCTCCAACATGGGCAAACGAGCCGCTTCTCCCGCCTATATCCTGGGCGTGGGCATGACGAAATTCATTAAGCCCCGCGGAAAGGTGGACTACACTGAGCTTGGTTTCGAAGCCGGCGTCAAGGCAATGCTGGATGCCCACATCACATACGATGAGGTCGATCAGGGAGTCGCTTGCTACTGCTACGGCGACAGCACATGCGGTCAGCGTGTTTTCTATCAATTCGGCTTGACAAAGATCCCAATCTACAATGTGAACAACAATTGCTCCACGGGTTCCACAGGTCTCGCGATGGCTAGGACAATGGTCTCTCACGGTGCTGCTGACTGCGTTCTTGTGGTTGGATTCGAGAAAATGAACCCTGGGAGCTTGCAGTCGCATTTCCAGGATCGTGCAAACCCTACTGGCCAATTCGGTGCCATGATGGCTGCCACAAGAGGTGTTACCAATGCGCCAGGGGCCGCCCAGATGTTTGGTAATGCTGGACGAGAGTATATGGAAAAGTAAGCCTCCATTTTCTGCTACCTTCAGTGATTCGTGCATCGACCTAACTTTCTAAACTAGGTATGGCGCTAAGCCTGAGGACTTTGCCGAGATTGGCCGCATCAACCACGAGCACTCAAAGCGCAACCCCTACTCTCAATTCACCGATGAATATACTCTTGAACAGGTCATGAAGGCCCCGATGATCCACCATCCCTTGACCAAACTCCAATGTTGCCCTACCTCTGATGGCGGTGCTGCTGCCGTCGTCGTCTCCCAAGCTTTCCTTGATGCTCGTCCACATCTTAAGGACCAAGCCATCCTGATTGCCGGTCAGTGCCTTGCTACCGATGCACCTTCAGTTTACAACCGAAGCTCCATTAGCCTCATGGGTTTCGATATGGGCCGACATGCTTGCCGGACCGCCTGCGAAGAGGCGAACGTCAATGTTAAGGATATCAAAGTCTGCGAACTGCATGACTGTTTTTCTGCCAACGAGATGATCACCATTGATGCCCTAGAACTATCCGATCCCGGAAAGGCTCATGAGATGGTTCGCCGCGGAGACATCACATACGGTGGCAAGATGGTCATCAATCCCTCTGGCGGACTCATCTCCAAGGGCCACCCGTTAGGAGCTACTGGTATTGCTCAATGTGCGGAGCTTACCTGGCACCTCCGTGGATGGGCCAATAACCGCATGGTAAAGGGTACCGATTCCGCTCTCCAGCATAACCTTGGACTAGGTGGAGCTGTTGTTGTTACTGTCTATAAGCGCGCGGATGGCAAGGTTGCCGAAGCAGTTTCGAACGAAGAAGTCGGAAGGAAGAATGGCCTTGGATATAACCCTGCAGTGGAAGCTAAGGGTTTCACAGTGGAACAAATGAACAGAGTCCTTAGTAAGGAGCATAGAAATGATTGGGCTATGGCGGACACATCGGAGAAGGTTTTGGCTCGCTTCTAAGACCCTTTAATCACCTTTGCAACTGTGTACTACATGTGTACATCCATGGAGTAACGATATGTGTTGTGCCTCTGTAATTACCTGGATGCTTTGATGAACTTGCGCGCAATGGATACCAAATCAAACACTTTCTCAAGGCCAAAACTGGTGGTTGTTCTACTTAATTCCACCCCGTTGACTCTATTTCTTCATCGAAGCCAATCTTTCGGCACCCTAAGCCGAGGAATCCCGCTATCCCTAAATTGGCTAGCCCCGTTCACTCAGCACGAACAATTTTCATCTTTCCGGCTGCTCGAATCTCTCTTCTTCTTTCTCCCATCGATTTTGAAAAATAATAAACCAAGGTCTCAAAAATACCCTTGTTTCGTATGCTTTCCGTTGCCTTAACAAATTATGCCAGAGACCAAGAATGAACACGAAAAATGCCCGTTCTAATCCCAACCTTCCCTCCGCTACGTGGCCAACATGGAGATTGATGGGTTCGCTGTTGGGCATATATTATTTGTTTTCCTTTCCTTTTCTTGTCCCAAGTTCACTGCTTACCTTTGATACTAATGGTAACTGGGAGGTGTAACAAGGGATCATGCTGCTGGAGCTGGGTTGGGCTGGAGCAGATTCACAGCGGGCGCTGTGATGCACGCTATATAATGATTGGACCATGCCCATCTCTGCTCTGACTTGGATTCCTGGCCAAATCAATAACAGAGCTGCAAAAATTGTTGAACGCTAACTGAGGTAGTTCCGAACATTCTAGTAACCGCAAATGAGATATGTCCTCAAGAGTTTCCCTGTCATACCACATCGCTTTATCGAATTCGAGGAACGCTATCGTTGCCTGGTATATTATTGACTTATTCCCCTCCATTTATATCACAAAACCAGGGCTCTAGTGTCCGACTCTTACTACAAGGCATCATCGAAGTCTCGTCCGTCCTTATTTCCCATGACTTTCGAGGTCAAAAGTATGCCGACATCGAATTTATCTAGTTACAAACTCATTGTCTCGCTAGTCTTACGTCTGCCCTTTTCCCTATATAAGGCAAGATGTGCAACATATGTGAGATACATTCCTCATCGGTACTCTGCTTGCGAGACATTCCACGCATACAGACGGCAAGGTGTTGGGTATTGGCCTCGATGTGTGTAATAACTTTAGAGGAAGTGCAGCATTATTTCCCTTTGTATGAGGTGGCTTACCCGTTGATAGAGTAATTTTGATTTCTGACATTATCACTCTGGTGGTATCTTCATACAACATGCGAGGAAAAAATAAAAGATGTTTGCAACCCATGTAATCAAGCCGGTCTTTAAAGTAACTGTATTCCATCCATCAGAGATATTACAAGAGGAACGTCCAAGCACAGTCGAAAAATAACAGGAATCGGAATGTTCAACATTCAAACATAGGGAGTCGAAATTTACAAGAAAGAGTCGCAGAGAAAATGTATTGAAAGGGGGGTATTTGCTCGCATCGCACAAAAAGGCAATAGTCGAATGCGAACCATGTCATCATGCCATCAAAATAAGTGCTTAGTACCAGAAAGGAACGGCACGCTTCCGAGCCGGAGACATTGGAATGGCTCCTAATCATCTCCTGTTAGCTTTCACCCCGAGCTTGATCTTGGGATGTCCAAACATACCTCCAAAACCGCCTACGCTTCCCTGGCCCGCCCCAGGAGGGAACTCTGAGGCACCGCATAGGCAAGAGCAAGAGCAAGCGCCATCTCCCATGTTTCCGGTTCCTGGAACGACCTGGCCCCCTTGACCACCTTGACCACCTTGACCACCTTGACCACCTTCACCGCCTTGGCCACCTTCGCCGCCTTGGCCACCCTCGCCGCCTTGGCCACCCTCGCCGCCTTGGCCACCTTCACCACCGAGTCCGCCTTCTCCTGGAAGTGGGAGGTCTCCAATTCCTGGGATACCGGTCCCAACGGGAATTTCACCACCAATCGATGTAGGAAGCTCTCCACCCTCGGCCGGTGGAGGAGGAGGTGGTGGTGGAGGAGTTCCGCCTTGGCCGCCCTCGCCGCCGGATTCCATCGCCTTTCTCTTGAATTCTTCGTGGGATTGTTCTGCTGTGGGGTTAAGACTGAATACCATTCCTCTCTCGCAGTGAGGTCCCTGTTTACAGTACATCCAGATTGGATCTGTGGTGGTAACTTGGAACATCATAGTTGGAGGCGGATTCACTGTGTTGTTCGGGTTCGGCATGAAACCAGAATCCACGCCGCCTCCCATCATGAGACAGGGCTGGTCAAATGTAGACTGAGTGACAGTGTGGTTCTGGGATTGAAAAGTGAAATGGACCATATCACCAACAGCAGGGTTGAGCGTCTCAGGCGTGAAGACAAGGCCGGCATCGCCTCCAACGGTAACCTAGAGTTTATTAGCATACACGTAGGACTGTTTGGGTCGACGAAGGCACGAACCTGGTGTATGACTCCTTGCTTCATTGGAGGTTGGTTCCATACATGTGTATTTGCACCTCCGCCATTATTTGTCGTGATGATTGTCACGGTGATGACATTGGAGCCGCCACCTCCATGGATTCCACGATTACCTCCTCCGATAACTGTATTCCCTTGTCCAAGTCCACCTCCAGGCAACTGTTGCCCGCCGCCGAGTTGAACTTCTCCGCCGTGCTGGCCCACACCACCCATTTGGCCCTCACCACCGATCTGCCCTATACCGCCGGTCTGACCTTGTCCGCCGTGTTGGCCCTCACCACCGAGTGGAACTTCCCCACCGGCCTGGCCTTCGCCTCCCATTTGACTTTCACCACCGGTGGGTATTCCACCACCGAGTTGACCGTCTCCACCGAGCTGACTTTCCATTCCCGATGGCAGTGCAAATGGCAGTGAGCTGTCACCGCCCGCCATCGCTGTGGCTGCCATGCCTTCATGGGACGTGGCTACTGCTGCCGCAATAAGAGAAAGCAAAGGGAGGAGTCGGGTCATCTTCGTTTTCTACCGCTCGTGGAACAAAGATCTTGAAAGGCTAAAATGGAAACAAAAAAGGTAAGGCAAAGGTGCCGTGGTACAAAGCGAAGGGTATTACGACCTAGAAATCCGCGGGCCGGTAATTGTAAATATCGAAAAGCTGAGTGAAAGAATATAGAATTGAGAACCTGCTCGTGGGCATCAAAAGGATTGCACCAGCTTGTATTAGAACGAAAGAGATCCAGCCCAGCAAGGAATGAACGAATATGAGAAGAGAACGGTCTAACACCACAAGAGACAAAGCTTCTCGTTCCTGGACGAGGAGGAAAAGAACAGGAGCGTGGACAGATTTATCCAGGGGGAACTGTCCATTGTTAAATGCAGCATTAAATTAGGGGCTTTCCCAATTCTTGAAGTTGGAACACTTCCTGTCTTAAACTGGGGACTCGACATGTTCACATCAGACAGCCAAAGTCCCACTTTCAGCCAAAAAAGTCTTTGCTTGATGTGATGTTTTTGGATTTGGCAAGATGGTGGAACATTGTCGTCGAGAGTTCTGACGTTGGTGAGGGTATGGGGTGTGTCGCAATAGTCTCACGCTAACGGGCCCCGTGTTTCAGGGCTCAAGACACACGCACCTTCAGTTGTGAGCGCGCGATAAGCCATGTTCGCGCTTTTGCAGCGAAATCGTGGCTGGAAAGAAGATATACCATGCATTGTTGCCAATTAAATACAGTAGTTCCGCAATCAAAATCCTTTTGCGCCTAGATTTGCTCGACAGGTACTAAGGGTGTTAAACTGGGCTCCAGTGAACAATTGGTATTGTGCTTTGGGGAGCCGGCAGATCCTCTGGGGCTCAAAGAGAGACGCTCGGGCTCGAGCTTGAACTAATTTGGCTCGGGATAGTCCATATGCCGATATGTCAGTCAGCCAATGCATGGCACTTCCCCAAAATGAAACTCTAAGCCACTTCGCCAGGTTGAACACTCCCGCTTTCGGCAGTCAATAGTGGATTTCAATTAAGATATAATGCCCTTTTCGGACTTGCCACTCCCACGCGGTGCGGCTTGTGTCTCGGGTACCCTGAATCTATCAGCGACTTACTCAAGTTGGCATGAAAGCCATAGCCCTGATTCCAAATACAGTTAACATGAGTCAAGTTTGTGGCTGCGGGTTTGCGCGTCGTTGGCCCTCATAGAGCCCTGTATAATATCCGGCAAAATACCAAGCCATCATGAGGTTCTTCAAACTCTCATCCTCCTGGGCTGTAAAAGAAAGTGATAGGCCATGGTCAGCATGCTTGGCAAGAAGGTGCCTCCCAGATTGATTGTGGCATAAAGGCGGCTTACCGGTGGATGCGTCAGCTGTCCCCAGAACCATATGCGGAACGCTCGTGAAAGCCCCGCTTGATTGGTTAGCTTCGGGTTGAGTTACAGGAACACCTTGGGTCTCGTTCTGACGCGGCCGCTTTGGCGCTGGCTCCTATTGTGGTATGCTTAGAAACCAAGTGGCCTTGATATGCATCATTGGGTTCCGAAAGGAAGAGCAAAAGGTGTTCGAGAGTAGGATGGGAAAAGCGACTTCAAGAAACATGACATAGACATACTTGTGCTGCATATGAGCGAGCTGCCTTTGATTCTCCTTCTTCCATAATTTCGCCGCCCTCTCCACTAGCTGCCGTTCCAGGCCGTAAGTCATGAGCGCTCGCGCCGTCGTCTGGAATCGCAGCATCGTCATCACCGTAATCAATCTCATTCCCCCCTTCAGCCGCCTTTGCAGCCTCGTTAGCTTCATAATCTCGTAAAGCATCTTCAATATTCTCCCCTTTTGCTTGAATGCTGTGATAGAGCTGATGAAACACAGCATGTCAGAGGTTGCAAGCCATGTTTGTGACAGAAAATATTGCTACTGTTTGCGGGACAGAAGCTTACCTTGTACTCCTCTGCAGCCGCTTCCCAGGATTCTATCAATGCAGAGTCGTCCCATATTTCTTCGTGTGTCAAGGGCCTGTCCTTTCGGCCTCTCTTTCGTTTCCCCATCTTCGCTTGTGAAGATGTCACTCGTCGGCGCCAAGAACACGCGGACGGCGGAGGTTAGGTCGACGCGTTTGTTTTGTTTGCACAGCGGAGGGGAGTCTTGGCGGCGACCGTGAACTCAAAAAAAAATTAAATGGATAAACTACTCCTGACAGAGTTCCGAAAACCTACACTAGCCAGACCGCAAACAAACGCAGAATCCACGCGTATCGAGTCCAATGGCTGCAGAAAAGAAAGATAAGAAGCGCAAAGGTATTTATTAATGCTTGCTTGTAGCATTAACCTCACTAACATGCGTTTACAGCCGCTTCAAGTTCCAGTGCAGTCGAGACCGACCAGCCGTCCAAAAAATCCAAGAAGTCCTTTGTGAAAAACGCGAAAGCTCCGACAGAGACTAAATCAAAGGGTGCCTCTAAGGATAAAAAACCAAATAATGTCACTAATGGCAAGGCTACAAAACCTCTCAACCTGGACAATGCCCCAGCTCGCGATATCAAACCACGGAAACGAGCCGCCGACTTCCTCAGCGACGAGGAAGACGAGATCATAAAAAGAGATAAAAAGGACGCATTGAAGGACTCAGCGAGTGTTACGAATGAATCCGTCAAGCCTCCTAAAAAGAAAGCAAAGGAAGAGGCTAAAGCTACGACCACTACGACTGAAAAAGTCTCCTTGAAAAAGGATGATGCGAAGGCTAAAGAAAAGAAGGAGTCATTCAAGAAATCAAAGAAGGAAGTCGAGGTTCGCGCAGATAATGACCATGAAAGCGAGGATGATCACACGCTCGCCTTGATTAGAGGGTTTGATAGCAGCGGAGAGGAGGATATCTCTGGAGACGAGGGATTCGAACCCGGACAAGCAGTTCCTCAGATTCCAGACTCTAAGCAGGTCAAACGAAAGATTCGCAAATTGAAAAAGAATCATACCGATGAGCCTGAGGAACCGGGGACTGTTTATATTGGGTGAGTTCTCGAATATGATAACTATGAGAACACCGGAAAGCTAATGTTATCTTGACCTACAGACGTATTCCCCATGGTTTCTATGAACATGAAATGCGGGCCTATTTCTCCCAATTTGGTGACATCACTCGCCTAAGAATGTCTCGTAACCGCACAACGGGCCGATCCAAGCACTACGGCTACATTGAATTCGCGTCAGAATCCGTCGCTAAAATCGTTGCTGACACTATGGACAATTATCTAATGTTTGGCCACATCCTGAAATGCAAGTTCGTGCCGCAAGACCAACTCCACCCAGAGACATTCAAGGGTGCCAACAGGCGATTCAAGAGCGTGCCGTGGAATCAGATCGAGAAAAAGCAGCTAGAGGCTGGCAAAACAAGAGATCAGTGGTCGAAGAAGATTGCAAAGGAAGAATCGAAGAGAGCTGCGAAAGCCGAGAAAATGAAGGCTTTAGGTTATGAAATAGACTTGCCCAAGCTGGCCAGTGTGGACGGAGTCCCCGTTCAGAAGACCTTGGCCCAAGCTAAAACTGCGATCGAGGATGATAACATTGAGGCTCCCAAGGCTATTGAAGCGCCGCCAAAGGCCATAACCAAACCTGACGCACAGGAAGAGCTCAAAAAGGCAACCAAGAAATCGAAAAAGAGCAAGGATTCTGCCAATGCAAGCGCGAAGAAGGCAGATGCGCCTGTGTCTGAACAGAGCAAAGAAGCTACCCATGAGAAGCCGGCCAAGATTAAAGAGGCCGATACTAGGAAAGCCCAGAACGGAGAAACCAAAAGCAAAAAGGATAAAAGGCCCAAGGCCAAAACTCCCACTGTCGTTGCAGACAATACCGAAAAGCCATCCAAGTCAAATCCATCAGAAGCCAAGGATCCAAAGGGTAAAGAGATTAAGGATAAACTGGGGAAAGTTGAGAAACCAGAAAAATCCAAGAAAAGCAAAAAGTCTAAGCCATAGGCGATGATGGGATATTCTAGCTTGCAATGTAGTCCCTGTCCATTGGTAGTCCTGGACCATACATATGTGAGAGGATCACAGTGTTCAGACCAAACAAGCAATGAGTAGATTAGAACCAACAATAGCTTCTATGTATTCACCCCAGCTTCATGTTAAATTGTGTTCGTTTAATGTCAAAAGCCTCGCAACATGTGTGGACATATGTGTTATGAATAAATACATCCAACAGAAGAAAGTGTGTGGCAACCCTGAGTACTGTCATCAAGCTTGGAGAGCAGTTAAAGATGCAGACCAGGAGCATTTCGAACAACAGCCCTGGCTAAAACGACAAAAAGAAAGACACAAAGGTAGAAGCATGCTTTAATGCCCACACTCAGAGTCGAACTGAGGATCTTATCATTACTAGTGATACGCTTTACCAACTAAGCCATATGGGCGACGGTTCGAACTCGGCTAAATATTCTTTTATGATCGGAAAGACACAAGATTGGCTACGGGGCAGCCAGCAATATTGTTGACAGCACCGGCTTGGCGGAATATTTACATCAGGAGACCCACCAAAGCCGAAAGAGAACAGATCTTGGGAGCAGCAGACTGAAGCATTGATGGCGTACCCAGTTGTAATAAGACGTGAATTTTCATGTAGACAACCGGATAACCACAGTTAATTATCAATTGTGAGTGACTTAAGCTGTTTCGACCGCTCGGGGTGTCCAAGCGAGTGAATTACGCAAACATTGCATGAAAAGTTCCTCAGGAGCTTTCAAGATACTTCTTGTAATCTTTGAGGGAGCTGTTTGGTATCAGGGCCAAATTCTGCTTGGTTCCCTTTGCCATGGATGATAGCCTCCCTTTGAAAGAGCGCATTTTTTGAAATGCACTACAAAGCAGTTTCTGTCCGATGCCCCAAGGTTTATCGCTACCTTTTAAGGAATCTGCTTGGAGGCGGGCCCGCTGTGAGAACCATTTTCGGCAAAGGTAGTCTGTAAATATCAGAGAGTTCACAAAGATATCCTATCCATAGCATGCTGTCAGTATGGGGCGTGAGAAAATATGCATCTCTATCTAACAATCACTGTTGGGCGTACCAAGACATCAGCATTCCACATATCCACATGCCACTTCGAGAAAGGAGGATTGTAATGTCAATGGGCTGTTGCCTTCTTTAGACTTCGATATTTTGATATCTAGATAAGCAGCTTGGCTTCGTAGCGCCATCAACATCCGATTCTCTATGCAAATATGTGACCTAGAGCGAAGCAAAGTTCTCATAATAGGGCATTGATCACATCTTCACTACTAACATGGTGGTTAGACAGAAACTTCAAAACGTAAAAGGAACAAGAGATGATAGCATTGGTGACTACAGCCGGACCATCGACTTCAAACGAATCGAAGACATCTTTAATTTTAACCTGCCTGGGTGCCATAATGTCTTTGGGCCTATGTGTTGACGACCATCCACTTCACACGAGGGTAGTATATTTATGGTCTCTATTCCATTTGATATTGGGCGTTGTCTGTGCGTTGGTATCCAACGACGTCGAAATCAATGCGATGCGTCCATGTCTACAGCTAACACCACTCATAAACCCTTATCGATCAGAGATATCACATCGACTTTGCGGCATTGGGTCATTGTATGGAAAGAAATTGGAAAGCTGAGCCCGGTTGTCTGATGTGCAGTATGGACGAGGCGGAGGGAGCGGAGCAAGATAACAAGCAACAAAAGATTAGCTATGCAGACGTGGACGAGGCTTTTTCATCTGTACGGTCCCTTGGAATCTTGAATATTGATATCGACAACTCTGTCCGCGAATCTCCAAAATCACTATCCCTTGACTTGTGGCCGCTATGCCATCTCAGAGGTCGTGTGGGTTGAAGCTCAGCCACCGCCAAGAACTGCTCGCATGTGAAGGTGGGCTTGATTGCTGATGCCATTGGATGAAGCTTGCAAGCTCTATCTGACCCACGCGGGAGCCACAGGAACCTTTCCTAATTATCTCAGGGTGGGTTGATATGAGGAAAGTGGCTTGCCGATTGTCTTGGTTCACCACACAGTTGGGGCATCTCAGGGCCCAGGTAATAGTGCAGGGACTGATGAATATTAATAGAGTTTCCAGGAGATACGGAGTACGGAGTATGTATTTACATATATGGAGCGCTTCAAAATTAAAAGGATATTTATAGGTATGTATGTACATTATGTATAGTTAAGATATTTTTGACCGGTAAGCTTAGACCCCGTACTCTGTATGGAGTAATGGGATGCGAATCAATTCTGGAAGCAAAGCGCAGACATTATCATTCGTGATACCATGGTCTGGATATAGACAGCTTGTGCAGGGTCCTGAGTTGAGCTGATCGCCAATAACCTTGCAGCAACTGGGCCATCAAATCTCCACTTACACCAAACAACCATTAAGGGGGATGAGGAAGACGATCAAAAAGCGAGCAAAGGAGCTTTAGCAATAATATCATCCATCTAGTCGATGAAACTTGCGCAACATTTGTCCATATTTTCCTTTTGGAAACAAAGATACCAATGAAAGAAGAATGCCATATTAGTAAATAGTACAAGTAAGGTAAAAGAACCCTTAGAAATGCACCGCCCTATCCGAAAAAAAAATTAAGAGAAATTCGGCGAGAGAGCACCAATTCATTTTTCAACAGGAAAATGAAACGATGGGGGTATAAGCAAAGCAAAAACAGTACGGTTAGGATATTCCCTGCAGCCATGTATGCTTGTAAAAGGACAAATGGAAGCCGGTTCTTCGGAATCAAGTGCTGTTCCTCTTAAGAAGGCTTGTCGCACCCGATTCTGCCGAGTAAAGCCTTTCGTTCGTTCTGATCGCTGAGTGTAACGCGGCCGCGAGCTGTTCTGATTCGCACCGGGTGATGATTCTGGGCGGAACCGTTGACCGCAACAGATTTACTCCATCCATTCTCTTCATAATCTTCCTGTCTTCTAGGGCTGCCTCGGCGAACAGGGCGGACTGCCTCAGTTGATTCTTCGCCCTCATCGTCGCTGCGGGTATCCTCCGCTGATGAGCCTGTCCGAAGCACATGCACTGCCACACGAAGGATCATGCCGAACCAGATAAGAGAGAGCATCTGAAGAATTAGGAGCAGAGTGAGAAAGGCCCATTTGATGCGGAAACTCATGCAAATAGGTCCATCGATATCCCGAAACGGATATATGAGTGAGCCCCAGGAATCGGGAGATACGTCAATAAGCTTCTGGCCGGTTGCGCCCAGATAACATCCAAATGACATTGCATCTGGAACATTTTGGTAAATGGACCACCATAACATCATGTAAATCACATGGCGGGCAATGAACCATGTGGCTAGGAAGACCCCGAATGCAATGGTGCAAATGCGCTCGTAACCCATATATTTTAGCATCTTCGCAGCCTATTCATGCTGTTAGTATGAGCTTTGTGTGAGCTCACGGGTTGGGAAAAGCCTAGCTCACCGGGAGGAGGAAATCTACAATATCCATAATACATAGAACAACGTTGGCCACGTTATAGAAGCTGTAAACATAAGCTGATCCGAGAAGGGTGCTTGTGACGATATGATGCGTCAACATCTGATAATGGTCTTTTCTTCTTTCCTCAATGTTGATGACGAAAATTTGTTGCAACCAAAATGACAACTGCAACAGGCAATACAGCTTGAAATAGCCTGGTATCTCTCTCGACGGCCAGTCCGTCCAAATTTCTCGGAAATCCATCCAGTACTTTGAATGCATCCAAATATACTATATGCATACGAATTAGCAATGCGATTTATATGAAGCGCCAGTCAAACTCCACTGACCAAACCATAGGACCAGAAGACAATGTAATACACCAGTAGCCAGCCTTGTTCGGCGAATCTCAACGATGCCTTCAATTTTAGCCCAAGTTGTTGTGCGATGGGCATAAGGATCCAGTCAATTGCGATGGCTCGGATTGCTGTAAAGGCGACCATGGAACCGATGATGAAGTACAAGTCGTCCCATCCCTGGACGTATATTCCTTTTGTCGATCGGTAATGTGGCAAAGTTAAGAAAGGAGACGTGTATGGTCTAAGCGAAGGGTATAAGTTATGAACCGCGAAGATCATCGTAAGAATGGTAAGGGAGATTCCTAGGATGCGCCTTCGAGTTAGTTCGCTACTACATGGACAATTGAGACCAGGAAGTTATTTGGGCAAATTTTTGACTTACCGATTTGGTTGCTGAGCAGCCGTTCTCGAAGACTGGCATCTTTCCTGATAGGCCCTCTCCCTTCTGGTGACGAAACGCAGGCCTGGACCTCTGTAACAGAGTTGGAATGGCTACGGGCCGGCTTCGCCATTATCGACTCTGTTTCAATGGCGCCCCCGACACCACGCAACCTCAACAAGAGTGAAAGCCCGTGATTTGTTCTTGTGGGCCGAAGTTGACAAGAAGAGGTATCGGGAGATCCAGGACTGAAAATTCGAGGAAGATCGCGCCTACAAGAGTAGAGCGGGGAGTAGAAGGAAGAGAGGAAGGAGAATATTAATTTGTCTGAGTTTTGTGTTGCTTGCTCAGAAAATTTCCTCAGAACGGCGGAAAGGAGCTACTTGTGACTCCGGAAAGGTATTGAGAACCGACCGAACAGAAACAAAGCATATGAAGAGTAAGAGTTAAAGGAAGCGAGGCGGCGGCGCAAGCAGAAAACTTGGTGATTTGGGAAAGGTAGTTATAGCTAACTCTAATGGCGGGGGGAGGACACCGAGGAGCTCTTCACAGTCAATGCTAAACAGTTGAGAGACCCAGTTACCAAGCAGTACTTCAAGGTGGAGAGTCTGTGCATAGAATTCAGGCAAGTTAATGTACTCAATACTTTACTCCTGGCGCAATTTCCTAACACAATAAAGTATCTGGTACAAATTTTCGGCATGGGGTTATGATCATGCACCAAACAAGCCGGTCACACCATCTCACCGCTTTTGAAGATCTTTCTTAACCAATTAACATCAACAGATTTCCCACAGATTCATCAACCCCATGTCTATCTCCCGAACAAAATCTCACCTTGACTCGCAGTGGCAAACTCCGAGCTTGAGTTTTCTTTACTCATCTGACTCTGCAGCATTTGTACTCTATACAGGGCACTGCACAGAGTATCTGCTAGTTAAATATTTGATGCTCTCAACCTGTGAGTGTTGGCTTTACAGAAAGGCCCCTCAAGATCCGGTGAATGCGGATTAATTCATCCCTGTCAACCCTCAGCTGATCTATGTGACTGCATCGTGTTGCTGATAGTTGAGTTCAAATCATCTGATAGCTTCACCCACATAAATTCCCATTTTAACTGCAACTTTGGCACCTTGGCTACCCAGAAGCCAGAATTATTCCAAACGGCTTTTCCTTATACCCGCTCGCGTGGGATCCAAAGATGCCAATACTACCAAACTTTTGCTAGTAGCTACACGCCAATGAGTTAACATATTGCGAACCTAGTTGCAAGTTTTGTGAATGCCCTACATAACACTTTAAGATGGTGTGAATCGGTGGCTATCGGCGCCACGTGGTTTGCAAACCATGTCAAAGGTCTACATTTTGGCTTCATTGCATCATTGCTATCGCTCGCCGGGTCAACCAGTCAATGTGGAATTTGTTCGAAGTCAAATTAATGTGCCCCATAAGCTGGCCGGCGACTTGAGAGTGTAATCCACCGCTCTCCGTCGTCGTCATTGAATTTTTGACATGCCAGTCTAGCATGTACTAGGGGAATCGTAACAGCAATCCGGCGCATTCGCCATAATGGCACGCACGAACGCTTCGTACCATGGGGTGTGCTCTTGGCTTACCGGTGTTCTGACGCAATGCATATCGAAACGAGGCTCCTATCTGTCAAGCTACCGCTCAACTATGGGGCCAGTCCCAGCTCGACTGGTTAGCGAAGTCGAATTTGAGAAAGGCTATGGCTGAGAAGTCATATCTGCTTATATCGGTTCTTGGAGAGTTCTATACTCGCTTCCAGTTCCGTTGAATAGATTGCAACACGAATCGCTAACGGCCACATCGTCCGTCCCCCATCCGAAACGAGAATCTGATTTTGAGTCTTGTCGACTTATCGCTAACGCCTCGGGTTTGTCTTCGCTTGCTTGCTAAAATATTCAACAGCCAGAGCAACTCGATCTTTTGAGTCTACTAAGCTCGGAACTGGGTTCCACATGTACTTTACCAGCCTAAGACTATGGCATATCTCCTAAGATCTAGCATGATTTTCTGTGTCCTTCGATACTCCAGCGGTTGCCCTGGAATGCGAGTGAACATGTTCAATGCTCCCCCATAAGCCCGTACGAGGATTGAACCGTCCTATCGGACGATCGGATCTATGTGGACCAACGAAACGGCTAATGTTGCCCCTAAGTCCATGAGGACGAACTGCGAGAGACCACTAACTACCATATTGATTCCTAAACCTGGAAAGGAAATTCGCCACGAATCGTGTTCCTTCAAGAAATAAACAACTTCGGTCAAACTGCTCACTTGAATTGCCTCGGACCCCGCCATATCAAATTATGAAGCTGTTCCTTCAAAGCGCTCCGATTCATTCCTTGGCGTCTAAAAAGATAAATCATCCTAGTCTCACTTGGTACTGACGAGGACAAAGGAGTACGTTTGCAAGTGGGTATTCGCGACGAAATCTGGATAGCGCAGAGGACCACTCGAAGAATAAACAGGGCCCCGACGCGTGGATATCTATATACACGCAGACTTTAACGTATTTGTGTCTAGATATATGCACTTTGCGTGATTTGACTGAAGCCCAGCGCTTAATTTCCGATCATTATGACTGTCGCACGCCAGCTTCTGTTGCACAAATGTCTCCGAAATCTGGGCGATATACAGGGACCGTATTTGCAATGTATACACTGTGCATGACCCGGCTGCCTTTGCGTTAGGTACTCCTCAGCTTCGCAGCAATAACCGAAGCGGCAAATACAACATAGAGAGGGAACGTATTTAGGGGATAGCAGCATTGCGTACTTGAATAGCTCGACATCACCGCTGGATCCAGTCGCTATCCACGCCTGACTTACACATGCATTCTCAGATTGAGGTCGAATATTATAACATTTCGCTGCGAGTCTTTTGGTTCTTTGATCGGCTTGAATGTTTGAAAACTCCCTGGGCTCCCTTTCCGGATTCTCGTCGACTCAAAAAAGCCTATAAACCGGGCTTCCAAGAAGCTCGTATCTGCAAAGTGGAATGCATTGCTTGGACTTCAGTGCTGTCAACAATGTTTACGCATAAACAGGAACAGAAGATCAAATGTTGCCCAGTAAAGTATGAGACTTTGTTGCAAACCCCTGAGGCATCCAAGATTGATATCGCCGCACAAGCATATGACAGAACTCCTAACGATTATTCAGTTAGGGATGCCACAATGAGGGATTTCCTAGCATACACACGAGAGAATTTCTGCGCTTCCTCAATCGCAGTGGTGCGTTTGTTTGCCGTGGCAAAAAATGGAACATCGCTTGCAAATATTCACGACTGACAAGATAAGTCTACCGTGCCTTCATTATGGCAAGGAATCCAAACAAGACGGAGTCACAATATTTTGATTGCGTGATAATCGAAGCCTATTATCGAAAAAAACGGGCTTTAAATCAACCATACACTGAAGTGAGCGACACGTTGTTAATTTGGCCAACAAGTCAAGAGACCGTTGAGTCTGACGGTTCTATTTCCTATTTCCTGGCATCAGCAACAAATGAATGCGATCAGCAAAGAGATGGGATGAAAATTGCGCTCGTTTCATACCGAGAATACCTGCTATTTCATCGCCTGTGTCTCAAGAGGAATTACCCTCGTGATATCCTTATCCAATAAGCTCGTTTACAGCACGGCTCCCTCTTATCTCACAGGTTCTCCAGCTAAAGGGTCTATATCCCACTTGTCGAATATTGCTGTTAGTTTCGAGAAAAGTCGTACCAGGAAGCAATGCCTCTTTTCTTTCTTTCTTTTTCTTCTTTTTTTTTAACGGCCAACAATCTTTTTCTTGTCAAGCCGCTTGTTATGGCATGATGTGTGTGGTTTAGCATCCTTCTATTCTCACCATGGCTTTGGATATACTCGAGGGTAAATCTCCTCAATCTCCATGAAAGGCCGAGAGAATGTCCTATTTCTAAAGTCTTGCTACTGTTTGTTTTGTTGCTGCCCATGGATTGAGAACAAACATTGGAAGCGTTAATCATCAATAATCTGCAAAAACGGACCAAGTCCCTCGATTTCGTTCTCAGTAATACCACCTTTTTTTACCCCTCCCCCCCCTCTCTCTGTACCGGGGCAAGAGTGTCAAGGCATTAAGACAGGCATACCATTTAAGAACTGCGGCTATTAGGTCGAACAATTGCTGATTCGTGTTCGTTTTCTTTTCCTTTCCGCGACATTTAGTCTCGATCAACAAGAGCATGCTCAAGGCGACATCCTTTGCGTTCCTCAGGCATGTTGCAATTTGGGAGGAGGCTCTCAAGCTCGATTTGGGCGAACGGACGGTAGGACACGCCCACCAGAACAATGCGTCAAGAATAGATAAGCAAAGGCCGCCGTGAGACTCGATTGAGAATTTTTACTTCACATTGGATTGGCAGTCCTTCGCTCTACCAGAACGCCTGGAGGCGAACTTTTCATTTCCGATTTGGAGAAAACAAAGAAAATACCCGCTTGTGAAACGAAATAAAAACATTCCGGTCGGCAATGGCATGATGAGAACTTACGGTTCATTGGATTTATTGAAGCGCCCAAGTGGTTTGGACTGGGAAATTGAAAGAAAAAACTACCACTTTCGTTCCCGCAGCCTCATTGCCGTTCAGTCCCTCATTCGAAACTGATTTGGCGGTCTGGATGATGACCGGTGAAAGCGTGGCTAAGATCCTTAGAAACACAAGGCCGTACACACTGATAGAGAGAGTATGCGTAAACTGAAGCTCGCCAGGTCGAAAAGGATTGCAGCAAAAGAAATCCGTGAATCACTCCGGAAAGCACGCCGCAAATATGCCAGAAGCAAATATTACGGACTGTATATACCCTCGAACCTTCGATAAATCATGCTCCAGATACATTTTATTTAACTATACAAAGAAGTCAATACGCTTAACGGCGGCGTTGGCCATAATTCTCTGACCCTCATACAGTAGCTCTCTTTCTAACACTGCTCTGACGGAACGACACTGCCCTCGCGAACACAATGCTCATGGTTGAGTTGGTCTCCAACGAGACAGACAAGTATGATCATGGTCAATGAGCGCAAGCCGCCGGACGCGATCATCCTGGTTTTCAAACATTCAATCCCGGTATCCTAAAACGGTATCCTAAAGGGGCCCAGGAATGACCCCGATTTCTAGAACATCGAAGGAACCATGTTATGCGTTTGGGAGGCAGTCGATCTGGCATTCCTGTCTTGTAGTATGATGTATCTTATGTGGCATCAAGAAACCTAGAGTCCGCCTGCGAGACGCGCAGATCTGGAAATGAACCATTGACTCGTTGAATCGCCGGATGGAATTCCGCTAGTTCCGATATTTATCGATTGAATTGACTTTGAGTGCTGGGCCGTTCGCAGGGATGTGGATAAAAGCCAAACGTGTCTTTACTCCGCATACCTTTGCACTTATACGGAGTACTTGAATGTGGTTAGTTGGACACAAAGTCCCGGTTGCTATTGATTGGGGGCTGGCTTTTGTGAAGTTCTCGTGGTTGGTAACTCAGCATCGAACTATGGGGCTGATGCTTCTGGCGCAATCCAGACCGGAATACAGACGTTTTGGGCCGAGCGGCATTTTTATTGAGGTTCCGGAACAACATATGCCGTAGAGACGATAATTATTGGATGGGCAATCCATGCAGATGCATAGCGATAACGAAGGGCCGGGAACTTAACATTCCACGTTTCTTGGTTCATTTGTGCGCTCGAGAGTGGAGCCATGGTCGGAGTTCGAGGGTTCCTGGAGGCGTCCTGGAGATAACCGTCTCTTGGAAAGCGGCGGATTGACCCTTGTGAATGTGGCCCGGCGGGCAATGTCCAGGGTATGTTACTGTGGACAACGCAGGTACCCGTCCAGTGGGCTGATATAACTGGACTTCATTTGCCGGGTGCCAATCATGGAAAAGCGATGGTATGTTCGTACGTATGTACAGAACATATATACCTGCAACTACGGAAAATCTATGAAAACTATGTCTGTCCGTATGGAATCAGACTTCTTTGCGGAGAGCGTCACAATTATGTTGCTGAGTAACTCCGTACATCAAGGGGGTTACACGACATCTAATCCCTTCATATGATCATCAGCCCAAGAAAATTCCAGAAAAGTCTCATCCCGCCCAAAGCCCGCTCGCCAATGTTTTATGAGATTGTTTCAGGAGCAACCGCCCTTGCATGGCTGCGCAACATACATGCATCCTCTACTCCATATCTGTATGGAGAATGCCACATGCTCTGCAGGTGACCCGAAACCTGGAGAAATATGTGTATTTGCACCAAGTCGTTATGTTACATAGGCCTTACGGGCCCGCTCTCTATTCCTTACTGGTACACAGGCTCCTTTCAAACTGTGTTTCTGTTTCTTAACGGGCAGTTAATTCCTCTTCCACCCAATTAATCAGACACGGTTTCATATCAACCGTACAATCGGGACTCGCTAAGTGCCTTGAATGGATAAGAAAGGCTATAGTCTCTGATAACGAAGTTTTGCGACCAAAAATTGAGTCAAGAAATCCCCACACACTGGCTGTTAAATTTTCATCCCATTCGACACATCCCTTTATGGACCATTGCCCCATCTCTTTGTGCTCATAGTGGAGTCCCAGATATCAGAAGGATGAAAAGCTAATAACCATCAAAAACAAATATGAAAGCTACCCGAAAAACGGGATGTTCTCTAGGTATGAACTGAAGTATGAAAAGGGAAATGTGCAGGCTCCATGAGGCCATAGTCTACCCTGTATGTAGTTGGCTGGGCGTCTCAACTAAAGCTCTGAGGTAGAGACTTTGTGGAAGGCTCACTAGCTGATGGCTGGGTAGATGGGCTGGACCTTTCAAGGGCTGCTTTGAATAAGCTCGTTCAAAAGGGTAGCTCGACATTAAAAAGGAACCTAGCTCGCCTGTGTATTCATCTGTCTCTCGTGAGTGGACATATTCCCTGCCATGAAGCCGTATCTCGCTGCATTCTAGAGGTATTTGCACACCGATTTTGTTCTCTAGAAACCAACTATCGCTCCTGGTTGGAATTGAGCCAAGCTCCCCATCTGAAAGACTTTGGATTAAGATATTGACTAGTTCCGTTTATCGATTCAGACCTTTTGGAGGAAAACCTTGGATAACAGATGTTAAAGAATTTCGGGCTTTGAAAGGAACTCGTAACTCTATTCCCAGATTTGAAGGAAGCGAGTGACTCTAGCTGCATGTGAATTTCGCTGACTGAGGACTACGATTGGGTTGGTCCCGTCGCTAAGAAAGCTCCTTGAAGAATATCCCTGATTATAGTTCTACTTTATGCTTATGTGGCTGGAGATAATGGAGATTTCAGAATGTTACTGGCTGACTGGGACGGTTATCCTAGCTGCGCAGAGGATACAGAGAACGCTGTACATGGACGGAGCAAGGAGGAGTGGTATGACCGAATTCGCAATCTCTCCGTACATCTGCAGGGATGGCGGATATCGCTGGCTTTTGATCACCCTTTCAGACTAAGCTTTTCTGATCGGCTGAAAGCGAATGAAATGACAAAATTCTTTTGCGTGTGACCGATCCGAGTCATATTGAAAGGGGGCGAAAAAAGGAGAGCAGGGCTGGAAGGTTTCGACTCATCGGAGAAATAAATCACTCGTACGTACAAACTGAAGGGGTATATCGACGAATAGAAAAAAAAAGAAATAATTGGTACATCCATCTCGGCACAAAACTACAGATTAAAAAGGAAGATGACCAATAGTTAAAACATCCAAGTCGAAAAAGAAAAGAGAGTGAAAGAAAAAGAAAAAGCAAAAAAGAAAAAGAAAAGAAAAGAGGGCCTCGCCTCTGATTTCGTCATCTATTGCTTTTGGATTTCCTCTCATTAAAAGTATCCCGTTCCCGTAACTAAACCCATATCCCATTTCAGAACTCATTACCGTGGTTATTACGTACCTCAACGTCAACTGTGAACGTCCGCGTCTCCTTGATTATCCGCGACTGGCTCGACTGGCTGTTCGATTCATCCCAGTCTACCCCACCGCTTTCAACCTGCGACCCATGGCCATTACGTGCACGGCCATGGTTCGAACTCAACACGCCCAGTTCGTTGAACTCGCCAGCCTCTCTGCGTGCTGCCCTTCTCGCAGACGACTTGGACCCGGATAAATTGTATCGATAAGATCCCTTGGCGGTCGATCGGCGGTATTGATCATCCGCACGAAGTAACCCGGACTCAAGGCTATCAAGGAAAGGTTTGAGGAACGGCATACATGCCGTGACGACTGCAAGGGATTGGAGAATCTGAGTGCAGATTGTCATCTGCCAGTAATCGAATGTCGCATTGCTGGTGTCGGGGACCTGGTTGAGAAAGTAAAGTTGTAAAGCCACCACGACCACAACACTGTTGACCCTAGCTTTTAGTAACGATGGTTGTTGCGGTGTGTGTTTGGCTTTTGGGGTTGACATACAGTAAGCGGGCTCCAAAAACAGAGCCGATGGTTATTTTGCGCTTTGTTGAAGTCTGAATCTGAGATGTGATGGTGATCATTAGGCCGACTTGGATAACATCGGTCAGAATGTTCATCACCCCATAAAAATTCCAAAAGTTTTTCTGGTTTTGCAAACTATCAGCACAGGCCTTCCATAAGCATACCGGGGCTCATTCAAGAAAGATTCATACCCTTCCCACACAGATATTATTGACATAGTTCCATGGTTCAGGCAGACGGCATTGAAAACCGACCACGAACATTGATGACATTGTCCATAGGATCACTATGGTCCCGAGAGCATATATAGTGTACTTGTATTGCTTCAGCAGGGCAAATTGGAGGCTTAGAACAAGCAGGGCAATTTTCGTGAGGCATATGGATGTAATGAATAAGAAACTCGCAGCATAGTCGCCCTATAAGCTCATGAGTTAGTTTGCTCCGGAAAATATGTTTGGCGACAACACACTTTTAAAACTGTCTGCAGCTGAGATTCACTTAAAGTGTCGGTATATCTCCCCCATCCATTCTGATCCTGGATCCCAACAGTGATGGACTGCCCAATACAAAATGCCTAAGGGAGTTCATTAGTATTAAAACGCACCCAAACCGTTAAACAAACAGCAAAACGATGACTATTCTCACTAGAGCTACCAGGATAATATAATCTTCAGTTGTCGGTCGTCCTCGAATCGCTATTTTTGTTGAAGTCGAGGCGATAACTGAGAGTACGGCGATGACCAAAAATATCCAAACGAAAATATCCACCAACGCAGACTTGTCGGTGTCTGTGATCAAAGTCTGCGCCATTCGCAAACTTAGATGAAAATAGTATCCACACCTACTCTTCTCATGATAGTCACGACAATCAACCGCAAACAGGAAGCAAAAAGGGGCTGATGTTGAAGTGTCAATCGAAAACAGAAGTAGGAAGAATCACCATTATCATTGGCGATAACAGCAAATGGCAAAACAGTAAAAATAAAGGGAGGTTTTTCTCAAAATGATAAAAATAAATAAATAAATAAATTAGTATCAATCCGGATTCGATGGACAGGTACAATATTTAATGAAATATGTACTCCGTATATCCTAGGGAGCCTTGGGAATTGACAAGGTCGATGTGCGAGAAGTGAGTACGTTAGAATATGCGCCCGCAAGGATTCCCCTCACGCGAAGGCAATTTCTGGCGAGGGTAGTTAATTGATCTGCTGCGGCATGGCTGAGGACGTACAGTACAAACGAGCAACGTGTGGAATATTATTATTATTATTATTATTATTTTCTTTCTTTCGTACGGAGTACACGCATGTGTATGCAAGGCTACTTCAATGGAGAGCTGGGGATAGTTTCGATTATCCGAGCCTCTCCAAAGAGCTTTCGGATTCTTGCTATTTTGGATCGGACCAAGACTGAAGGCACGAATATGAGGCGGGAACCAGTCAGGCGGTTATGTCGTTCGAGTCTCGAAGATCAATGAACGAGCCATTAATGGTGGCGGGCCGCCCGCAGGTGTGCATCCTTATTTTTCTCGGTGAAGCAAGCCGAGATGGTGTTCAAACCTTGGCGTCATTGCCCAAAAAAATTTCATCCGCTTCGTTCTCTCGCATGGTGGGACAAATAAGAGTCTCAAAAAAGGTTCCATCCAGCAGTCTTGTGGTCCATGTGGTTTGGAGAATCTCAGTAATGAATCATCTCGTCTGACGCATCATCTTTGTCTCAACTCTCCTAGTCAAGGGCTTTTCCTTCGGTCTCTTTTCTTTTCTTTTCTTTTATTTTTCGGACAGAATGGTGCCATAAAACCTAGCTGCCAGTTGCAACAGAAGTGAAAATCCTGTGGGAGATCCCGGATGCAGTGCTTGCTCCTGGGATCATCCTGGATCGGCGGCTTGTTGGATAGTCTGGGCCTATCCTCGCGCGTAATCTGGTTCGGACGGTCGTGAACAATTAAGATTCCGGGAAGTTCGATTTGCAGCAGGCGAGCAGGGGCCACTAGCCAGTTATCGATTGGAGATCCCGCATCGGGACGGATGTAACGATGCTGGCACAGGAGAATATTGAATAAGGATTCTCCCAACCAGGAGAGACGCCTTGGGGCAAGTCCGGCTAACGAGGGTGGACAATGCTGTTCAAGACCTCGAAACTGCCCGTCTGCTTCAGTACACAACATTCATGGAGATGATTAGCCACCTAGTTGGGCTTGTCCTCTCGGAGAGATGTGTACCTCAGCACAGAGGACCTCCTCCTGCGACGCAGGTCATTTTCATTCCCATTATTCGCTCAACTAAGTCTGTCTCGTACGAAGGTGGCAGAGAGCCTTCAGCTTGGTAGTCGCCATTTTTGTGGCCAATGAGGCCTCGTCTCCGGCAGAAAATGTACCTCGTCCAGATGCATGTCTGTACGGAGTACTCCGTACTCCGTTCTTCCTCCCACATCCATACACATTTTGAAATTAGGGTTCACTTCGGAGCAATAAGAAGCAGCCAGAATTTTGTCCACGGGCTCGTGAGCTCCCAGAGTTAATTAGCAGCTAACGCATTTCTTGTGAAGTGGGCCAAAAACACTCCATCTACGCCTCGTATCCGTTTCCCCCCACACCCACGAGAAACGCTTTGAGCTAAGCTCGGACTGAAGGAGGAAGAGGTTCACACCGTACTCCATACTTGCGGACAACTTTTTTTTTGGGTCCCATGTGGCTGCTAAATATTTAAACGAGATGTCAGGCAGTAGAAAGGTGGATCCCGTTTGCATGTACAGCGTATGGAGCAATGGATGTCCTGGTGGCTATTTTGGACTTGGTCCGGAGAGGCTTGTGGCAACGAAGTCTCCCAGCGGGAAGAAATCCTTGGCGGCAAAAGTCTTTTACTTGGTAACTACTTATGGGTTAAGGTTAGGCGCTCCTTGTGCCCAGAGTGCCCTAAGGACTGCCCTTAAGAACGCGGGAGCTTTACCTGATGGAGGCGCTGCTGTTAGGGTTCAGCCCGCTAGCCACACCGCTGCCAAACGCTGCAAACATTTACTTTTACCTTTTTCGTTATTTCGCTCGTTGTCGTCGTCGCCGTCGTCGTCGTCGTGGTCTCGATCGCCTTTCATTCGATAGTGATACTGAGCAACAACAATGCCGCTGACAATTCCAGCGGAAAAGCTTGCGGGCTTGCAGATACCAGCGAACGGCGTGGAATCGAGCCTCCCCTTGGCCCTAGCCAGCGCCAGCCAGCGCCACTTCGCTGCAATATCAAGACAACTCTCCTGCTCCAACAGACACTTTCCGTCGATGAACCAAAGAAGTTCATCGTGATGGGCCCTGTCCAATAAGTATCTGGTCCAGTCAGGGATAAAGTACGACCTTGATGTCAATCTCTTCCACTAGGAGCCACACGCAGCAATCAAACTTCCACACTAGCCCCCGATACCCTTGCACAAGCATCCCAGCAGCGCAAGTAATGCCTGCATTCCACCCTCCGAACTGGTCCATGTGTGAACGAGTCCGTTAGTTCTACTTTCGCCAACTGACTTGCAATCGCGTCGGGGAACAAACAGTGACCCATTTCGCCTAAGCTTTTCTCGCCGGCTGCGCTCTTTTCGATACTTCCGCAGTCTCAGCAAACCAGCTAAAACATGGCAAAACCACCCCCAGACCCTAGCTAGTTCCAGGTACCATGTCCTCAGGGTCGCGCCACGTCAAATGCACGGCTAAATTCTCGAAGACCATGCATTATTGTTCCAACGAGACTTAGTTTCCGCATACCGAGAGCTCGCGCTCTCTCCCTCACTAGATTTTCTCCTCTCTGTGCATTACACATTATTATTCCTCACAATATTACTCCGTACATAGTCAAGTCCAGGCGCTTTCTTTTCGGTCGACGGAGTACTCCGTATTCTTCTTGAATTTCTTCTTTCTTCCCCGCCTCCCACCTTCTCTCTCTCTCTCTCTTTCTCTCTTTTTATTTATTTATTTATTTTTTTACCTTCTTCTTCGCCATCTTCATCTTCTTTTGTCTGTTCAGCATTAGTCCGGGAGCCTTTGTTCCCCTTTATATACCCTTTTAATCGATGTTCAATCGATCCTTCAACCTGAGGGTAACTTCGTCCCATTGAACTTTGGTGCCCTTCACCATGATGAAGGAGGAAGTAGCTCAAGAGCTTGGCTCTTTGAATGGCAATGGAACCAAAGCTGGTGCCAGAACCCAAGCGAGCCAGGTTTCACAGGATCGGGATCGCGATGAGCTTCTTCGGCTGGGGAAGAAGCAAGTTTTAAGGGTACAAATTCTTCCTCAACCTAAGTCGTGAGCGCAAAGCTGACAAGAGCCATCCCCTTTCGCCAGCGAAACTTTGCGTTTATGTCCATCCTTGGTTTCAGTTGTACCGTCCTTATTACTTGGGAAGGTGCTCTGATCTTATTCGTTACCGGTCTTGAAAACGGTGGATATGCTGGCCTGATATACGGCTACCTTGTTGTCTGGCTCGGTAACTTTGCGGTATTCGCTTCTCTTTCGGAATTGGTTTCTATGGCTCCGACGTCTGGCGGTCAATATCACTGGGTTGCCATGCTTGCGCCGCCTAGATGGAGCAAATTTTTAAGCTACATGACAGGGTGGGTTACTGTTCTTGGATGGCAAGCTTCCATTGCCTCCACTTGCTCTCTGACCAGTGGCCTTATTCAAGGCCTAATTGCGTTGACGCAGCCCGACTATACCCCTCAAAACTGGCATGGGACGCTTCTGCTTTGGGCAGTCGTGTTATTCTGTGTCTTTATCAACACGGTTATCAGTCGACTACTGCCAAAAATTGAAGGCTTGATCCTTATTCTGCACATCCTGGGGTTCTTTGCTGTTCTGATCCCCTTGGTCAAGCTATCCGAGAAGGCGGACCCGGAAGTGATTTTTACAGTCTTTAAAAATGACGGTGGCTGGTCAAGTAATGGCTTGTCATTTCTGGTTGGCCTGACTGGAAATGCGTTTGCCTTCCTTGGTGAGTCGTATATCTCCAAACTGGGGCTGTTGGCGTGACTAACATTTCGCTTAGGACTTGATGGCGCCTATCATGTACGATTCTCCCTTTTTTCAAATGTGTTCGATTGCTAACAATTCCTTAGATGTCCGAGGAAATCCAGCGACCCTCTGTCATCGTACCGCGATCAATCATGCTTACTTTGGTGATTAACGGATCGCTCGGTTTTGGAATGATCATTGCTGTGTTGTTTTGCACTCAAGATATTGATGCCGCTCTTAATTCACCCACAGGCTTCCCTTTCATGGAAATCTTCAGACAAGCTACTTCTCCCTCAGTCGGAGGAGCCGCTGCCATGGCGAGCATTATTACTGCTCTTGCCATGTGTGCAAATGTTGGTTTCCTCGCCTCTGCATCAAGAATGGTCTGGTCGTTTGCACGCGATCGTGGTCTTCCTGGCTGGCGGATTCTGTCAAGGGTAATTTTTATCCCCATCATGAGAGTTGCCAAAAAAAAAAAAAAAGAAAGAAAAGAAAAACTGATTACAACTAGGTCGAAAAACGCACAATGGTTCCTCTGTGGTCAATTGCGACCATTACTATCATTGCTATCCTGCTTTCTCTCATCACCATCGGCTCTCTCACGGCTTTCGATATTGTGGTCTCTTTGACTGTTGCCGCTCTATATATCAGTTACATGCTAGCAATTGCTTTGCTTCTCTACCGTCGCGTCACCGGAGGCATCTCCTATTCCTCGGATTCGCCAACTACGTTGGCCAATACTGCAGGGTCTCGCCTTGTTTGGGGACCCTGGCGGTTCGGCAAATTCGGACCCATTATCAACGTGTTTGCTCTCTGCTATCTCCTTGTGATTCTTGTGTTTAGTTTCTTTCCAGCCCGCACGCCTGTGACAGATCCCAACGATATGAACTACAGCAGTGTTTTGATTGTGGCAGTGATGGCCTTCAGCTTGGTGTACTATTTCCTGTATGCAAGAAAAACATACCAAGGTCCACTCGTGGAAGAGGAAGCAATATCACTTTCAGGGTATTGATTAATGGTTACTGATTTCAGCATGGGGTTTCAGCCAAAGAAAATGGCAGCAAAATCGACTAATTATTTCCTTTAACCCCCTTTCAGCCAATGTTTTATAATATTGTCTTCATCTTCGAAGTATATAGTGGGACTGGCTTGGTATATATGGTTACAAGACAACAGAAATTCTCTTTGGTGTTCTGGGAGGGATCTATCGAAGAAAATTGTGTATTTATTGATTTTCAAGAGGAAGAGAAGTGACGAATCAATATATATCCTCGCCTATTTAGCCTTCGAGTTCCAGCCCAGCTGTAACCCCATCGACAAACTTCGCCGCTTCCTCCATCCCTTTCTTCATAACGTCAGCTTCATTGATCTCGCTCTTTTCACTCTGCGCGCGTTTTGCTAGAGCCTGTGCAACTGCCTGTGCAACCTTCTCATCGTCCAGGACACTCTTTCCATCATCCCCTACCATCCCCCCAGATCTCCCAATTATCTCCGTCCACACTGCACGCTCTCGCTCTGTCAACACCGCATCGCGCATAATGGCGTTCTTCGCCAACCCCAAAGCATGCAATTTGCCCATCGCGCTCGCAATACTACTACCCACCGTCTCCACAAATTCATCAATCTGTTCCTCCACTGACGCGCACGAAGTCTTAGTCCCAAAGAAGAATCGATCAGTCGCGGAGAGATATATGATTCCCGCACATAGCGCGTCAAAGGTTGTAAGCCCTAGCGTTCTCGCCATGTAGAGACGGGTGTACAAACTACCGGGAATCAACGCTGTGTTCAGCACACCCATTTCGTACGGGTCGTAGGCGGCTACGAAGCTTAATTCGGCCAGGAGGAAGAAGAATCCAGTCCAGAAAAATTTGGTCCTCCATCGTGCGGCGATGGGGCCGGCGATGGGCGCGGAAGTGACAATTCCGAGGATGAGAAGGTGAAAGAGGTGTGGGAGGAGGACGTTGGAGGAGATGTAGTAAATTAAGTATGACTTTGGATTTTCGGGGCCGCAGAAGGGGCAGGAGAGGAGCGTTTCCGGGCCGAAGCGGAGATAGGTCCTGCGGGCGGCGGGAGAGGTGAACTGCGCTCGGAGTGAGGTGTCCAGGTGTGTGAGGGGCCGGATGCGCGAGACTCGGGTGAAGAGGAGCTCTGTGGGAGTGGAAAACCGCGAGGATGTTAGGGAGAAAATGCTTGAGGCTGGAGCATGTGGGTGAATAGGTAGGCTAAGGGTAAAGAAGAGAGCAGCGGAGAAGAAGAGGATATTCAGGGCACGGGAGCTCTGGGGAGTGAGCGGCTTCGGCGAGATGTGACGTCGCTGCGCGACGGATTGCCGCACCGCGCGGATTAGGGATATGGCACGAGGTATAAGGATGGGCGCGAAGAAGATGGTGAGGGATTTAATGCTGCATGATTACTGTCAGCTGGCGCCTCGCGTTGATTGAGGGCGAGAAGCGTACGTATCAAAGAGCGTCATGTTGATTCAGGCGGACAGGCTAGTCCTGGAGTGAGAGGTTCAGCATGCAAATCAAATAAATGACCGACTTGCATTGTCAATGCCAACCAAAAGCAAGTGTGAGGGCCTTTCAGCAGTTGGTGGAAATTACCAACAATAGACCACGCTGGCGGTTAGAGATCGTGAAAGGGTGATGGCAGCGCCAAGCTCAAGCTCCCCCCAGGCCGAAGAAAACCAGCAGCTTGGATTGTAACTATAGGCTCAGGGCAAGAGTAGTGAATTCATATGTCCATGTATTAGAGAAGCCAATGCGACTTGCTAAAGGATAGAATAGCTATGACTAGATACAAGTACATTTAATATAAAAGGAAGATCGTGTGGACGCGATCTCTTCAAGTGCCTATGCTCAAACGCCTGAAACCCCCAGATTTCCCAACAGATAATCAAAGAACGTTTTCTTTCCCAATCGTGGGTAGACGAATTGAGAATATTATCTTGAAACCATCGCATGACTCGCTCTATTATGTTAAAGAATCATACCCGGTCGGAATACATTGCTGGGTGATGTGCCAGGTTGGGTACCGCCAAATCAGGTTCGGCGGTAAATTTGCCAAATTGATCCTGGTTATCATTGATCGGAGATGAAATCTTTATCGGGATTCTGGGTGTAGCGCGCACCGAGGCGGTTCTCGTAGATACCGCCCTTGGGCTAGAATAATTGGAGGAAGACGAGCGATATGTCGGGAGCGAATCTTTACGCGAAAGTTGGAAAGACTTGTGGCTGCTGTCTCTAGTGATAACCTTTTGCTCGGCAACAGCTCCATGAGCGCGGACATGGCGGGCCGTGACTCCGATGTTCCTATCTTGGAACACAAAGCTCTGAATGGCGGGCATTAGCAAACGATGTCCTCAAGAAACAAAAGGAGAAAGGCAGGGACATACAACAATGACATTGATAACTCCAACAATTATCACAACAATGCCGGAGGATATCACAATTCTCCAAAATGCTAATCCTAGAGACTTTTGGCTTGTAGCTTCTTTATTGAGGTTCCCAAGAGTTGACACCCCGAGGACAATCATAGTCGTTCCTAACGTGACAAATCCTGAATTCTGACCAAGCAACGGCCAATTGCGATTGAAATACGCGCGAAAGATGTTTAATTCGGAAACTATTAGAAAAACTGCATGTTTTTAGTACATACAAGCAAAATGATGGCAGCTATCTCGATAGGACTTACGACTGACGCTAGCAACCACCACATGAGTGACGGCGTCGAAAAGGAAAAATTTGCTGACGATGAAGGTCTTGACCAGCATAACAGCGCAAGCAGCAATAACTGAGAGAAGAGCAATGATGTTCATAACCCTGACAACATTCAGGATCACATATCCCGGGCCGGCCAGGGGTTGTTTAATAAGAGCCATCTTTGAAGCTGAAATTTATAGCGCAATATGTGTTCGAATAGATAGCCGAGGCGAGATGAGCGAGATTCGCTGAATGAAAGAGACCCGAACGGTTATATTTCGCGTATACCAGGGCTAGAAGGACGGGGTGAAGGGGAGAAAAAGAGCGTCGCTGGCGAAGATGTAGGAGCTTGACTGAAAAAAAAAAAAAAAAAGAAAGAAAGAAAGAGATTATGCCCTGTAGCCTGACAGGCAGTAAAAGATCTTTGAGAAATGGATGTGAAGGCTTAGCACTGCAGATTCAACATATTGTTGAATGTGCCATTGAAGGCCACAACCAGAGCGCCTCAAAAGACAAAAGCAAAGGAAAGGGCGAAAAAACTCCTCTAAATAAAAAAAAGAAGAGTATTCAGGAGAGGAAAGGATTGATCACACTGGAGGGAGGGAAATATCTATGAGAGAATGGCTGTGAAACAAAGGTGAAGAATGAGAAATGACAGGAACCAGTCCATTGAATGGTGCATTCACAATGATTGAGAGAGCAGCCGCTTCTTGTATTCCATGTGAAGTGTTCTTCCCGCGTCATCGGCATTGGAAATCACTCATTTCTAGCAATTTCTGTCCTGCAATATATAGGCAGCTAGGGGCAAACTCCATGTTTCAGGAAGTGCCTGCAAAGAACGGAGGAAAATAGCAGGAATGGACAGCTCAAGACTCTCTGGCCCCCAGTCATCCCACAAAATCGAACAGGGCTTCTATGGACTGGCTATGGGAGTAAGTTGAGCAGCTTGACCTTGTTCCTGATGAAACGTATCGCCGCTCCTGGACGGGTGGTTTCTGCAAGAAATCTGCATGCTCATAGGCCAGTTGTTTGGCGCCGGACTCTGACAGCTGTGTGGAGATAACCCCCTTGACAGCGGTTGTGCTGGTCCCCAGCGCTTATCTAAGTATACTTGGGAGTCTTTCCAAACTGGTATTATGAGAGAGGAAAAGCTCAGATACCGGCGCGATGGAGAGATTCCAGTCTACGATGGGAAGAGGTTGGGACGGGCTTGTCTGGATCCGGAAATTAGGGCTCAAAACCCGCCTGGCAGGCTGACTAGCTAAAAAGGAGCAAACATAAAAGCACATTGCAAACAGAGCAACCCCACGTTCAACACGTGCGCTCTGCTTGGCTTAATTCCGGCCGACAACGGTGTCTCGCAGCTCACACCGCTGCCTTTGCTCGTCCCTCCAGTGCTCTCACTGCAAACTGTGTTCGAGTAAACCGCATCCAAGATGGCCCGTGGAAACCAGCGTGAGAAGGCTCGTGAGAAAACTCAAAAAGAGATGGCTCAGCAGGTAAAGCGCCCCTTCATCCTCTAACTGCTCCAGAAAGTTCAAATCCACGACCTCCGCCTCACTAGAGCTACGTTGAAATTGCTATCTTTGCCGTTGCTTCTGTTAGATATATATTAACTCCGTGCAGAAAAAGAAAAATAATATGTCGGGGACTGAATTTGCCCGGACTAAAGAAGCTCAAGCAGCCATCATGCGTGCAAAACAAGAAGCAGGTACGAAGAAATGTCCCTTTCTTTTGCGAAGCATTTCGGAAGCTAATGAGACCCCTTTTTGTGTGTGTAGCCAATGCCAAAAAAGCCGCAGACGCTGCTGGCGGGGGAAAAAAGAAATAGCTACGTTCATAATTCGTTTTGCACCCTCACCGGTACATAATGACGGGACATTCGTATGGTCACTCTTGATCCGGCAATTTTATCCCACCCGCGAACTACGGAATTCATGTTAAGGCGCGGTGAGGGAATAGTACAATGGAGGCTGCCCTACTACAAAGGGTAATCATGCGTTTCTTGAGGTTTCCGTTTATTTCAGATGACGAAACGAAAGCGATTTTAATGATTTAGCGGCATCATTCAGTTGGAATAGAGCGTTTATATATATTATGTGTTAATGCCGCTAATTTACGGATTCAAAATGGTAAATCTGTGCTTCGCACAAGGCATCCAAAAATTTGAAGGAACGTGTGGCATCCACTACTCCTTGAAATGAGCCTTCGCCTGAGCAGCTAAATCAGCCCAATGGCGGCGGATTTGTGTAGCATGGCCAGCTTCATTGTCCCGTCTGGTTATTCCGTGATCCATGCGGGAAAACGCCTCAAGGTCAAGTCGAAAATTTGATATGGCAAGTGCGACGAATACCCACAATGCCTCCCCTTCCCAGCCCACATCGAGAGCATATTTGATAGTCTTTTCGACCATGACTGTCTGGAGTGGTGCATCGGCGACAACCTCAAGCAAATACAACAGGAAAGTCCAACCAGAAATGTCGGGTGGATGGTCTAGACACCATCTATGCATCCCTTCAAGCAGCACGCTCGCCATATCCTGGAAGGAATGCAACTGGATATCACTATTCAGTGGGGTGGTAAGGATGTCACCGTGTTTTTGCCTTGTCATCTCGCTATTGAGTAGGTCTAGGCCACGATCTCGGAATCGGCTCAACAGGTCAAGGAGCTGGCGTAGATAGCTAAAGGCGTAATAGTTCATCGGGTGTTGCACTCCAGCCTTCAGGCCTACCGCAAATTCACGTTGGAGAAGTTTTTCGCTGATCATCACATCATCCACGCTTGATTGCATCTGGGGTATCTCTAACAAAACTGATTGTATATGGCAAGGGTCGAGTCTAAGGACTTCGGTCATGACCCAATATCGGTGGTACCACAAAGTAGGAGACTTAGCATGTCGGTGCAACGGAGAGCGAAGCAAGGTTGCAGTAAACGAAAGCTCCTCTTTAAGTGATCTAGCGTAGTCACTTGCCGGCAAAGAGCTTCTTAAGGCACAGATTCTCCGTTTGCGCCAATTGCAAACTGTCAGGTGCTCGGAGTCGAAGAGGAGGATGATTTCGGATGCCACTCTTATATTGGTATTAGTGGGTGAATCCGTTGTTTGCCCTACAATAACCGAATCCTCTCTAGCATTGCCATCCTTCAGTGAACCGAAGAAAGCCTTTCTTGCAATAAGAAATGCTTGGGCGAGAGCGCGCTTTGTGATTCCGATATTGGTTCCATCCTGAAGCAGTGGGCCGAACCCTGATGGGAGAATCTCAATATCGTAGATTTTCTCATTTCTACCAACGAATAACTTTGATAAAGATTGATAAATATTCTCTGAGTCAGACATTTGAGGTATCTCGCATTTTCTATTACCATAGATCAAAGTGGTCTTGCATGAGCGCCTAGAGTTTGTTGTCAGCAGTTTTGTCAAACCTATCAAACATTTGATGCAAATCAAACAAACGAGCTTTCCCCATTTATTTATCGTCATCATCGCACAGCACGCACGTTGAGAATCGAACGGCCAGGTTCACCCTTCTCATTTGAAGCCCCCATGAGTGTGAAACTTTGACTATGGACACTCTCCTATAAACCATTCTTCCGGATCTTCTCATTGTATAGACATTCATCCACCACCTGCCAATGCACTGCCGCCAAAGCGCCTCAGAGCTTTTCAACTGATTCCTCCTGGACACTGTCATCATGCCTTCTCTCCTCATTATCGTCCTGATCATTCATGTCGTGACCTATCTAATTAACACAATTGGCGCTAATACCATAGACAGTCTGGTATGAGTTCTCCTATGTCCCTCGATCATTAGCCGGAGACACGATCACTGGCACACAGATTCTAGTGTCTGATTGTTGGCTTGTCTTTGGGCCGTCGGAGGATTTCTTCTAGTTTAAGGGCTAATTTTGTTTTTAAATAGCTATGGTTACTCTATCTCAAACTTCCCAACCAGACATCGCAAACAGCGGACGAGCAAAGGCGGCTGAAGCGGGAAGTCATGCAGCTCAAACGAGAAATGAATGCCACGAGTTCGCAGGATGAGTTTGCCAAGTGGGCTAAATTAAGAAGACGTCACGATAAGACTATGGAAGAGTACGAGGCGAAAAGTGCGTCCCGTCCCCCCTTCCACACCCGAGCTTTAGCTGGTATCCTCTTATCACCCGTGTCCTATGCGAGATGGCAGGCACGAATACTAATTCAGTCTTCGGTATATCCAGATAAAGCGCTTGGCAAGCACAAGTCCTCGTTTGACTTAGCAGTTAAATCGGTTAGATTCTTCAGTACCACTGGTTTGAAGCTTTTCCTTCAGTTCTGGTTCTCGAAAACACCGATATTCGAACTTCCTCGTGGATGGATCCCATGGCAGGTTGAATGGGTCCTGTCTTTCCCACGAGCGCCGTTGGGCACCGTGAGCATACAAATCTGGGGCGGCGTATGCGCGACTGTCGTCTCCCTTGCGGGAGACGCTATTGGTGTTGTGAATGTGTACTTGACTTCTAAAGCCCCTAAACAGAAAGAGCCGGCGACATCAGGAGAAAACTCTGCACGGCCTATGGCAATAAAAAAAGAACTATGACGACAAAAGAATTATGCTTATGATCCTTTAAAATGCGTTGTTACGTATGTACATTAATATTGATGATTATTTAAGACACGCCTGGAAGAAACACAATTAAAATTAAAATCAGGCATGGCATGTCCTGCCGAGGTGAACTGTTCATCAGATACTTGGGTAGTCTTCAACGGTCTTTGCTCAAGGCAGTAGACCTCTGTGCTTGACTCTATAAAAATGTTATCGTCATTTGAACATAAGGACTGGATCCGACCCGTTCGACAGGGCATCTGTGATAGTCCACCAAGCGAACTAGGGACTTCTCACCGCTTTCCATAAGCTACGGACCCGAAAAATGAGATAAAAAAAAATTAACTCCTCGCCTCGAGAATAAGCCCCATCGAGTTATCCATCGAACCAAGAGCCATGTGGCCCAAAGTCGAAAAGACAATCGCATAGCTATCCAGCCACGGCGAAGTGCAATCGTATCCTGCCTGGACCCCATCACCATACTCCATTGTTTCCCCTAGAAGCCTCCTCCCACCCGGTACCCAGAGAACCCAGAAGGACCAATAGCTTCGAATGAAGTACCCCAAGCGCGGACTCATATCATCGTCCTGGTCCGTCCCGTCGAAACGAGACGGTGGTCTTGAAGCAAACCAAGCGAAACCTACTCCAGCAGGAACCATGGAATATCGGAAAGGAGTGCGGACGGCTCACGCGGCTAGGGTCGAGTCGATAATAGGAGGCAAGGAAAGACATCAGCCGCTATCAATTGCTTTTATGGCGGCGCGTTTCCGCATTGCCTGACACAGTATGTTGTGCAGGGTGCCCGGGGACTTTCTCCCAAAGCTATATGGTATGGACGATCTCGAGTTGAGAGTCCTGTGCGTAAGCTTTGAATGCGATTCTTCGAGCGAGGAGTTAGGAGAAGAAAGGAAGAAATCTTGGATTCGGAAAATGCTGCGTTTGGTTTTTGTTCTGCTTATTCCAGTGCTAGACCAGAATAGGAAAGGTACGCTTATTAACAGTCTTGGCAACTTCGAAGAGCACACGGCGTTTGGTTGCTGGGAACCTCGGCCGGCGGGCCACCAAGGTGGAATTTATTCCTTCAAAGTGCTCCGTATGGGGTACGGAAAAGCCTAACCAACGATCCCACCTAGGGATGACGCCTCATTTATATTACACGAGTCAGGTATTGTTTCAAAAGTCCGACTCTAGCAATCCCATCATATGCCTGTTGCCCAAATACCAGTCTTCTAAAGACTGCGCCATCTCAACGTCAAAAAGTTCAGGAATTACTTCTACGCCGTCATTATTGCCAATATCAGCATGCCCTCTTAGCATTGAAGGTGCCAAAGACGGTCCCAGGCCAAGAGCGTTCAAATAACTGTCGAATTGCTCACCCGGATAAGCAATTGGTTGGTATTCCGAGGTGGTATTTGTGTTCTCAGCTTCCTGGCGTTTTGCATCCACGTATACTTTCGCAACCTGATAGAACACCATACACAAGCGATACAATCGCTCAGCACCTTCTGAAAGACTCCCTGCAGCCTGTAGACTGGTTGCGACCTCTTCGAGCAATTTCAAATCGTCCAGGTCACCCGAGGATATAGTGTGACAGAAAATTACCAGGAAGGGAACGAAAGGGCATTGCAAAATGGTCCTATGAGTACGTTATAAATCAATGTGACCGTACCAACTCGGATTTGGAGGGCCATGAGGATAATCAGGTAGAAAAGAGAAGCACGTACCAATCTACATATCCTTTCATCACATACGTGTCTTTCGCACGAAATGTCAACATGACATGTTGGTGAAGTTGTAGGGCTCGTCTAGCAGCCTCTACACAGAGTAAACTCAGGCCGGACGGAGTTTCTGGCGGTTGTGTAGGCGGGAGCGCGCGATATACCAAAGTAAGAAGCAAATAGTAACTCAGGTCTGCGCCTGGGATCATCCAACCAAAAAAGAAAGCGTGGTATGCGTCGCCTGGTTCAAATCGGGCCATTGTGGTGCGCCAATCTTTGATTTCTTCCTCGAGCTTCTGGGCTTTCCTCGAACGTTCTGCCGCACTATCGCATAACGCCCGGGCAGAGAAGAGAAGTTCGTAAACTCTGCCCACAATTTTGCTGTATTCAGTCCAATATTGGTAAAGCAGGCGCCAGGGGCGTAGGCCAGGATCATCTGGCAATTCCGGGTATTCAACCGCGATATCATAATCCTGGAGAGTAGAGGTTCTGCCCAAACATAAAGACATGCTTTTATCCATCATATATATGAACCAAAAAAGTGATCTTTCTCTTGTAACATTGGTAGGAGTATCCCCTCCACTCTCGTCCCTTCTGGGGAATGTACGGTGATAGCCCAAACTCTGGCACATTCGAGCTGCCACGGCAGTGAAATTCCAACAAAGCGAAGTTTTGGAAAGTTCAGTTGCATGAAAGGCCTTTATACTGTCAGCACTTGAGACAAGGTCTATGGAGGATGGGGAAACACACTCCAAAGGCGAGCGCTAGAATATTATCGTAGTTTGGCTCCACAAACAGGTCAAAACTGCTAATAATGGTTTCAAAATTCAATCTACACATATCAGAGTATTCGTTAAATTTGTCCTTTAATGTGCCATTCGGTCCATAATATGTGTATTCTTTGAAAAGATACGAAAGTGCGCAGTTAACAGTAGCAAACTGGGCACTAGAGTACTCGTCGGTGCAAAAATATAAATCTTTGCAAAGTTGAGTGAAGGACGGCAAATCCAACATCGGAACGGTGAGAAAAAAAATAGGATAATGATCTAGGACAAGTAAGTTAAGGTTTGCTGCAAAAGGGGATAAATAGAGGCATGCCTTTCGAAAGCCGGAGCATTGAAAGGACAATATCCAAGGGGGGTAGCTCCAGCTGAGAGAGATCAAGCCTTTTCCCCGGTGACTGGCCAGGAAATCGCAGTACATGCATCCCACAGGGACGAGTTTGCCCTTTCACAATATCTCGCAATGACGATAGGGCTTGGATCATGGCTGGATTCTGCTCTATATTCGGACTACTTCCCATCGTCTGTTCGAAAATAGCACTTGCAAGAACCGAATGCGCACTGAGGGCGGATTCTCCTTCAAAATGCGCACTCGGGGTGGTTGCCTCTGATTTTTGGATGACCGAACGGACCTTTGCGCCGTCATTTTGTCGTGAATGGTCGCTTGACTGTCGGGTGTTGGGTGGCGCTTGGCTTGAAGTCGGGATGGATAACGCGAGATCTTGTAGAAGGCGCTCAATGCTCGTAAGCCTCTCATCTATGGTCTCTATTTTCTTCTCGCTAGATGGTATTAGACGCTTATAGTGGCACATTAGACAACAGCGAGTCATACTATTGATGCGATATCAAAACCCTCTGGCGCTGCTCTTTTACCCTTGGGGAGGTTCGACAGATACTCTTCGCGATCCGGCAGTTTGAACATGGAGAAGCTCTATCACATTTGATCTGTAGATCCACTTTTAGCAACCATAACTACAGCAAGGCGGGTGGAATGATGATGTCTATATCCACTCTTCTGACCTTACGGACACGACAATTGTCACACTATTGGAGACATCGTTAGTGCATTGTAGCTGCGCATTCAACAAGGGGTGCTTTTAATTGTTTTACCGCGCGAGAAGCTAAGACAGGTCGCTCAGCCGATGGATCTCCATTATTGCTTTCGGAATCCATTTCGAATATTTATGTTGTGTATACTCCGTCCACCTGGCCGGTAACTCCAAGAAGGCTGGACTGGATGACGTGCGGGAGGCCCAAGTCTGAGTTTGTTCAGCAGGGTGAAGTGTTGTTTAGATAGATCCTGATACATCCAGGAACCGCCATTCTTCCTTTTCCATTGAATTATTCACATGTGTTTGGAGATTGAGTGGTGAAAGTTCCACAAGTCTTTTGCCGCTAGCCTCCAGGCTCCTACAAATTTTAGATCCTTTGCTGTGACCAGTGACTAACTAGCTAGTAGTAAGTTGACAAGGCGGGCCGTGCCAAGCCCTTCTTAACCACGTCCTCGGTTTCTCTGAGGCGTACGGAGGATTAGTTGTCTCTGTGCGTGAGGCAGGTCCTTTTTCTATCATTGATTTATCAGTGCTATGGACCATGATATAATGCATGCGATGTTGCTGTTTACAGGGTAGGCAATGCCACCTTTGACTAGTTACCAATGCCTCCCTTTGAACGGGTTATCCGCTCTAACTAGTAACTAGTTTGAAGGGCTCGTTGGTTGGCACAATTATATATACGCCACAAACATCAACTTATTTATATGTGTATCATCCAATTGCTTTTATAAACCTTAGTTTTTTCTACAAAGAGCAGAAGGAACTCCTTTTGGCGTAATCTAAACAAATCTGTTGGCGCGCTGCAACCAATGTAACGGTCTTTGAAGGTTCTTAGACCTTGAGGTCTGCCGCCGCAGTATTGACGAGCTAAAGTAGGATTCTTGTCAGCATACAAAATCAAGAACTCCGAGGGCAAGTCTTACATCAATTTTATATTGCTCAAGAGCCCTGTCAACTTCTTCAGTAATGAATTTCTCCACTTGCTGAGGTGCCCTGCCAATGAAGCTGCTCGGGTCCAAGAGTTCATCGAGCTCGCCAATAATTGGTTTGAAAAAAGCTGTCCGCTTGATTCGTTCAATCAGGTCGTTTTGTCCGCCTTCGTTCTTCACAACTGCCGCGGCTTGGTGAGACAGCACCCGGATTTCCTCATGGCTTTCTTGGCGGCTTACGCCATGGCGTGCCAAAGCCATGATGACATTCTAGAACAAAATTAGAGTTAAGGTTCTTCAAGTCGACAAAAAAGAGGAAAACATGGGCTACACAGCACCTCAGTGGCCATAAAGGGAAGTTCAGCAGCAACTCGAGAAGCAATAACCTTCTCGTAGACGACTAAACCGTTTGATATGTTATCTAATAGTATCAGGCATGCATCGGCTGTAAGAAAGGCCTCAGGAAGAGTAATGCGACGATTAGCAGAGTCGTCCAAGCTACGTTCAAACCACTGTATGCTGTTAGTTCAGCCTTCGAAAGTTTTGTCACAGCCCATACCTGAGCAGCATAGTTAGTGAGTCCATTTTGGGTTAAACATTGCAGATGACGCCCGAGAGAGCAGAGGCGCTCCGAGCGCATGGGGTTTCTTTTAGAAGTCAGCAAAGAATAAAAAATGCATATTTTACTGCACACTCGTAGATCTAACTAACCTTTTATAGGCCATCGCAGATGAGCCAATCTGGTCTTTTTCGAATGGCTCTTCCATCTCTTTCATCGCGGCCAAACGACGAATGTCGCCTCCGACACGCTCGCTATCAAAAATATTAGAAAGCCAAAACATCTACACGTTCAAAAGGGTAGTTACCAAGTAGCCCCAAACTCTCCAAGATAGTTGATGATATTGGTATCCACTTTTCTCGTGTATGTTTGAGAAGTGATGGTGAAGGCCTTATCAAAACCAGCTTTCTCTGTCACAAGTTCATCAAGGCGTTCAACGAGGTCATCCTTGCCATGAAAGATTTGGAGGAATGACGCCTGCGTCCCAGTGGTGCCTTTGCAACCTCGAAACCAAGAAAGAAGGGATTTCTTAGCATGTTCAAGATTATGGAGGTCCTGTAAAGCAATTAGTAGAACCCTGGCACAGTTTAGTGGCTACACATACCATCAACAGATCTGTAATGAAGAGGCACATTCTTTTGCCTGTTGTAAGTTAATACTTCACTCCCATCATCAACTCTACTAAGGGCTAAAATAAATAAAAATAAAAATTAAGAAATGGAAAAGAAAGGTAAAGAGCCCTACCAACTGTAGTGAGTTGCGCAGGTTGGCCTGGAGAGATAGTTAGCATATGCCTGTCAGCTGCTCTTGAAATGACACACCATGAGTGTATGCTAGGCAGGGAAGATCCTTATACTGCTTTGCAAACTCGGACAGCCTTGCGATAACAGTAGCCAACTTCTTGAGGAGTATATCCAGGCCGTCACGAAGGAAGATCCTAATCCTCTTTTAATGATACTATCAAGCTGACAGCCATAATGGGGTCCTCACAAGTCCGCATTATCAGTGACATAGCACGATGTCGCGCCAAGGTGAATGATAGGAGCGGCGGCGGGGCAAGTTTGTCCGTAGACCTGAGAGCGGAATTAGCATTTGGATCTCATATCAGATCGTGGATTCACCGGGTTCACTAGGATTCATACGTGGACATGTGCCATCACATCGTGTCGTCTGCGCTTTTCTTCCACTGCAGCATCGGCAAGCTCTTGATCTGTAATGGTCTGATGGGCACGCATCTGCTCCAACGCCTCATCAGTTATATTTATTCCCAATTGCTGTTCTGCCTCCGCCAGCCATGTCCATAACTGGCGCCATGTGGAGAATCGTTTCCGGGCAGAGAAGAGATGCTTCATCTCCGCGCTACAATAGCGAGTATTGAGCGGGGATTGATAGACATCGAACTCGGAGGAAGCCATGATAGTCGAAATTAACTGTGTCAACTTTAGTGTAGAGGCTCGGTTTATCGCTGAAAGGTCGATTGTCAAGGGTACGTTATTTTTCTTCCGTAGGAAAAATAAACTTCACACTCGAAGTACGGAGTACTTAACTACTTCTTTCGAGCTTAACTACATGGAGGGGCAGGGAAAAACACAACCTTCAAGCCCACCGCCTGCACTTCCAAGTGTATCACGTGGTATGACGCAATTGCCCTGGTGTCAGCAAATGCTCTGGCCGACAGGAGCATGCATCACAGGCAGGTTTTCATTCAGATCCCCAGGGGACAGATAGGGAGTTTCTGAGTTATTGGCTGATTCCCAAGGCTCAATTTCTAATGTAGCATTTTTGGAAGCTGCTGAAGTAAACAGATCAGTGGAGCTTTGAACATTCAGATTGATGTACTAACTAGTTATGTACTCCGTAGGTAGGGCCTGTTAAATTTTCAAAAAGGTCTTTGTGCCACGCAACGGCTGGTCAGTGTGTGTCAACCTGTATATCCACATCTCAGGAACAACAGTCATATGTTCAGAATGCAGGAAATAGGTAGCAACAATGGAAAACAATCAGGTTATATAAAATAGGACTGGAGTCGAAGGCAGGAAGAATGGCCCTCGAAATGTACCCAAAGCGGCCAAACTCCTTACACACAAGCAATACTGCTCCGGGGTATCTCGTTATTCCGAAAACATCGTAAAGGCAACACTACATAAGGATTCCACATAATAGATATTTTAGGTACCAGAATCAGGGGGTGGGAAGACTAGTACGAAGCTGATCAAGCATCATTTCGCGTAACCTGGCTTCCTCTAGTATGATCATAGGTTTATTATGTCGCCAGCGTCTCCGAGCGCTCAGTTCTACCGGGCCAACGGAGTCGTCGCCGATCCCACATTCCTGATGTATAGTCAGGAACCCCAAGAGCGTTGAGCGGAGACAATCCCACATATCTCCAGGTCCTGTACGCTTGTATCGTTTGGCAACTCGTAACATTCGAGATACGAGCCAATTTCGCTCACCATGATCCGATATTTCCCCGCCTGGGAAGCCACCGTTATCCAAGAATATCCAAAGTATAGATGCGATGCTAGCACCGCCGTTGGGATTGAGCTTTCTGACTTCAAAATTGATCCACGCCAAATAATCGTTAAAATTCCGGGAGGTCAAATAGTAGTCGTAAAGAGCAAGATTAAGATATAGCAAGCATGCCATGCAGCAATGCTCATCAATATAGCGAATATCACGTATGCCATGATCGTAATCTGGAAGGGACGACAGAATATTATATAGTGGCGAGAGGCTGTCAAAAGGTGCCCTGTTTTTGGGTAGACTGTCTTGCTCCAAATCCCCGATTTTCGATAAGGAAGAAGGGCCAAGGAGGAATTGCTGCAGCTTATTAAGTGAATGGAAGAACGAAAAGAAATCCTCACAAGATTGAAGAATGCTAGTGATTTCTTGATCATCGGAAAGGGCTGATGTGTCCAAACAAAGTCTTGGGACCATAAACGGAAGCGTAGGGGCTATGTCTGGGGTATTTCCTGTCCATGGAAGGGAGGTACCAACAATGGCACTTGGCGCACAGCTAAAATCCACCCTGTAGCCTGTTTGTTAAAAGGTGATGGTTGTAAAACCGAACTGGAAGTGAAATGCATACCAATAAAGGATCTTTTCCATGAATTGACTTGTTGGGCCTGCTATACGCATCCCTCGCATTCCACCACGTCTCTTTAGTAGTTGTATAAGCCCACGAATGTGCAAGCTTTCAACGCTATCAGCTTTAGACCATTTCTGAGAAAGTTATATATCAGCAATTTCAGAGATTTTCAGGTCGAAAATTTAATATGACAAAGAGAGCGCGTACTTCAATTACAGCCATGCTCGCTGCTGTATATATGGTACCTTCGTGCTTTCCCCAAGGATCATTCTTTAAACGTTCATTTAGCAGTCTCAACGCACGCATTTTGTGGGTTAGGGACAGCACTGTGTCAGTTTGACCATGAACGCCAGCCATATGTTTCGACGCGACAGCTAGCATGGCCTGAAAAGGAACAGGGTCGTGAATCGCAACCCGATGAAATATCGCTCTAATCGGATTAAGTTGGTGCGCATGGCCCATCTTGTACATCATAAGGGGGTATCTCGTAATAACTTCTAACGCTGTGAGTACAAAGTTTATAATAGCTAATACCACTTTGGAATTATACATAAATCCGAAGGGGACCATACAGGCGATCAGCGAATACGTGGCAACTTACAGTGAGGTATAAGATTATGGTCACCCTTTCTCAACGCCAGCGGATAACTATCAAAAGGGTCTATAACTCCAGAGCTTGGACCGGCTTGTGGATCTAAACCCGGCGATCCACGAAATGGTTCCCGTGCCCTGATCTCCTCATCGGTTCGCGGAGCGAACAAAGCGAGTGCGTCTAATTCCCCGAAGTCGATAGAGCTCCCGCTGGACTCGGAATTGGAAATATTTTTCGAGTCGCAGGAGCTTTCGTGGTCCTCTTGTTTAATCGCTGGCGAAGAGATGCCATCGCTGCCAGCTCCTGTGGTCGTCCATCCACGGACCCTTGCCTTGTTCGACTCTAGCCGGGCAATACCGTCAAGGCGGCGCTGATGAACATATTGTCGCATTGCATAGCGGCGAACCTGCCTACGGGACTCGGAATCTGTGACCAGGACGAATTCAAACTTCCTGGGACCCTCTCTGCCCTTGGAGGGCGGAGTTGGCTCTCGATCTTGATTGGCGCGAGTAGGAGCTAGATCGGTGCTCGTCTGCAGGACACTCGACATCCTAAAGTCATTCCCGTCATTGTTATCTGGGCCGCTGAAATCGGGTGCTCTACCACGAGCAGAAGTACTCCTGGCAGCCTTTCCCATAATTCCATCTTCCGTTGGGATTTTTCTGCCAGAAAATCGGCAACCGTCGGGATCACAGGATTAGGGAAGGGCCATTGATTGCAGCATCTAGCATCTGCTCATTCAGAGCGTCTGAAGCGGAATTCAATTGTAGCAATACTCACCGTTCAATGACTTCTGCCATCCAAGTTCCAAGGCGGGTCAGGAATGAGGTTCAGAGACACATTTCCAAATCTGGACAAAGTGGAGAACGTATCTCCACGTGATCATGCTATTTTTAGACACCCGATCCGCAAAAATTACATCTAGAACAAATGATCGAACCCGAAATAATACAGAGTTGGGGCATCGAAAATTACGAGTCCGCAACTATCATCCTTATTGTTCCAGCAATTCAACTGATGAAAGATGCAAATCCCATTCCAGCCTAAGAATGCAGGAATACCTGTGATAAAATCTGTCAAAATTAGTGCAAAAATGTTCACAACATTATTCTCTGAGGTAATTATGGTGTATGTCACCATACACAACCCAGGGGTTGAACTGTGGGATATGTGAACAATTGCAGGATGAATCCCCATACAATCAATGTTGGGGTCAATCAGGCCTCTACATATCTATAGAGTTAATGGTGTAGCTCCTTTAAAAGCCTTTGTCTGTGGAGCAAAAGCACGTCATCTTCATGGATTTCCACCCGAGCCATCATTCTTTGAGCTACACATTAGGCGACCTCCACTTGGGTATCAAAAACAATTCCTTCTCTGTGTTGTTCGATGTATTCTCAGCAAATTTCATTTTCCCTTCCTTAACCTTGCCAGCGCGGCCATGATGCCATCGTTAATTTCCTCTTGTCCATTTTCAATTTCTTTTGTGCATCGATTGCTAGTATCAGTTGTACAGGCGACACTCTCGCCCGATCCTATCACAAGTGATGGCTCGCGTATTTCTTTTCTGGTGTTTGAATGGGCATTGATCTGTTCTTGCTCGACTGCTTTGTTGAAAAGCTCACTCATGTACCCTGGTTTGGCACCAGCTCGAGCTTGCGTTTTGGCGTCTTCCGCGCCAACACTTATTCTGGAAGCAGCCGTTTTCGTTGTCACCGCTCGTGTTCTAAAGTCTTCCTTCACGGCATTTGTCCACTGACTAACCTTTTTCTCTCCCCAGCCAGGGACCGAGTTTATCTGTTCTGGCTGGGCATTGATCGCTGCTCGCAAGCTTCCAAATGTAGAAATCAAACTAGCAGCATCCGACTTATTGATGCGCTTTGGGGTGGTAATAAATTCCACCAAGCTATCTTTGTACGAATGTGGCTGTTGAGATCGTATTGCAGTTGGTGGTGCATTCTCCGACGATTTAAATAGCTCCAGGTAGTGGCCAGCTTCCGCTGCAGACCAGCATAAAATGAGAGTCAGGTTATTCACAACGGAGGCTTTAGATAGCTCTTTCAAACTATCCTCATGGTTTGGTACGTCCACCATAATCAATAAAATACGTAAATCATATTTTCCACCTAATAGCTTTATCCGGGAATAGACATATTCAGGGTGTAGACGGTGATATTTTAGCGAGAGGAAAAGCGCACAAGTCGTCGCCCCAAGGACGTAATCCGCAGGGATATCGGCATATTCCCAAGGTAGAAGGCGCACATGATTCAGAATTGGATTTCCTTTCTGCCGTGCGGAAACAAGGATGGCGGAACGAGCGCTGCGATTAGCTATAACTTGTGGCTTTGGCTGTTGGATTCTGTTCGACTGGACGGGAGGCTTTGCGGGAGGCACTTGGGGTGCGGGCGCCGGTATTGTACCGTCAGTCGCGGCCAAAGAATCGAAATCCGGAATTTCACCAAAGTCTTCTTCCTCCATCGTGCTCAAGCTGTAAACAGTGGCCCCTTTGTGTTGCATCTTTGTTGAAGCCGAGATGGAGCTCGGGAACAGCGGAGATAAGGGCCGATTGACTATTTCTTACAGGCAATTGTACCGTATTGTAACTGATAATTCTCCATACAGCAGAGAACTTTAATATTTTCTTTGAAAGCTTCAGCCCACGACACGAGCGGAAATCAAGTTTATCAGCAGGCGAACAATGATGGAAACACGCAAAAGAAGACGCCTGTCTGACAGCACCAATTTGGAATCGGAGCCACAAACTCCACAGGATGGTCAGAAGAGCGAATCTCCCAAGGGAGAAGCTCATTCATCCTCAAAGAAAGCCCATCGCAGAACGCTTTTCGTGCGATCATTACCCCCGTCCGCAACCACAGAGTCGTTAACGGAATACTTTTCACAATCCTATCCTATAAAACATGCCACAGCTGTTGCCGATCCGCAAACAAAGCAATGCAAGGGTTATGGATTTGTGACTTTTGCAGATGTTGAAGATGCCCAGCGAGCTCTAGGGGAATTGAATGGTTCCGTGTTTGACGGTCGGAAACTGAAAATCGAAGTCGCTGAGCCGCGCCACAGAGAGATTGATGAAAAAATTGGGAAAAGTGTGCCTTCTGCTGAGGCGACAAAGCTGAAGGAAGAAAGGGAGCAACGGAGAAAAGAAGCCCGACCGCCAAAGCTTATTGTTCGAAACCTGCCATGGAGCGTGGGGGAACCCGAACAATTAGCTGTGCTCTTTAGAAGCTATGGCAAAGTGAAACATGCTGTTATTCCAAAGAAGGGATCCCGCCATGCCGGCTTTGGTTTCGTTGTAATGAGAGGGAAGAAGAATGCCGAGAAAGCGCTTGAGGGAGTTAACGGAAAAGAAGTAGACGGAAGGACGTTAGCGGTGGATTGGGCCGTTGATAAAGAGGTTTGGGATACTTTGCAACAGCCTACAGACAATACGGCAGGGAAACTAGAAGATGGACAGGCGGCTGTGGAAAACGGAGTTGATGGACATTCTAGAGTAGAGAACGACTCTGCCAAATCAGATGATGCCATTGAACTAGGCACGGATGTTGACGCTGAAATGGAAGACGTTGACTTCCATGGCTCAGGAGACGAAGAAGATGAAGAAGACGAGGAGCAAGAGGATGACGATGACGAGGAAGGAGACGGTGATGATGATCGAAATGCGTCCACCGTGTTCATTCGAAACCTCCCTTTCAGCGCCACAGACGAGACCCTTTATGAACATTTTACCCGGTTCGGCGCCGTTCGTTACGCAAGAATAGTCGTTGATCCTGAAACCGACCGTCCTAGGGGAACTGGTTTTGTCTGTTTCTGGAAGGAAGACGAAGCTAAAGCATGCATCCGTGAATCACCGAAGCGGACAGAAGAAGTACTATCTAAGGATTCGAAGCAAAAATCTGCCTTTGCAATCAAGAAGTCTGTCCTTGAAAATGAGCAAGCGGATCCTTCAGGCAAATATACCATAGATGGTCGTGTGTTACAAGTATCCCAGGCAGTAAGTCGGAAGGAAGCGAGTAGGCTTGAAGCTGAAGGATCCTCGCGTCGTGATGCCCGAGATAAAGATAAACGGAGACTCTACCTATTATCTGAAGGAACGATTCCTACAAATTCACCCTTATATTCCAAGTTATCTCCATCCGAAGTTAAAATGAGAGAAGCCAGTGCCAAACAGCGACAGAAGCTCATAAAAAGCAACCCAATGTTGCATATTAGCCTTACTCGACTTTCGGTTCGAAATATTCCAAGGCATGTTGATTCCAAGGTTCTAAAGCAGCTAGCACGGGAGGCCGTCGTCGGTTTCGCAAAGGATGTCAAGAGTGGTCACCGCCAACCATTATCAAAAGAAGAGCTCTCCAGGAGTGCTGAACTCATGAAAGAGCAGGAAAAGCTACGGAAAATTAAGGGAAAGGGAATTGTGAAACAAGCCAAAGTAATATTTGAAGGAAGAGAAGGTAGCAAGATCTCAGAAACAAGCGGAGCAGGACGCAGCAGAGGATACGGATTTATCGAGTATACTTCTCATAGATCCGCATTGATGGGTTTGCGATGGTTGAATGGCTACGCTGTGGGTGTTTCACCTGGATCTTCGAAAATCGACCCGGACGAGAAAAAGAAGCGCCTTATTGTGGAATTTGCCATTGAAAATGCGCAGGTAGTGAAGCGAAGACAAGAAGCGGAAATGAAAGATCGCACTCAAAATGAAAAGAAAACGTCGACTAGGGAAGGCTCGGATGCTGTTAACAGCTCTGGAGGAGCAAAACGTGAATTGAAGCGGAAACGAGGTGATCGATCAGCAGATGCACGCAACGCGAAGAAGGCCAAATCCTCAATTCTGGCGTCCAATGGTGCGGATAAATCGGATGATCAGAATCATATCGCGAAAAGGAACCGTATAATTGCGAAAAAACGCATGCTGAGGAAAACGAGAAAAGGGAAATAAGGGCATTGGTCTTACATGGTCCCAAGACACCCAGCTTGTCAATTAGCAAACAGGCTTTCATCTCAAGAAAAGAAGGATTTCCTTTCTGTGACGACGTCTGTCCTGTATATACTCGCTGTAGTTATTACGGGCTATCTACAGCCTCCAATCGTCACAATGCTTACGGAGTAGCTCTGGGCGTATTTAACATGCGGCATCCCCACCAATGATGTATACCCAAAATACACGATAGGAGCAAATCGTATCTCTTAAGGGGTCAGTCTTACGCTCCACCTATATACGTCGATTCAAGAACCAGCTGAACCTGCCATGCCTGCCTTGAATCATTCAAAGACATCACGCCCGCTTCAATTACTTGGTTTCCACCATACCACCCATCGCATTCACGTTTGTTAAATATTTGATGCCCCTTCCACCTTTCCAACAATATTATATCTCTTACTGAAAAATGAAAACCATTCTTCAAGAACGCCCTTTTCCTTATCCTCCAAATCCTGCCATTCCGGTCGGCAATCTTCCGGCTTCAGGGACGAGCGTGCTAGAGCGCGCGAGGCATCTTTTCCGGCAAAGACTGTGTTGTCCACAAGTCAGCGTATATGCGATGCAAAGCCCGGGTGGGATCTTTTGCGTTAGTTTACCATTGTAGTTTCCACCAGGTTTATAGGCGGGGTTTCCAGAGACATCAAAGACGATTCCTTTGATCGCGACGAGGGTCGGGCGGCTGGGATCTTTACCTGTTTGTTGGATAGGGCCATTTGCCCCGCTAGGTTAGGATAATTCTAGCCACAAATATCAAATCCGTGCTTTGAAAACGACAAGGACGGACGCTCGACGTACCATCGGATCTGCTGAGCTCGTCAAGAGAGATGGGATCATACTTTGGAGGATTAAGGTTCTTCACCTCGGGCGACATGATACCCTTTCGGGCAGCCATTTTTCACAGTCGCTTTGCTTTGTACGGGCGATGGCTATGACAGTGAAGTCGACCAGAGTCGAGTCGAGGATGCTATTTCCCGGTGTAAGATAGGATGTGCGGGAAGCATCGCACTACCGGAGTTAGTTATGTTAAATCCGACGTCTCCATCTTTTACCACCGAATCCCATCGCTTTCAAATCCCAATTTCTCAACGCACTCATACATACCCCGTAATCTTAAAGAGAGATTGTTTCTTCGTTATACATTCATCTGGCAATCAAGAGGCCGAATCCGATCCGTTTTGGCGGCGAAATCCTGCACCTTTGTCGCTAACGCTGTCTCCACGCACAACGCTCCGTACTGCCCACGCACCCCAGCGACACAGTCCGCCGAGGTTGAGAAGCTCGCCAAGCGATGGTGCCAAATCAGTTCCTCCTCCTCCATCGCAGCGTCATGCTCCCAATCTTTTTGTCCCTCTGCACTTGCAGGCGCTTCTCCATTTCTTCCTGGAATGATATTGGCAGCCATTCGCAAATGACCGAAGGGCCTGTTTATAATGAAGGCTTCGAAGACAATATACTTACAAGAAACTAGCATACTAACCCGCTGAGCCAAAAGAGTGAACACTCTGGCTAGTGTCGTGGGCTCAACAGTTGAGCTGAATTCCTGACAACTTGGTGTACGGAGACAGGAAGATTATGACGTATGTATAGGGGCTTATCACGCGGGCTTTCCGCCTCGACTATGCATAAGCAGGCACCGTTTATCAAGCGTTTTTTTTTGAGTCGCTTATTTCAGAGCCCTACAAACAGTGCAATTGCGGCCAGACGCTGATCAATGTTGAAGCTGCGTATAGGCTCACTACATTTGAAATCATTGATGAGTTATAATTCTGTGCATGCACTCCAGGCCGTCGTTCTCCGATATAGTGTGACTTTAAAATGAAGGTCAAGACTATCCAACTTTTGGAGAGTCGTGTGATATTAAAGCGCTTCGTCAACATATTCATAGGAGATTAGAGTATATATATTCAATATATATTCGAAATTCTCAAAAGAATCTTCAATTCTCTGCTTCAGATGTCACCGCCTTGACATAGCTAGCATGTTTTTCCTTTTGATTTAGGCGTTCATATCTGACATAGTTAAGAAGACTGGCTTGTGTTTGAAGAGAATCAACAGAGATTTCTTACCAGTCTTGCTGCTTACCAGTAAGTTTGGTTGTGATCATTTTCTATGAGCGACCTGTGTGATTACCCCATAAGCTGCCAAAAACCAGCAAATGTGCATATAGTCTTATGTCTTGGGAGCTAGGGCTCTTGTCACTTTCTAATTCACAGGACCTTTCTATATTAATTTATTGAACTGTTCCTAAGGCGCTCAGCAGGAGGCTTCAGTACAACAAGCATCACTGATGTGAAGACTGCCAAAGGCTCTGCCCTTGGTACTATCCCTGCTGATGGTATGTCAGCTATGCTCGGCAAGGATGAAAAAGCCCAGGTCTTTTCGGACGTTGAGATCACATCGAATTGCACTGCTCTTATCCTTTGGCGTCGCTGGTACCATCTCAAGTGCTCGTGGCGGTAAAACCTATTATCTATCAACAAATGCTTGCACATCAGCCAAGGCTATCGCAAAGACTGTTTAATTGTTATTTGGGTAGGAGGGAATACCACATTAACTGGGACTGGACATCTCAAAAATTTTAATGCTGGTATCATGGAAGCCTTGCGTATGTTTTTGCTAACTTCACGCTGGGCTAGGGATTCTATCCTTGAAAATATACATTTGTACTATCGTTTCCATGTACCTTTTGAATCCATTTTAATAGCTCATCCTTTTTTGAAGACTGCTCTTGGTAGGTGGGGGTCGGCCACCCGGATTTTAATATCCCAATCGCCTCAAGAATCTCTAGTTAACTAATAGCTAACTCCCTAGACTCTCACGCACCCGGCATTAGAGCGAGTCGAGATGTGCAGACTTCTTTGTGTGTCCCGATGAATTCGAACCTGAGCGCGGGCTCGACGATTCTCTTTTCAAAAATCATACGGAAGCTGCCCAACCTTTCGCCGTCGGTCACTGCACTATTGTTGTCATTGATACTTTCAACCCACACTATCTGCTGCTAAATCCTTTCTTCTCACTACATTCCAGCCAGCCATCAATTGCAAAAGTACATGCCTTCGTTGCTGTGTTCAATGGAGAAGCGATCAACCCCTTGCTATGAAGTCTTGCTTCATTGTCATCCAGAAAATGCTGGGGCAGGTTCATTGCAACTGGCTGCTAGCCAATATGGTGCCGTTGGCATGGGTATTTAGCCTACACATTAACTGCTAGTTATAACACTGCCAAAATCATCCCCCAAAAGTCAACCAGCAGTAACTCCATAAGTTGACAGAGTCAAAAATTTTGTCAAGGTTGTAAAGTTAGTTATGAGCTTAAAATCAAGCTTAATTCAACATCGATGTGCTGAGCACTCCATATCTCTGTCCGTAACGCGTAGTTTTCTCATAGCTAACTAACCAGTAGGTCAAGGTTGGTGGAGAAAATTTTCTTTGATCCCAGCATGGAAGATTGGATGGAAATTTACCCTAGTCGCGCAAGGAAAGCTGTCAATTGGGTTCCTTCGCCTCTGTATGTGCGATTCTCCACAGGGGCTGCCGAAGCACCATCGCCCACAATAGTTAGTAAGACCCTCACAAGTTAGGTACTATGTATCTGGTACTATTTACCTCAATGTCAGCCTACTGGTGCACCATTGCTCATCCTGGGAAACCCAATTAGTTGCTATTAAAACTAGTGGACTTGTTGGTAATGATATCTCTGGCTATTGTTACTTAGCAGGGCTCAGAGGGTTCAGTGCCAACACCAAAGCGGTTTGCTAAGCCCTTCAGGGCTTTTTCGGCGCATGTGTGATCCCCCTTTGCATAAGCTACATTTTCCAACTTCGCAGCTAAACAAGCTCCGCTTTAGCCGCAACCTCTGTGCTCTGTTTGACGGTGCCCGCTTAAGTGATTCTAACAGCCATAGCCTTATTCCCTTTGCCCTTCCTGGTGTTGTTTACCAAGCGCCTTTTTTTCTCTGAAATATAAACAATTTTTGAAGGTGAAACAAACAGCCCTTCCAGGGCGAAGAAACACCTGTAGGAAGGCCAGGAGAAGCTCAGCCTCATTGAATTCATCTTTGTAGCTAAGGTTGGACTACACCTCAAGCAACTAAGGTCAGTCTACAGGTTTAAGTGCTCCAACATACATCAGAGGTCCCCCATAGCCCTCGCAGACATGCAGCATTGACAGGAGAATTAAAAGTGTATGCGATCTCCTTCTCAAAGGTTGAGAAAAAAGGCCCTGACAGCGAAAGCACTCTGAGCAAGGAAAAGAGGTATCTCTTATGTTGCTGAAAGAGGATGAAGCCTTAACATCGGGGTTCGCCCTCCAGTTCGGTTGATGCTCTTTAGCTAAGCTCTATATACATTCGAAAAATATGGAAGTAACTGCAGCGAGGAGAAAAAAGATACGTATATTTGCGCTTCATAATAAGCCAAGCAATGGATCTTAGCTAGGAAGTGGACCAGCGACTTTCAAGATGTTCTGCTATAGGAACGATCCGAGCATGACGGAGAGTGGATTTTGTCTTTACCGACAAAGAGCAGATGGATGTATGGAATATTTACACGTCGCGCTCAGCATAACTCTGAATCATGCCCTCCAGGGTTGGCTCGTACTCCTTGAGAATCACCCTGTCCCCTTCCAGCACGGTGTTTGCCTGCACGAACACTTTGCGTGGAATCTTCTTCTGCAGCACAACGGGTCGCACTTTTTGGCTCCACCATTCATCCACGTGTGTGATACCGTCATATAATCTCTTCCCTTCTTCAACGTCTGCAGTAGCCTTGTAGACGTGTAACTTCTGCAGGTATTTTTCAACAGCCGGGCGTCCATGGGTCAAAATCTTAGATCTATCTAGGTGGATTTCAAGGTCCGACAGATCATCCTGGCTGTGCTTCAGTTGGACAAAATCGCCCCCAGCGTCGAGGAACGTGCGAAGGATGCTATATCGGGCTTGCATGTGTGCTTGCCCCCATTTTTGACTCTTCGGATCCCAGAATTCCAAGGCGGTGATACCAGCACGGGCCATCGTTAAATAGCTTGCATAGAGCACGTTTCCTGCCTCGCCTTCAAGGTCCTCATCGCCATTTCCGAACCCAAAAAGTTCCAGAATACCAAAATCGCATCCGAGGGCCATGGCAACACATTCTGCACGGCACTCCTCATATGACGAAGCAATGGACCCAAAAACTGAGCTCCATGTCTGTCCAGGCTTGTACCAAGTAGTGATGGGTTTGTTTGTAATTGGACTGACAGGTGGTTTGGAAACGTCAAAGTTGAATTCACCCGGGGCAGTCTCTTGCAATAGTTTCCCGGTGCCGTGTCCCAACAGTTCGTGAATACCGACCTGGACTTCAAAGGCAGGGTCTCTATATTTCCGGAAAAGTTCCAAATCTTGCTCACGAATAAATGGAATAGGTTCATTCGGAGCCTTTGCGCTCAAAACGTTGCCAAGGGAAACATTTTTAAATCCTAAGTTCTGCCGAATGTCATCATAATTCGGAATATTGATTCCAGCAGGAATGCCACTTCCAGCGAATGTCAAAACTTCCAATGAAGTGAAATCAGGGCTGTGAAATTTGTCTTTCTCGAAGTCTTTGCTCCATGGTAGCTTTGGAATAAAAGACTCAGCTTTTGAAACCAGTTTGCCAAACGCTTTTGTGCGTTCTTGATTTACCTACAGAAAATCATTAGAAAGCTATCAGCTTCGGGATAGGGTCTGAAACAAACCATAGCGGCAAATCCTTCCCACTCCCCGCGAACACCATGAGGATCACGATACGTTTCAACAAATCCTAGGTCTGACTCTACCATTGGCCCTTTATCTTTGATCCAGTATCGCTGGCTCTCCTTGTAGGCTTCAAGCGATCCCGTTTCAAACGATTTAACGTATTCATCGTACATGTTCCTTTGGATTTCATTTGCTGCATTCAAACAAGCTTGCCTGGCATTTTCTGAAATTCTAGCCATTTGTTCCGAGTAGTCCCCATAGACGAGAGTAAGTCGTTTCCCCTGAAGTTTCCCTTCCAGAGACCATCCATTTATATCACCCACATCTCTATCATTTCCCGCGGGATTCTTTTGCGCCGAAGCGATGAGAAGCTCGAAGTCACCGTTTTTCGTCTTTCTCAGTCTAGTATTTTCAAGCAGAAGTTTCTTCTTCTCCAAGAAATCGCCCACCAACGTTATTTCTTCTTTCGTAATCGTGGCAGAATCTGGATAATACGTCGTCATATGCCCGTCCTCCGGGTATCCCAGGTGCATTAGCGGAGGAGACGAAGTTTCGTATATGCCACCGGCGGTTTGCGACGCCGCCTCAAACGCGGTCTTTGATTCTTCCGTGACGGATGCCAGCTGTCTGAGTACGTTCTCCGGTACTCTAGGGATAAATTTTGAATCTCCAAAGCCCTTATAATTGCCGCAGTTTCCCAAGAACTGAGCTGCATACTCTAGAAAGTGCTGTGTCTCGTCCTGGCTGACGCCGGTTTTCTCGCCAAGGGATTTCCAGTCGCCATTGCAGGCGCGGTAGAGAGACATAATAAGATCGTAGATTGGCTCAGATTCTGGAGAAACTTGACGAAGGGTAATCCTGGTTCCTAAAAACGCAGCTCTATTATATGATTAATTATCGTTAGCACAATTCTCAACCCAAAACAAATTCACTCCGTATAACAGTAGGGCAGGCTAACAGGCTTCATAAGGGTTTGACAGCAGGAATAATATCAGTTAAGCCAGGAGTATGCACGGGACATCTTCTGGATCCCTGGGAGGAAATGATGTCGATACTCCTAGACTTACCTGCTGACGAAATGGGCATATCGTTTCAATTTCTCATCTTTCAATGCATCGAAGTGTTGCTTGATTTCTAGCCTGACCACCGTCGGGGGAGAATCCGCGAGATACTGCTCCTTCACCTTGGCATCCATAGTGGGAAAGCAATTGGGTATTCCGCTAGCTGTTGATGAGTTTGAATTGATAGAAGAGGCAGCACTGGAAGATGATCTGGTGAGGTATGACTGTATGTGCGGAAGACACGTGTAGGGTTGAGTTGGAAGACGAGGGAAAGTCAAGGAGGGACGGGCGACCCTTTTGATAGTCGTGCAGGAGATTCGAAGAGGGGTCATTCCCGCCAACCCCAGCCTGGGACGACGTGCACGCGCGGGGAGAAGAATGAACTTAGGCTTCTTGGTTCCAGCCTAAGATCCAAACAGCGACTAGTTAAAAGGGAAACTATTTCAGTTTGTTAAGTTTAACTAACTAGTTGGTTAGTTACAACAGCAGTGGCTGAGCTTTAGAATGTCTGCCCATTAATTTTCTACGTGTCAAACTTAACCCCGAAATACCATCACAGCGTTGCATAGCAGCTATGGTTTTTGACTGTCCTCCCAGCCCGGATTATTTCCAGATTACAGAACAAATTTTAGCCATGAAGATTGAAATCAACAATTCCTTTTCTTAAACCATGCAATGCTTCCAGGGCTTTACAAACTTAAAGTAGGCTCTCGTATTTATCAAGGCCCTGAACCTGGGAATTCCCAGGCCTCAATGGTAAGCGATTATCTGAGGATAGCCCTGTAGATGCCTGACGGGAATTCAAGGATCCAAGAGGAGTGGGGGGAGGTAGCGACATTGGGTTCATTTTCGGGGGCGCATAATTAGACGGAGGAGGTGGAGGTATCGTGAACACTGAACTTGTTTGTTGTAACGAATGGTGCATAGGAGGCTTCATCGCTGATTGGTATAAAGGCGAATTCATAGAGAGGTTTGAGGCGCCCGGTTGGGGATCGGGGGTAGACCTTGTTCCTGCAGAATTCAAGGATGGGGAAGTGGCTGGGAATTGATATGTGGACGCAAGGCTTTGTCCGCACGTAGGCTGCAGCGCGGGAAACGAAGAGACTTTGGAATCTGGTGTGATTGATCGTGGATCAGAACCTGGACCGAGAGTACTCGCAGCTGGGCGACTTGAAGACCAAGAAAACTTAGGCCCAGCATCGGCCGTCGACGGCTGTGCAGAAGATGAAAGCGTTGCGCCCCATGTGTCCAGGGAATTATCAGCCTTGGCAGCACGATCCTTCCCCAGTACGAGCCGCTCAAAATCCGACTCCTCACTTCCAGCAACACCAACATTGATATTAGTCGACATTCCAAACGGGCTAGAGGTATTATTCCGCGACTTATCCCCATTACTTGACGACAGCTCTTGAAGCTTCTTCTTCTGTTCAGTTTCAATGCGTGTTGAAAGCGACTTGATAAGATCCACATAGCTGCTGAATTGTTGCACGTTGAGTAGTGGCCCCAAACTGAATGCCCACATAATCGGGAGGACGTCCAAGGCGAGAAACTCCATATCCACAATTTGACCAATTTGCTTAAAAACATTCAAAGCTGCCATCATGACAGCTGGTTCTTTGGTTTTAATCGCCTTCAAGAGAGGAACTACCTTCTCCTGGATAGTAAATTTGTCGAGGATAGACGTGTGACTGGAGCTTAGAGACCGGGAATTGCTTATTACCCCAGATAACTCGTCCGTCGAACCCATAGCGTCAACGGTGCCGCCACAGAGAATAACAAAAGCTTCCAGCCCGCGGATTTTAATGGTTAAGCTGCTTGTTTTGCTAAAAACCAGAGCGATAGGTGGGAACACTTCGTCCTTAACAGTTGAGAAATCCAGGACTGGCAGCATAACCGGAAGACATCTTAAGGATGCATCCACTAGGCTATGGATAGGCGAATCCAATCCCAGGTGAATCAGTGGCCAAACATCTATGAACCTTTTGTTAATTGATGGCGCTGTGTTTGTGCATATCTCGGATACTAACCATCCTTAAAATCTTTCCCAGAGCAATTATCAGCGAGAAGCCTCATATTTTCCAAGACAACCATCAGACCAGCATCTTTACTAGTGTCCCGTTCTACTGCAACCCCCTTGTTGTTTGAAGGAGTAAATAATTCCTTTAATTGGGGAATTACTTTCTCTGGTACAACGTGACGTCCAGTTGGAAGCCTACCGATGATTTTGAATGCATTCTGCAAAATAAGTGGCAAAAGCTCTCGGTCTTTAGCCTCCTCTAGCAAAGCGGGAAGGACCTTCTTCTCCAGAACCGAGCTTGGAAATTCTGGCAAGACGCGTTCAAGGCCCCGCATAAACTGAGACTTCTCATGTGGTGTTTTCGCGGGGAAAGATTCCAAGAATCGGATGGTAGATACTAGAACATTATCGAAATATTGAGCTTGCTGAAACTCACGAGCATTCATCCGCTGCGCTGGCCTTCTCGTTATAAGTCTCGGGAGAACTTCAGTCCGAAGGCTTCTCGGGATTGGTCGCGAACACTGGAATGAATTGCCTTGCGAAGGAACAGTGGAGGGAGACGATATAAGCCTTTTATATGTGTTGATGCTATGGTGTGCTTGGATTGGTGAGGTATGTGGTGAGTTGTAGAGGGCAACTATTATTAGTCCGAGAGAGAATAGGTCTGCTGCAACGGACACGTTGGAGTCGAGAACAAAATCCGGGGAGGTATAGTCCAAATCAAGCTGAACAGAGTGTGGAAGCTGGGTATCATGATATAAAACTTCGGAAAGCGCTAATGGAGGCAATTGGGAGGCTGTTTGTGAATCAGCAGGTCCCGCGAACGCAAGGCCGGATATCTTCCAGTCCGATTTGGAATTGATGTAGATTGCATTTGGGGTCAGATTGCCGTGAACCAGCCCGGCCGATTCGTGGAGGAATTCAAGTCCTTTGCCAATTTGAAGCAAACCTTTCTGTATTTCGAGTTCGTCTATTTCAAGGTCCCGTCTCTGTCTCGAGCCATCAGGACTCTCAACCACGAACCGGCTGGCACGACCTCCGACGCCACCGGTACGCTCCTGTTCATCTTTCTCCTGCAGCAAACCAGCTAGCGACGCAGTGAGAGGTTCAGTAACAAACATCAAGCCCCCATTTCTTGTGTCTTCAACCGGCTCAAGAACCTGGAGGATCGAGGGGTGTCTCAGCCTGGCGAGATTTGATGCCTCTCGCCTCAAACGCTCAATGACTCCATCATGTAACTTCTTCAGGTAGGAAGAGCTGGAGCGAGATCCAAAGCCACTAGACCGATATTCTAAGGACTTCCTTTCAAAAATGAAAACAGAGGCCGGAGCGCCGGTGCTTTTCTTCTTCCCGTCGTGTACCTTCCAGGGCCCAGAGATAAAAGAGGGGCTTGGGGAAACCTGATAATTCGCAGAGATATTCGAGCTAAAGGATTTCAAGGAAGAGAACATGATCGCTCGGGACAAAAGATATTCATTTAATAAAAGGTATGTAGGGAGCTAACCGAAGGAGAGTCGTATATCAAAGCAATCCCAACGCAGGGCAGTTGACTGATGCCAAGAAACTGCGATATCACTCCATTAAATACATTTATTCTGAGGAGGAGAAGAGCCAGGGGCAAATACGAACAGCAAGCTGCTCCAATGCAAGCAAATTGCAAAAACAGACCATGCTATGATGCGCTATGGAGAAACGAAGCGGCCCGAACACAATCGTTCTCAGACCGCGATGCCAGGCCGACGGTCCTGCGTCGCCAAGAAAGGCAAGCTGGCGCCGTTCTACCACGTGATATCATTTATTAGATAAGCGTTTGCCGAGACTTACCATTCCCAGACTCCGATTTTGCTCCGAGCCGAGTTCCGTGGGGTGGCCGCTGATTGGCCCGCTGGTTGTCGGGGCCCGCGCGGGCGGTCAAAGGGCGGAAAGTTGAACCCCAAGCTCCGCCGTTAAGCGCTGAGTCAAGCTCTCAGTCGAGGCTGTGGGCATTCTTACTTTAACATTTCTCGAGATACCAGCCATCCTGTGTCGCCAATTGCGACCCCTCTCCGCTCCAAAATCCTCTCTGCTCTTTTTCTCACTGTGTGCGGCCCTCGCTTTTTCTTTTCCGTTCGCTTCTCCCGCTTCACAATGAAGAACATCCTTAGACTCAGCCGCGCAGGTGCCCGCTCCCTTTCCGGCAGCCCCTCTCACTCTCCTTTCCTCCGGTATGCGGTCAATGCCGCATGGCAAAGGGGCTACAGTGCCTGGCAATCGCCAAGCAGAAGCGATGGCCTACCCGGCATCGATGCTTCGAAGCTCTCCGTTACAAAAACTACCAGCCCAAAGAATCTTCTCCCGCCAAAAGAGCTCGTTTTTGGATCGACTTTCACAGGTTTGGGCTCCATTGCACCCTGGGAGTGAGAGAGACACGCCGCTGATCCGGATGGAATAGACCACATGCTCCGGGTCAATTGGAACACCAAAGATGGATGGTTGGCCCCAGAAATCGTACCATACCAGAATCTTAGCCTTGATCCGGCCACTTGCGTTTTCCACTATGCCTTCGAGTGTTTTGAGGGAATGAAAGCCTATAAAGGCAAGGATGGCTCTATCAGATTATTCAGGCCCGATAAAAACATGGCCCGACTCAACAAGTCCTCGAAACGCATTGCGTTGCCCACCTTCGACGGTGAAACGATGATAAAGCTAATTGGGGAACTTGTGAAGCTGGACAGCAGATTTATTCCACAGTGAATCTCCTCGTCCATCGGTTAATTTGTTCTGGCCCTCACCCGCTTACCAATTTCTTTCACAGGGAACGAGGCTACTCCCTATATCTCAGACCTACCATGATCGGTACTCAAAGCACGCTTGGTGTGTCCCCCCCGGGCTCGGCAATGCTCTTCGTGATTGCTAGCCCCGTTGGGCCGTATTATCCTACCGGTTTCAAAGCTGTCTCCCTGGAGGCGACGGACTATGCTGTTCGCGCTTGGCCAGGAGGCGTTGGAGACAAGAAGCTTGGAGCAAACTATGCGCCATGCATCGTCCCACAACTAGAAGCCTCTACCCGTGGATTCCAGCAGAACCTTTGGCTTTTTGGCGAAGAGCAATACTTGACTGAAGTCGGTACCATGAATCTCTTCATTGCCATGAAGAACAAGGAGAACGGCCAAAATGAGCTCATCACACCCCCGTTGGATGGCACCATTTTGGAAGGTGTCACCCGGGATTCTGTGTTGACGCTCGCTCGTGAGAGACTAACACCCAAAGGCTGGAAGGTCAGCGAGCGCAAGCTCACCATGGCCGAGCTTGCAGAAGCAGCAGACGAAGGCCGATTGATTGAAGTCTTCGGTGCCGGCACCGCTGCAATCGTGAGTCCCGTTCGTAATATCAGCTGGAAGGGACGACTCGTCGATTGTGGATTGAAGAAGGACGAGGAGGCTGGCAAGATTGCGCTCGAGATGAAGAACTGGATTGAAGGCATCCAGTATGGTGAAGAGAAGCACCCATGGAGGTAAGCCGGACCCTAGGAAGGTTATACGATTTGAATTGAGATTAACAATCTTACAGTGTTGAGCTTTGAAGCGACTATTGCTTCTTGCGGTTAAAATAAAATAACGGTTGCTCGGCTACCTCCTTTTTTTCCTTTTTTTTTCTTTTTTTTTCTTTTTTTTTTGTTTTTGAAATTTACTCTGGATCTTGAAGGCTTTTCGGTAGCATGGCTTTTAACCCTTTTTTTAGACTTCTGATCCCGCATCTACTTACCTGTCCTGAGCATTTGGACGATAATTACAGAGTCACATAAGCCTTGATTTTCATACATTCAAATCCGTACACACCTAGACGGGAATCCTGATGTTATCGTGACTATCCTAGGTCTCTAGCTTCAGTCCACGATTCATGTCCACGACTTTGCCAGATAATCTTATGACTTACTGTCAAGTTCTTTGCAACACACCCTTTATTTCATATTCTCGTTCGCTGTACTGACGCTCTTAAGGTCCACCGGACTAGGCCGCACACTGGTGCCTTGCGCATCCTTCCCTCCCGAGGAGGCTGAACAAAGTGCCAATAACCCGGGACTCAACACCACTAATATTATATGCCATGCTTATTACGCAAGGGCATTTATTTCAAAATGCCATTTTCTTTTATTAACTCCGTACTCCGTACTTCGTACACACAGCCCATGCGCACCCAAGATTTTTCATCGTCCACTCCACTGGCGGCAAGGCCGGAGAAACAAGTATTCCTGCTGATTGAAATCTCAACCAACGAGCCCATTTAAGCGTCAACAGGGAGCAACTGACTCTGTATGACTACGCCCTTGTTACCAGTCGTAGATCATCTTTCTCTTAACAATACGGTTTCCTTATCAGGCCGAGGCAATTTGTCACTGACATTAGAATCCGAGCGGGAAAACGCTGAGTCCTCGGGTCCGAGCAGCAGCAACAAAACCAATCGAGATATTGTGGATATTTGTGTATTTACATATAGTATGTACAAATATATGCAGTTGGTTGAAAGGTGGATCGGTAAATGACTTCTCATAAAAAGTAGAGAAATACATTAAATGCCAAAGCACGCTGGTGGATTTGAGCTTGCCTCCGTTCTACTGTCGATATTTCACTAATGGCTTATCAAAAGGCTGGAGGCTGAGGCCGTATTCGATTTCTCCGTCGTAGAAGTAGCCTTTCCTTGCTCAATACACAGCTGACGAGCACGGTCCAGAATGCGGCTCATCCTAGGGGTTTTTATTGAAGTGGGTAGCCCTTGTTTCCCAGAAGTCAATTTGAATATCGATAAAATGTGGGCTGCTCATGCTTTTGCGGGAGCATCGGAGGCTTGGACTGGACTGTCTCTCGGGCGAAACTGATGAAAACGCCCTATACATACCGTTTTAAATGCACTTGCGTTCGGCTCCTCACCTCACAGTGGCAATCGCGGATATTGGCAACCCTAAGATGCCGATGCCAGGTTGGAATATCCACTCCGTGCCCTCATGAGAACACTCCCTGGTGTGCATGATGATTCGACCTGGGGAATAGTCCAATAAATATCTTTTGATCATGCAGGTATAATTTAAGAAAACATGACAATCCAGCGCAACTGTCGCATAGCCATCCCTGTCCCACTTTCAGCGTGTTACGTCGCTGCTATAGTTCACTGGGATTGTTTTGTCAATGTAGTAATTTCACGGGGTTGTTATGACCTCCCTTCACTCCGTACACTGGAGGGAAATTGGCTTTTGACCCAACCAAAAAAGAAAAGAAACCCAAAGTTCGTGTCGGAGCCAGTATTCCATTCCTGCGGAAGATCAACTTCCAAGTTGAGAGAATATTATCGTGGAAATTGGCCCCCATAGATGCGAGAATTTGCTGCTATGCATGGTCCATGGACGAGCAAGATCTGTACGAGAAGAAATCTCCGGGAGCGAGTGCATTTGGTACGGACTAAAGCTCCAGAAACCCCTGTGAATGTCTGCATTCGCAGGTTCCCCTGGGATATTGTATTTACAGGGAAGGCCGCCGGGCGGGGGGTATGACAGGGGGAGTACAGCCAACCATGAGGCTGCATTGACGTTTGCATGGGTGCACACCATGATGATGATGTGGATAAATATAGAAATTGCAGTACCGACTCCTAGGTGGGTGGCGGCTCACTGGTTATTAACTCAAAATTCTCCCTAATCTAACCTGCACCCTGGCTTTCTACTATGTAAATCTTAAAAACAGAAAATCCCTTCCTATCTTCTTAAAACAGAAACTAGTGACAACACCGGTGGAGATGCAACCATGGGAAGCAGAAACATAGGAAATTCGTAATCCTCTTTTTTTTTTTTAATCATTAGACATCCCAGTGACAAAGCAAAGGGAAAACTGAGGAGACCGTTGTAATATTGAACTTCAGAGAAGGATGTTGAGGCCTAGTGCGGGCGGTAGTTTCTCTGGCTGTATGGCGTCATAGCATCTGAGACCGGGAAGCCATTTGGATCGTAAAGATGATAGTCCCGAGGCTCCGCTAACGAGGGCTGCAAGAACTGCTTAGTCAAGCTGCACTGAAATTGGACAAGGAATATACATACTTCGAGAGCAGATTGCTGATATAAGGCTGTGTTTTCTAGGATACCCGTTCCTATGTAGCTCGTATTGTACTCAAGAAAACTCTCGGCGTGGGCAACGAAAGCTCGATCTCCACCAGAACCTGTTCGATGGGATGGAGTCGGGGCTTGGACATAGCTGTCTGAGGAAAAACCGGACCCATATGGGCTCGTCGCTGAATAATGCGAACTCTGTACTGGATATTGGACATAAGCGTAACTCTCCGTATATGGCAGGGTTGAAGAAGCCAACTCCGATAGAGCGTAATGCTGTTGGTAGGGGTAAGATTGGGCCTCAGTGTGGTGGCTGTTGGTGATCATAGTCTCTCTGGGAGCCAAATCTGTTGGACTTGTCTGATTGAAACCATATGGAGTTTGACAAGCTGGCGACTGAAGACGTGACGAGCGGTCTTCATGAGATATTCCGCCCGAAGGGCTCGTTGTATCACGCTGGGCTGCGCATCGCTCTTCCTTCTCCAGATTCTCCATGCGTTGTTTGAGTTTCTTACCTAGCATGAGTTAGTTCAATCTGACCCCTTGGAACGGACGCTAGGAATAGTCGGCGTACGATAGTTCCGCTGAGCAATGCGGTTCTGGATGCGACGTCTCTCCGTAAGATCTGAGACCTGGGTCCAATCTTCATCTGGGAGCGCGTTCTCGCTAAACGCGCTGCTTCCTGTCGTCCTCGAGAACGAGTTCGACTGTGGCGACGCAGGATAATCGCCACGGCGTTGCATGGCGGTGTGATATGCGTCCTGAGACCTGAAAATGTCCTTTCCAGCAGTAGCCAAGTAATACGATTGTTGGCAGCAGAGCTGAGCAAGAGAAAGGCTCGGGTGGACAATTGGTAGAGGGGAGGCCATGCTCGAAACGTGGGTAAATGAAAATTCAGACGCCTTATATGCGAACCTACAGATGCATCAAATATCAAAGATTGCCTAAAAGGCTGCAGGCAAAACGTGCGTTACGAGTAATTGCTGCAAATAAGTTTGCAGAAAAAGAAAAGAGATTTATAGACAGATACTCCATCTAACTGGCAGGGGATATTGGCCAGCAAATAGCCGGCATTAACACGAGCGATCGTGGATTCCACGGCACGACGAGATCTTCGCTTGATGGCGTTGAAGCATGGTTAAGTCAAGGCACCCAGGTGAAGGGGACGAATGTCGAGGAAACCGAGGGGGTTTAGCGGCCGCAGACTGGGGAACGAACGAACGGTGCTAGCGACATGCCCAGGCCTTCGTGATTTGCATCGAGAAACTTCCCTGCTGCAAGGTCTGTAATGACTCAGGGCGTGGACCACTGGCGGGATGAAAGATTAGTGTTCAATTTTAATTTGTGTTTCAAAAGCGAGCGATCCATTCTGATTTGCCCTTCGGGCGTGAATCCCCAGACAGCGGTGCTTGGAACGGAAAAAGAAACTTCTGCCCGTTTTTAGGCGGCAAGCGCTTGTCCTGCGCGATTTTGATGATAACTCGGCAAGGCTGGATGAGAAGACCCAGGAAAGGAAATCGCTTGAATTCTTCTTGACCAGAGCGGAGTCTGCCTTGCGGTCTTTTGCACAAGAATGCCAGCAGGGCTGGCGCAACGACACGCCGCAGGAGGGTGAAAGTGATGCCAATTCGGAATTGTGGTTGAGCTAGCCGCAAAGTGCGATAGTTCCAGTCTAAGCACGCTCGAAGCTGAGAAACTCGTACTCAAGGCCAGACAGATCCGAGTTTGCTGCAGAACGGCCGTTTGATGTGATCGTCGAGCAGGTCTTGGAAGCTGGCACGCGATTGAGGCTCAGAAAAGAACGCGAGCACGAGCCACAACCGGCCTGCGGCCAATCATAGCTTGTAGCTATACGATGCGCCAAGCCACTGCCGGCTGTCCGTTCAGCTGAGCCTGCCACACTGGATCAGGGGTTGATCTGGAATTTTGGATTCTCCCCAGTAGGCTCACGACGCGCAGGCGGTCTCTGTCGTGCACCGCCTCAAACCCCTTTCCCATCGGCCCGTCGGCCACCGTGGATATTCCATTGGGGGCGCCCCCTTGACCCGCCGCGAACGCACACATCAAACTTCCGCTCCTCATGGTTTTGAGATCTAGCGAATTGACAGAGAATCCGTCCTGCAAAGCGTGGCTCAACGAGGGAGAATTCCGCTTTTTTTTCAGCCATTTCGTCAATGCACCCTTCCACCAATGGCCCGTCTCGGTTAGTTATATTGACCTCATCTCGCACTCTTGCCCAAGCTGGGCTGGACAGGCGATCATTTGAATGTCACCACCTCTGCTATTTTTGGAGTGCATGTAACCATGTTGGAGTACATGCAATTAGCTGCTTCCTTCAACTCTCCTTTGATGCCACTGTGGAAAGAATGCATGTGATCTCTGCAGAAGAAAAGGTCAGGTTCTGAGCTGCCTGGCGCTCGAGCCTTTGGTGGTGCTCTCTGTCTGCCTGTCTTCAAGAATTTTGGCAAGCAACAGCCAGATATGACGTTTGCCCCGTCCAAACTTCACCAGTCCTCAAGTTACACCTACCGAAAAGCGACACCAGTGACCAATTTTGATACCAGCTTGATGCCCTCAGGGAAGAGGCACCGGCCGTGCAATTTATTGACAAAAACGAATGAAAATTCTTCCATTAGGCCTGGCGAAAGTTTGGACAAAATCTTCAAGCACCGTCTAAAACCAACAGAATGGAGAGATCCTTCTTCGGAATATTCTGATCAGAGCCGCGATGAATCATCAAAAGAAAGCAAAATACGTCATAGTAATAGAAAATTGCTTTAAACAGTCCTATGGCTCATGATGACATGTATTTTTTTCCCTCTTCCCAAGAATGCTCAATCAACGCAACACCAAAAAAGAAAAAAAGAGGTAAAGAAGAACGGGTGGAAATGCAGAAGAGCGTATAGATACTTCGTTCGGCGGGATGCCGATTAGAGGTGACACATTTCTTCAGCTTAAAACCAATAACTTATCAAAACCCAGGTGTTCGGAAACGGTGGATAATATCGTGAGTGGGTAGATATAAACCGAACACTCCTTGCTATCCCGCTTCGCCAGCCCCATTTTTATTCATCGAGCCAGCAGCCGCAGAAGTGCCGACTCTTCGTTTCCGGATTGGCGCCTTCTTCCGTCGGTTAATCGCAGCCTGCTGAGGGTCCACAGCTCCCATTTCCGTATCACCATCAGCGTCGCCCGAGTCACGACGGGCTGCGTGGTAAATAGCACTCTCATCGAGTTCATGTATATCTTCCGGCTTCATTCTCAACCATTTCATTCGCGGGCCTGATTTGGCACGTTCTGAGACTTTAAATCCATATATTTTTGGTTCATATATTTTGCCTTGTCCTAGTCCGGGGGCCAAATTATCTGTCATCACGCCGTTGATCTGGATTGGCTGTCCCGCCGCACCCTGTGGCGTTTTACCGCTGCCTGCCGCCGGCAGACTGGTCACGGGTCCGTCCGCTGGGCCCGAAACGTCAAGTTCGGGGAACGTCATAAAGAAAAGACATCCAAATGTTGTGCCAAAAAATGCGCCATCAACAGTTTGAAATCGGCTGTTTGGAGGTGTGTATAGATCCTGGCAGCTCGGACAATATAATTTGACAGTGTCAAGTCCAGGGGTGTCTGTTCGTCCAACCGGTAGAACCCTGCATCCATTGCAAAAAACTCGTGGGCAAACTCCAAAATCTTGACGTTCATATTTTTCCAACATTTGTTGAATACCCTGGCGTGATGTGATGTAACGTTGGTGGATCAGCCCGTATAGAAGTTCTGCTGAGGTTTCGATAGCGCTGAGGTCACTCGCAACTCTTACATGCCTTCGCTCACTTGATCTTATATAGTCACGGTCGTCGCCTAGTATAGCATCTTCATCCTCATCATATTCGTCTTCGTCTTCATCTTCGTCATCCTCCGGCTCCACATCTAATATCATCTCCAGAGCTTCCTTAAACTTTGGAACCTGCGATTGCAGTCCCGTTAAATTGAAATCATCCTCGATGAATTCTTCGGAAACCTCCGCAAAATACTCATGTCCCATGAGGGAGCAAAACGCAGTTATCCATGACTCCGTGACTCCTGAAGAGATCGACATGGTGGAGAATCAGCGATAGGTTCGCTAAGGCGCAAAGCGCAAGGCGCTGTGCTGCGTGGGCGAAGCCGAAACTGGCTTTGGGTGACGAAGCCGTCGTCCTCAAAAGGATTTTTCAACGTTGAGGCACTTAGGGAACGACAAGAGCAACAGAATCAGGAGGATTTGCGAATGCGCCCTATACGTAAAATCGGGCAGCAGTGAGTGCAGGAGGTACAATTCAATGCGCGTCACGGCGCTGAAGGGAGGGAGCAAGAGTAGGAAGCAAACAATCACAAGAGCCGGGGTCCCGGCGCGATTATGATTTGCAAAGCTCTGGCTGAATTATATGGCAGGATACTGACAATAGGAAGTGGAGCGATAGAGCGAACAAGAGGTGCTAGTCAGGTAAGGGTCCTGCACTGCATCCAGATTTGGATGGATATAAGTGCTATAAAGGTCTTAGAAGAAGTGACCTGATACAGAAGATACCAATGGGCTCAAGCAGCAACATGGGGGTAAATTGCAAGACAATCAACACACAGTGCCCAACAACGAAAATAAGCATAACGGTGAACCCTCAAGATGTCCCTCTTTCCTCATCCAGTGGGACATTCAGGTCTCATCACGTGATCAATCCAGCCACCGATGCCAAGCCACTAGCACGACCGTGCGAGAAATTCGGACATGGCGACAGAATGAAGGAATGCACCGTCCGGCCAATGATGAATGGAAAGTATTGATGGAGAAGGAGATGATATCCTTTAGTTGTACGGACTGTGGATAACAATATCTAAACCGAAATGGCTTTAAACAAATAAAAGAAAAACAACCAGGCGAGAAGCAATGTTGTTCCTCGAGACAGACTATGCTGCTCCTACCAATACACCCCAAAGCCATGAACAAACAGATATACTTCGCTACCTCAAATACAGTTGGTTGTATGACAAATTTGATCGGCAAGGATGTCAAAACAAGTCTCGTACAATCCGTGAGAATTCTCCTTCGTTAGCAAGCCCGGCTGGGAGCCCTTCGGTAATATGATGCAATTCACCTTCGGGGTGCACGAATTCCCCGTTCAGTCCCTCCCCACCCCCAGCGTGGAGATAACCTCCGTATGCGCCCATAGCTTCGAAGAGATTTGTCAACTCATTGCTCATCTGAAGTCCATTCACAGGGCTGTTGCCCAATTCATTATTGGCGTTGACTCCAGCATAAGTCGCAGACAAAACTTCCATCGGATGACCTGCTAGTCCGGCCATCGCTACAGCGGCGGTAGAGTGTGGGTCATTAGGTTCCGATCCAATACTTCGCGGGAATAGGCCTAGCTTTTCTCCAATCTCCCGAAGGCCTTTGATTGTCTTCCACAACCTCTTAGACACATAGGACTTCGTGCTGATGCCCTTGACCAAATCCAACGCCATATAAAATTCATCTCGCACCTGCCGGTTGAACTCGACAGGAGCATGAGATACCGCCAAAAATAGGACGGCAAGAGCAGCAACAAGGAAATAATTAAACAGCATCTGTTGCGATCGGTAAATATCTGTCGTTTGGTTGAGTCTGGTCAAGACACGAATCGTGTCCTTGGCAATGTCCACGACAGTTTGTGCATATGGCATATTTTCCATGATACTCGTAGCTGAGTGCAAAACTGGGCGATATATGAGAATCCTTAAATGGTTGCCACGGATGTGTAACAGCAAGCGTAGACGCTGTACTGCCCTACTGACGGGCTCCGAATTCGGGGAGGGCTCAACAGAGTAGAATCTAAGGCCTTCAGGGACGTGTTTCATCCATTGCAAGACTTGATAATCCAAAAACTCGATCTTATCTCGCTTTATTGCTGCCGCTCCCTCGGAACCAACTCCAGAGTACCAGATCTTCGAGCTAAGTCGGCAATATGCAACCATCGACCTTAAGTATGGAGCAGAGTCATCCTTTGTTTTACGACAATTAGGAACCAACACATTCAATACAAAGTATTTCAAAGAAGCGACTCACCGGCTCCGGCAAATATGGATCGATATCTTCATCTTGAATTGTAAAAGGCAGCCCGGTTCCAATACTCCATCGCCGGTCTAAACAATAAATAGACCAGAAAAGTTTGTTCACAGATATCAACTCTTCCTCGTTGTTGAATGCCTTCAAGACAGCATCTCGACGATGCAGCCCTATTTCAACGCACATTCGTGCTGCTATCCCGATCAAACGATACGCCAAGGCATCATTGTCCGTGTGGAAGTGGTAGGTTGCCTAAGGTTCTATGAGCCTTCGCCGGACGAAAATCATCGTAAAATATAACCATGCTTACCACGAGAGCAAGAAGCTTTATGGTCTTTACATCACCAGGCTCCCAGAGGTTGGCCTCCACGTTATGTTTTACACTGTTGTAAAACCTTGCGCCCAATGGGCTTTCCCCGTTGCCTTCGACAATAAGAGCAACCGCCAGCACCATCTTCAGATTACTTGTGTCATCGTCGCTCAGGCAGTCGGCACCCGGCTTAAAACGCTTAGCAAAGCCTGTCCGATCAGCAGCCTCGAGGAACGTAAACAGAAGATTGGTTTGTGTGATAAGCTTCTCGATATCGAATATTGGATACATGAGACCTATTTCTTCCTCATAATTTCGACATAATCGAATGGCCTCTTCTCGCTTGATGACCCAGAGTGGATCTTTGTTCGGGTGAGCAAGCAGCTGTGGGTAGGCTAACGCTTGTTGTGGAGGGGTTTGGGCGGGAGTCGCATCCTGCGCTGTGAAAAGCTCGTGTGTTCCATCATCAACAGGCGCGATGCCCATGGTTTGGAGGCTTGATTTAGCGACATCGAAATTGAATGCCGTGCTCGTTGGGCCATGGAATCGTGGATGCTTCGAGCGGGGCTTTGTCGGTGGCACATTATGCCCATCGTAAACGGGAGGCTGCCCGGATATCGATCGTGATGCTTCCCGACTGAACTGGCTGGGGTCAATAGGGGTAGACTCCGATTTACGATAAAGCTCGGTGATATTGGAGAACAATGTATTCACTTGTTCCTGTAGCTGTTCGATATGTTTTTTCATAGACCGGAATTCTCTGCATTACACACAAAGGTGAAGTTAGACGACAGCTATAACAGTAGGGCAATTGCAGAGGAAGGTATGAGAGGCATTCAACCAAAAAAAAAAAAAAAACTTACTCGGACTCTTTGAAATTACTACTACAACAATTTGGCGCATAGAGGCCTGCGAAGCACTTTCATTAGCCATGCAAATGTGGAAAACAAAAATTCAACGAGCAAAACCATACATTCCAGGCCCAGGTGTCCACAGCGCTGGCAGGGCACCTGGCCATTGCATTTGATCTTCCGACGCTTGCATTCGTTGCTACACGTCCACAGTTAGTTGCAAAGCCACGAATAGCTTTTTTTGATAACTTTGACTTACCAAGCCAAGGAGATGTATCGATTCCGCTTTGTCCGCGTCTGAGTTCCGCTGTTTGGTTCCGCCTTTCGCTTTGTTTCACCGGTGCTGTTGGCGGGTGGGGGCTGAGTCTCATTGGGAGCTGGCGCGCTCGAGGCTGGAGATTTAGCAGACATTACGATTGCCTGATTTGCAAAATGGTAGATGCCGACCGTGAGTGAGTGTTGCAGGCTTCTAGCCTGGTGGGCGACTCCGTGTTGAGGTTGAACTCTATCCATGAGGGGGTGGAGGGCTCATTTTCTGGGGAAAGCGAAAAGCCGCTTGGCCTATTTTAGTTTCCGAGCGACCGGCAGTCAGGCAGTCAGAACCAGTATCCGAGAACGCAGCACACGAGCCACGGGGAGTGTCGAAAAGCAGCAACAATTGATGGTGCACAGCTTCTCAAAGGGATGAAGAGAGCCCTTCAATCGCCCTCAAAAATACGCCGATTTGTTGCGTTGAACACCTTGACTGAGAATAACAGCCTTGCAGCGTTCCGGGAATCCTACTTCAGGCCACAGATTCCAGTTGTTTTACCACGAGGCCAGTTTCGAGACTTACCTGCCATATCCCGGTGGTTCACTGCTCCGTCTTCAATCAGTGGTGACAATTCTTCCGTCCAGTCCTTCAATTATGACTACCTCGAGCAGTACGGCGACTGTCATGTCCCCCTCGAACTGACGACCACAGCCTTCAATGGCAATTCTCAGCCGGAGGAATCATTTAAGCGATTTCACGCGCCGTTGAGCTTGTTCCTCGACTGGGCTCGATCCGTTCAAAGCTCCGGTCTGGAGGGAACTTCTCAAGTCACCGACAAATCCGCAGGACCAAATGCCCATTTGTACCTTGCCCAATGCCAACTCCTCGACCTAGCAGCACCGCTGCGTGACGATTTCGCAGCCCCGTCGTATGTTACGGGTGCAGGAAAGGGGGATATTTATGACACCAATGTTTGGATTGGAATAGCACCTACTTACACACCCTTGCACAGGGATCCAAACCCGAACGTATTCGTGCAGTTGGCGGGCACGAAACACGTGAGATTGCTCCCTGCAAACGTTGGACTAGGCGTATTTGACCGTGTGAGAGAGCGAATGGGAAGGAGTGGTGGCTCTCGAAGCGCAGCGCTCCGTGGTGAGGATATGATGTACGGTCTGGAAAAACAGTTGCTGGATCAGGAAATATGGGGAGATCGCCAAAATGATGATAACATACGGTTGGAGCAGGGAAAAAATGGAGAAGAATATGGATATGAAGCTGTGGTCAATGCAGGTGATGGAATCTTTATCCCAATGGGTTGGTGGCATAGTATCAAAGGCGTCGGCCAAGGCATTACTGCATCGGTGAGTTTGACACTATTTTCGATATTATCTTCTGGGTGGCATTCACCCCGCCATCCTTTGCCTTATCAACCACCTCTTGCTAATCTTGTATCTCCTTTCAGGTCAATTGGTGGTTTCGGTAGCGGGCTGTTCATAGGTACTCTTCACGGCAAACGATTGCTCCCGGCTACAAACAGATGGCCCAGAGCTCGATTTTATGTTGCTCTAGCTTGGGAGGCCTTTGACTGGCTATTTCAAAGCGGTAGTAGATTTCCTTAACTGGGAAATGAGTCTTGAGGCCCTGAGTCTACTAGGGGCCTAACACGTGGGTACATGTCAGGCCACTGATCATGACCACGGATGTTGATCCTCCTGGGTGCAACCAACATCCCCACTTTTAAACATCATGTAATCAGAGGAAATATGTATATCATGTTAGCAGAATAATACATATAGTTATCTTGAATTTTACCCTGGAGTCCGCCATGCTCATTAATAATCAAATTCAACCAGAATCCTGTACGCGTTTGACATTGCCAACAGAAAATGACGAAGGATCGATGCAATGAATCTCTATTCTGTAAGTAGTTCCCAGCGTATCCTTGGCGACTAGTTGCGCCCCGCATCGAGTCGTTCCCAACTGCAAAACCAAATTGCTTCCTAAATCTACCCTATAATCGTTGAAAACTGGTCAAAATTATGCTGTCCGCCCATCCTCTCCATTCCATAAAAAGTTCGCCGCGTACGGTGGGTTTTGATGCGCCGTTCAGGATATCGTCTAGAAATCAAAACATCTTGTCGAGGATCTTTTCCACTGTGTTCCTGTACCATACCACAAATCAGTACTCTAATGGTGAACACAGATTGCTTCGAGTAGGAAGCGGTATGGACAACTGCAGGCCGGTGAACGGGTACGAAGAGATTCTTACCTCGGTGGCTGCGGGACAAAATTTCTCGTATACTCTTCAATCTCATCTAGATCTTGCATCAGGTCTACTTCCGTTGGCTTGAGAAACCTGGTACGTTTGAAGACTTTCCAGCCAATAAACAGGAATGGAACAACAGCGACCATCGTATACGAGAACAGAAAAGTCGGTACGTCCCATTTACCAGGCAAGAAGACGGTGTATCCACCCACAACTGCCATAATAGCACAACCCACGAAGGCGTACCACGCTAGGAACGGTTGCCAAGGGGACTTGAATGGCAGGGAATCGCGAGACAGGCCCTGCGCATCGCATGCCTTCTTAAATCGAATGTAGGTGAACGCCATTATTGAGAAGTTGATCAGCTGAGACGCCGTGACTAGGCTGACAAACCACTGCAACACTACACCGGCGCTGTTGGAAACTTGAAGAAAGCTCAATAGGGCGATTAGAAGAACGAGCATCACACAATACGTCGGTACTCCGTTTTTGGTGCAACGAGTGAAGATTCGAGGTGCTTTGCCCTCGAGGGCAAGACCGTAGAGGCTCCGACTGGCGCAGTAAACGTAGCTATTACCTGCGCTGAATGCGGCCATGAGAACCATCGCGTTCACAATGTGCGGGAAAATCGGGATCTTCAGCCTGTTCATTGATATGACGTACGGGGATGCAGCAGCACCTGGGAGACCTTTGGTAAAAGCATCCTTCATAGTCGGGTCGTTGTAGGGTACATTGATGCCTACAGCCAAGCTTCCCAGAATGAAAAACGACGTTAATCGGTAAAAGACGGCATTGTACGCTCGGGGCATTGACTTCCGCGGATTTTCGGCCTCACCGGCAGCCATTGACACATAGTCCGGGCCGGCAATCGTGAAACTCGCCTGAATTAGGCACTGTAAGAATCCTAGAAACCTGCCAAGATCTCCCGTCTTATGTAACTCTGCAAAGCTCCCTGGGTCACGCCAGTACCGGAATCCAAAACGGTCCCCGATTGGGTTGCCCCCAAGCATGACAATGAAAGTATATATGATTAATGCGATGATGAGTAGGGCTTTACCTATAGCCAGCCAAAATTCTGACTCCCCGTACCAATGAACGGCGAAGAAATTGATTATCCTAACTATAGTCAGCAAGAATCCAAATTCTTCGCTCTTGCATAAAATCAAGTTGAACGGACGCAATAAAATATCCGGTCGAGCAGGGAATGGAGAGCACGCACGCATAGATCACAATTACGATCGAAATAATGACCGCAGCAGGAACGATATCGCTCCAGTAATGGATGATGAAGTTGCAAGCAACGATTTCAAAGGGCACCATGGCAGCTTCGAAGACGAAAAAATTGTATCCGGCGGCAACGCCAAACGCCTCGTCCACGTAGCGACCAGCGAACCGGATGAAAGGTGAAGAGATTGGTAGATATGTGACCATTTCAGCCATGCCTATTCTCCGTGTCACGGGATCCATGTCTTAGCACATATATTTCCAGCGGGTAATGTTAAGGAAGGAAAAAGGGCGAATAGTCCACCCCCCAAAAAAAAGAGGTGTTTGGGCCACTGGAGAGACAAGTGCTCCGGGAAACCGCATTTGGGCCTGTATGGAATGGTGCTTATTGGAGCATCGTGAATACCGCGATGTCATCTTCGGGGTTGGGAAAGAAAACCGGGGTTCACTTGGAGTCAGAATGAACGGAGGGAGTTGCCATACACATAGTAACAGCCAGAATAAAGGTACTCCTAGTTTTTCACGATCGGTATGAGATTCCAGTTGTTTCAAGTGACAGAAAAGAAATGCACAAGTTCATTGCAAGCTTCTATCGATAATCTCTGGTTTGGCGGATTCCAATCCAATGAAAGAAATAAGGTCGCTCTGCATTCAGTAGCCCGGCCTTTCTTACCTTAACTCTTAAGTAGTTGAACATAAGAGCCTTTCCGACCTAGACATTTGCAAATGGACCATACGATAAAGATCATGAGATAAACTTGTTGTCTCTGTATAAACAACAATAAATCATAGCTTGCCAAAGCTAATCATAAGAGAAATTACATAAAATAGACAAGTGGAACAAAGAAAAAGAAGAATGGTGATTTTCCTCAGCCAACTGAGGTCGATCTTAGGAGTAGACGTACCATAAGGTGAAGGCCATGAACAAATTCGCGGGCCCACCACTCATCAAGCCGGTGCCTATCTGGACAAACAGAGCCGTTCCAATTGTTCCTCCGATTCCGATTAGCTGGATATGCCTGGGCTTAAGCTTGCGATGGGTATGGTCCGCGGACGGCTTGAAATTCGCATTGCTCACGGACTCACTACTCCCAACGGTGGCGCTCTTGGGATCAGAAGCCCGGCGGATGGTAAATGACGAATCCACGTGCTTCTCCAGGTCCGGGGATTCTGATGTCAGAGAAACAGATTTCACCGCGGTAGAGACGGCACTGTGGGGTGTGGGAGCCCTGTCTCCCTCACGGCCCATATTGTCGATGGTTGTGGGGAGGTGCAAGAAGGAAGCAAGGGAGGTAAAATCCTAGGTCCAGACCAAGAAACGAGAGACACAGGGAAAAGAATTAACGAAGAGATCTTTGCAACAGTGAAGAGAAAAATTCTCTTCTTTAAGAGATAGCACTGAGCAATTCATCGTGGGGGGCCCCACCTCTGCGATTGGTTCAATGACAAGAGGCAAAAGGCTTGTAAGGTGTGGTTGAAAGGTGTCAAGGATATATGCTATGCAGGCATGAGAGGCGTGGAAGATGGCAAAAGGAGATGGTAGCGACGATCAGGTACCTTTTGAAGGCGCGAATACCTTGAGACAAGTGCGCACCTCTCCCGACAATCATGACGTTGTATACTAGCGGCCATTCGACGGTTCAGAACGAGGCCGACCCAAGCATCAGCCGCAGCTGCCGCCAAGACGTAACCTCACGAGGTGCCAAGTCTTAAAATAGACTAGCGTAAGTTTAGAGACTGGTTGTCTGGTTAGCGCCACCCCGGCAAGTGTAAGGTCTTGGGCCAATGCCGACCTGGGGAAAACGGTTTAGGAGTTACACGGAGCATGGTACGGAGTCCACTCGCCAACAGGCGCCGCCGTGCCCCCCCTTGATTTCTTGATCTCGTGAATGGTGCAACGCTTCCAGAACGATATCCTGTTCTTTTGCTTAGATACCTGGAGACATACACTACTGGTGCTCAAAGCATCATTCCAACTCCACGGCTTGAGGAATGGCAGGAAAGTTCAGTGATGAAAATATTGTGTACACTCTATTTGTAAAGCCCTTTTATACTCCGTACTCCGTACAGGAATCCTGAAAGGAATTGCATATGTGATCATCATGGGTCGTATTGCTTTTTGGTCACAGAGAGAAAATAATAGGTACACACTACCCGGTCCAAACTTTGGTCTGTTCTTCTAACTTTTTTTTTTTTTCTCCACAGCCAAGAGTGTCTTTGGCACTGTTTTACAGGTGAATGAAACAAAGGTGAGAGTCCCAATTCCACTCCTAGCTCGTAGAAGAGGCAGGAAGGAAACCAATATTTAGCAATGGGCCTCGAGGCCATGGTCAAGAAATCGGACTATCGCTAAAAGTGGGAAGACCAAGGGTGGTAGAGCTGCGTCCGACGTTGATGGTAGCCGAGCAGTAACTCTCCATAAGAATTTGCTTCTTTTGGGTCATATATTAGGCCAGATTACGGCTCGTCTCACTCGTGACGGAAATTTCGGTCGCCACTCGAACCTCGTTGTCGGTCATTATCAAATAATAAAAAGAGTAAGTCATTTAGATACTGCGTTTTTTTGGATTTGGAAGCTCGATGGGCTCCTGGAATTAAGGCGTTAGAAAAGCTGAAGTTCGACGGCCCGACCAAAACAAACGCAAATACACGATGTTAGGAGACATACTGATTGAGCCCGTCTTTTTCTTCCTCCCTCTCGGGCCTCACATGGAGTTGTTGGCGGCGAATTTGCTTCCGTTCGACGTTTTAATCCCAGGCACACAACATTCTTGAACCCCTTGACATGTATCCCGGAATTTATATGGATCTCGATCGGACGGGACATTCCAGTCTCCCGATCATTCAAAATACCGGAGGCTTTCATTGCTGCCATGACTGACGAGGCAATCTGGGCAGATTTCACTTGTCTTTGTTGCTGGAGCTGCTGCATCGCGCCACTATTGGAAACTGTTGGCCGGAGCTCGGATGGAGCAGTCTTTCCATTTTCGAGATTTGGCCCAAAGGATGCCGGAATTGCGATGGTGTTGGCTTGGCCATCAACGACGATTGAAGAGTCAATCTTCAACACAATCGGGGGGAGTGGATCTTCCTCCTCGTCGTCGACGTCCAAGTCATCGTTGGTTTGAACGGCAGTATATGGGGGAGGTGCGGCGGGCAGCGCGGGTTGATTCTGAAGACTTGCCAAAAATTCCGCCAGTTTCAGATTCTGGTGGTTAATGGAGTTCGAAGGAGGAAGCATCTTGCTGAGTATGTCAGAAAGATAAGACGTGTGATAAAGATGTGGATCGGATTAGATTGCGAACTAGCGCTGCAGAACGTGCTTGGTGGGAAGTTGGTTATGGTTTGAAAGAGGATGACGATGAGAAGGGATCCTATGGTTAAAATAATAATAATAATAATAATAATAATCTAATAGCAGGTGTAGATTTATATATCCGCAGGGCAAAGGATGGCGGCAGTGTGACAAACACTGCAATATGCAAATAAACCAGCCCGATCAAAAGGGACGGTGCAGCAATGGTTTCGGCAATCCACTTGAAATGGGCTCGGGCACCATCGATTGGTATAAAGGGTTCTCCGAAGATGAGAATGGGTCAGTCAATACGGAATAGATCTTAGAAAAGATCAAAGGCTGAGAGGGAATGAAGTTCTTTTTAAGTATTTAACTGGGTTGTGTAGAGAGGCTAGGTACTCTCTCAAAGGGAAAATGAGAGAAAAAGCAAAGGATAACAACAATAAATAGGAAAAAAGAAATGGGAAGGATGGTACATTGGGACAGGGCTGGAAAATGGGACGGTATTGCGTAAATAACGGCAACGAAAGCAGAGATTGCAGTGCATAATGGAGCCATAGCTCTCCTTCAATAGGACTCAGGACAATTATTGCACCTTGCGTCTCGATTGCTCACTCCATTAAGTTGCATACATAGAAACGATGGAACTCTTGTCTTTTTGATTGACCAAGAAGTCACTCATATGAACCCCCACAGTTACTGTGAGAATGAGCTCCAGGGGTAACTGAGGATGGGGATGACATTCCTGCTCCCACATCATGATTGGACGTCAGCACTGCATGAATATGATCCACGCACTCGGAGCGCTCTATTATTGATAGTCCTTGGGGAGAATGAATAGGTCGTCCTCCTATTGTTCGCAATTGTTGCAGCTGTCAATAGGGATGACTGGTGATTGGCTTAATTAGTTAAACCTTAGCCCACCGCTCCCCTTCAAGCGTTCAAGAACAAATTGACAAACAACAACACAGAGCACATGCATGTATTTCCCCCGGGATATCCTGAAGGTAAACCCCTGCCCACTTCCGCTGCTCTAGTTTCTGGTTTGCTTGCTCGCTTTCGGTGTGTTGGTGTGACAAGAGGGTTACAAGACCCCAGGTTACAAGGTTCAGTGACATTCAACCATTCTTGTGACACTCGGTTGAACACAGTATCAGCACTTGGTGTCAGAACAGATAATAGTGGCTGTGTCAATCAACTACAGTCCTGGTTTAGCGGTCTCTCAGTCAATCTCTGGAGCTGATTGTTACTCTGTCAAAGAATCAGGTATATTTGCTAGGCTACCGGGTCACAGACTACGTATGTAACACCTCGTACAAAGGATGCTTTCGTCTACATAGCTGTAAGGTTGAAGCAGAACACTTCATAGAACAGGAACATTCAGTTCAGTCCACATACCTTGGGGCAATTCTCATGCTGAGACCCTGTTGGAAACATAAAAAGTCTGGAAATCCTCCGACTGTCACCATAAACGCCCATGAAACAGCCACGAATGCCCGAATACCATGCCAAGTAAAACAATCGTCCGGTGGCTAGCGCCGCGCGTGCTGAACGGAAACAACCTTCTTTCTGGTTCAAACGCCAAACAAACCCATTTTGTGTACAGCAGACGGTAAAACGGGTACCTGATAGACCGGTCTGAATCAACTTCGTCCAAAGGAGAAATAAGGTGCAGATGAGGATTTCTCGTAGCACACAGCTTAGATGCACATTATGCGAGAACTCGTCGAGGGGCAAAAAGGTTCTTCGACCACGTTGGTAACCGGCCGTCCCGTTCATATTCCACTCCGCAATTTTGGCAGAGAACCTGTGTAAAATAGTCATTAGAACGTGGAAAAGAAGAAGCCGTCAGGGCAATGACTATACCTTTGGCCCCTCAGGCCCATCTCTCGCGGCCCAAGTGGCGTGTCCTGGCCAGGAGCAATAGGCGCATCGCCAGCTTTGTCTCTCCCTGTCGTGGATGTTAGTAGCCACATCTTTTTTTTTTCCTTTTTTCTTTGCTATTTTAGGAATAAGCGCTTCTTACGCATCAGTGAGCGTGCCTCCTCCACCTCCATATCCCGCTACGCCACCAACGTCGGGAGTACCCCTACCTCCGGGCGTCCCACTTGCTGGACTATTACTTCGGGCACGACGCCGTCTCTTATTTCGTTCACCTCGACCTAGGGGGGTGTCTGGATCTGGGAGATCAAAGTAGCCGCCGGAGCTTTGACGCGTCATATCTAAGCTCATGTTGGCCGTCGACGAGAACCTGGCTGTTTCCCGTCGAAGTCTTCGAATTTGCCGTTCTCGATCTCCCTCACGCTTTTCTATATCTTCCTTGGACAGAATTTGAACCCTAGGCTCCCATTCGTCGCCCAAACCGTCGGGGTCGTACCGCCAGCCAGCCTCTCGGCCGTTCGCTGCTAGATTGTCGATTTCGGCTCCATCCCCGCCAATTCCCACTAAACCACCGCTTTCGCATGCTTCTTTCTTTAATTTAAGAACAGTCTCGCAGATGCCATGAGATATAACGTTTACCCATTCAGGTCCTAGACTGAGGTCTGCACATGTCATCCGGGCGAATTGATCCGCTAGGCCTTGATCATGGAGGAGGGACCATTCGAATTTGTCAGTGTATAGCTTATTTTGCAGAGTGATATCCAAAATAACAATACAACGATACGCGTCATCCGTATTAAATGAATTGTCGTCGGAAGAAGCACCCTGTGATATTGCTTGCTTCCCAGCAGCGTCAGCTTGGTTAGCTGGGGTGGTAGCGGATATCTGAGCAGGTGTGGGCGATTCTGGAATATATTGTGGACGGGATAGTGTGTTTTTTGAAGCGGGTATTTTCTGGAAAATTGGATGCATCGCCACGCCCGCATATTCCTCGAGCTGTTGGCGGATTTGATTACAGACAGCCGTTACCATCATCGGCAAATTTGGCAAATCCAATTCACGCACAAATGTAACCGCATATTCCTCGGGTGTAATGAATGGCTCATGGAGATTCCAAAGAATGAAATCTTTAATCCTATAGGGTGGAGCTGCTTCAGGCTTTCGATACGCTGGTGCCGTAGGGTTTATACCTAACTCAAGGTAATTTCGAGGCAAGGGAAATGGTTCAAGGGGCTGATGGGCAGGAACTTCAAGATCGATGCGAATAGGAACCAAGTTGAGAGGTAACAGGCCATAGCCTGTTAACTGAACTTCCTTCCTAGTAATGCATAAAAACCTTGGTTAGCGCACCATACGTCTGGAAGAAGGGAGACTTCGCATTACATTGCTTTTGGCCGTCTTCGAAGTAGCCATTCTCGGAAATTTGGCTGTACATTCGCGGGCGCGAAGATCTCTGTTCCAAGTTTCTCCCCTGTTGGTCCTCGATCCGGATGGATGTCCTCCCTTTTGAGGCTTCTTAAGCCAGTTGGTCGGCGCGTACTATCGCTATCGTCGAAGTCTTCTTCATCGATGTCATTCTCCGCGTAGTTTATCGCGGCGGTCCCGCGCTTTGTGGTTCGAGAGGCCGGGGTCTGCGTCGCAGGAAGAACCGGGGTTAATAAGGCATTGGCATATTGGCGGAGGCGAGGGGAATAAGAAGTAACGGAAGCGAAGGGAAAAGACATTTCCTCAGGTTAGAGATAATGAAGCATTTCCTGCGCAAGCTATTCCGTTGTGCCGGCGCAATGATGCGCAGAGCAGAAAACGAAAGCCAAAAAGATATGATGATTTGAACAAAGACAAGATGTTCACACTTGAAAGCCCTTTCCTTTTAAAATTGTAGTAATTGGTTAGGTCAGCATATATCAACAGACAGCTGAGAAGAAAAATAAAATAAAAATAAAAGTAAAAGAGAAGATAGTAGAAGATTGCTGGCAGTGAAGGCTCTCTTCCATCCAAAGGTGATCATCGATGGACGCTAACCTCTGTAAGCTTCAAATCCAACCCAAATTAGCCTTTAACTAACTCGTCAAGTACGCTAGTACACATCTAGCTTAATTAAGTGCAGTACATGTACCCCTGTCTCCTGGTGCCAGGCCACCTGGAGAATGGAAGTTGCCAGGCATTATCTCGCATTATTTGCTGGAAACTCCGCAATGAAATATATCGCAGAATAATGGGCTATCTTATGTACAGAGGCCCAGGAATAGAGAAGCTGTCAGCCATTTTATTGTTGCTTTCAGCAGATTCGCACAAATATACTCTGTATTCCTAGGTTTGTTCGCATGTCTCCTCACAGTTCACGTCTTTTTCCCATCGCACCTTAGTAAAAGGCAGACAGACGCGCCTTCTCAAGACTAGACGTAGCAATGCTGTTGCTGATAGACAGGCACTTGATCAAACAGACATTATTAGAAGTGTCCATAGATGAGACATCCACATCTTTAAGACTGTAAGTTATAACACTTGTATATCCACATCTCAGAAGCTGGGGATAGAAAGCAATTCAAATGTCATATGACCCAAGGTCTAAATATAAGAATACAACATCTGTCTAAGTGTATTCATTAGTACCAAAAGAAAGGAAAAGAAAAGAAGAACCAAGTAGAAGCAACCACTTGGAGATACAAAGTTGGCTTTAGGACAGGTAAACCTAGCAAAGTGGAGTCAAAATGGCAAATATGAGCATCAAGGGATAGATCCATGCAGAACAAAACTTTCGAGGACGTCAAATAAAGGAAACAATACAATAATCTAGCTCTCACTGTTTGAAACAGGAAATACAATAACACTTGGGGGATATATTGAGCATGGAGGAATGAAATAGGAAACTGCCACTGTACCACATGCTGAGGATAGGAGGATTATCATCAACCTCATCGCCCAAAACAGGTGGGAAAATCGAGAATTAAATGCCTTCGTCAACGAAGTCCAATCACACTCTGCAACAGGTTAGTTTGGTAGGTTCAGGCAACTATAATAGGAGGGAATCCAACGTCCAGACACATACCATTTCAAGCGTCCAAACCCTACGGATCCAGACTTTAAGTGTGCCCTCTACCCCTTCTATCCCTTCTAGCTCCACACCTTCCCACCAACACCGTCGCGCGGGCTTCCTCCAAAAAAGGAGCAATTTCTGGGCCATGCCAACAGCATTGTTATTAGCTATATCGCTCCGGATATCAGTCCGCAATTTGGCTAATCCCAAGCTGCATATGACAGCCTTATTGGGCTCTCCAGAGCGGTGTCCCCACTGGTCGTTGTGATTGAATCCGCTAGGACACGTAGGCCGATTAATACTTGACCATACCTCTACATTGGAAATGTGACTCACCCAGCCGTTAACATCTCGATCAGGTGCTGTTCTGTCGTTCCGGCCTCGTCGCTTTTCTTGAGACCGGAAAAGATTCCATCCTGTTTGAGCAAAGCTCGGCCAGCAGCTCGCTTGATTTCCATCATCTCGGGATGGTCAATTTCCGCATGGGGTGGAATCACGTAGAAGTCAAGGTCCTCGCGAAGTACTATGATTCCCGCGCGATCCTGAAGCATATCTCTAGAGGCACTCTGCATAGGGTCGACTTGCTCCCCTTCTGGTGAAGTAGTCGGGGATGGAGATGGGGACGGGATCGACTGCGCCACGGTCCGGAAAAAATCTAGCATATACTGAAGGGATACAGGGTCATACTAGTCAAAAAGCGTAAGAATCTAGTCTAAAACAGGCCGAGGGCAAAAAAAGGATGATTTCGAAGCCAACCACATCCATCTACCCACTTACGTCGACTGAGTATACATCTCCCTCGTGGAATCCGCCCATATGGCTGTCAGGAAGCAATCCGTTGGGGAAAAGAGACAGTAATACAAACTCCGGTAGAGTGAGTAATTCATCGCGTGATAATGTGAATCGAGTGCCACTAAAATCGCTGAAAATCAGAACCCGATCATCGTCCAGACGGCCATAAGTTTCTTCGAAAGGGGAGATACAAACCGTAGATCCAAAGTAATATGCTCATCTCCTCCAATGTCTACGCAAATCAAAGTGAGATATGTATCAGTTTTCCAACCAAAAAAATGGCATTCTTTATAAAAGGGTTCATCGCCATCACGGCTGGCCACTCATCGAACAGGATTCCGACACATACCTCCAAGCGTATTGAGCGGCGGCCCTCCCGTTTGTTGCACTTGAGTAATGATACTCGCTGCCCCTCCCGCAGCCGCCATGACGTATGTAAATGATTGAAGAGGGCTGGATCCTTCGGTGTAAGGAGGAGGAGGCTCAGCGTCGTCTGAGCTTTTCCCTGTGGATTCCCCTTTCTTTTCTCTCGAAAAAGCAGCTTTGGTATCTGTAACAACGGAGGATGCGGCTGCGGGTGAAGAGAGGGCAGGACTTTCCTCAAAGGGCGGAGCAGGCGCGAAAGGAGCAATGAAGGGAGCGCTTGAACCTGTGATTATGTCTTTGACCCGCTCAGACTCAGGCTCGGGGTGAAGGTAGAGCGACGAAAAGGGAGGCGGGCGAGGGGACGGGGGACTCGAGGAGGAAGAACTGGGAGAAGGAGAAGGAGAATGGGGAGGTGGAGGTGGCGGAGGATATGTGTCGTCGTTCTCCACGATGAAGGTGTAGCGCTCACAATATGGCAGCGCCCTAGCAGGCGAGCCGAGTGAATCCTGTCGGTTCGACAAGGCGATGAAGTTATTAATTTGGAAGCAGTAAAATAATGGCCCTTGTGCTCCTTGGCCCCTGCAATAGCAAGGTCAGAATGGGTGCGCTTGAATCTCGACTGGGTTTGTCCCAACACCCTACTAGCTGAATTGGGGTGCTAACGTCTTGTACACGGCGCTTCAAACGGACAGGCAGGGCAATTTGGAGTCAATATTTAAACATTAAATTTTCAGGGATGGATCTGATGGACTTTCATTTGTCTAAAGATGCGCATTGTTGTGAATGAAAAGAGGGCGCTATTAGTGACATACAATTGGAGGTCAAAGTTTTGGCGGTCATCGTCTCCTATTCTAAGTGGCGGTTCTCCATCAAATAGGGCCTCTCCAACCACCTGGAGTGTTAACCCTCCCCGAAACTATCACAAGCAGTCATCTGTTTAGGTGTATTCTGTACGGAGTACAGAGTGCCTGATATGAGATAATCATTACATAGGGTAGAAAATGTAGATTCAAAAGGTATCCCTTGCTGGCACTATCATACAAACTAAACGTGTAAGATACATTTTCAGGGAACAGGCTCTCGAAAACAGTTGACAGCATCTCTCTGGTCAGTTAGCAGAGCTAAATAATAATGTCGTGCGACTCTAAACAATGCGGAGAGAGGCAAGGCACGGGAAAGCCAACCCGGGGATTCACTAGTGATGGTGCCCAGACTCCTCTAAGTGGACTGTTGTCCGCTGCGCTGTTAAGTCTCCCTTGGAAAACGTTGGACACCGCCCCGGCACTAACGGCGGACGTGGTTTCAGAAGAAATCTTCCTAGCACCTTTGATATTGGAGGAAAGTGGCCGAGTATCTGGGGTCCCAGAGTCAGGTCTCTATTGAGACGATAATTTGATCTTCATGCAACACCCGTCTGTGGCCTAGTCTCACCAAACTTACTAGTGTCGTCGTGATGAATGAAAGTATTTTGAGAATCCTCCGCATCGGATCTGCGCGACAACTTCCTCTGTTCCGGGTAATATGGTCCACCTGGATGTAGAGGTTGAGCCGCCTAAGAGGCACATTAGTAAAAACGAGCGTTACCTTCAAGGATTTTATCGAGTACCAGCGTCCGTGTGGGCAGCCGAAAAATTCATGGAAGGGTACTGACTTGGCGGAATTCGTCGCCTTCGACCGTGACCTCGCGATCTCGAAGCTGCCGCATCAATGCAAGAAAATTGCTCTCTTTGAACTTCTGGCTCTTATCGTGACTGACGCTCTCGAGTAGCTGGCCGGCCGTTCGGGCAAGTTCCTCGGCTTCATCTGTAACGGGTTGCTGTGCTGGTATTGTATCTGACCCTATCTTTATTGGTTCCAACGATATCTCCTCATTTAGCGTTTCATTTTCCAATTCCTGGAGCTTGTTCTCTTGTAGTTCAACCTCAGCGCGGGCCTCGGCGAATGCCGCTTCAAACGCTACCTCATCAAAAACCTCTACTGGCTGCGAGTTCTGCGATTCGAGTATATGGGACTGGTCTGTGTGGTTTGTCCCGAATGTGTTCATTGGTTGATATGGCATATTCGCCATGGGGCTATGCATCATTTGCTTCTGCGGTATCGGATTTTGCAAGTTTGGTTGGGCCTGGTTGATAAACTCATTATGCCAGCTCGACGAAACGGGGGCATGAACAGCCACCTGGGCTTGGAGTCGATGTTGAACAACTGAAGGAGATGGCGCTGAAATATGGAGGTTTTGGAAATCGGAAGCCCAACCAGAATTTTGTGGGTGGTGGTTTAACGGGGAGAGAGCTGGCCCTCTTTCGTGAAAGACCGGTGGACTATGGATATCCGGTACAGCTGGGCCTGAAAGCCCGGACTCAAAAGCCTGAAACTCGGGATCTAGAGTGCCTTCATTGGGGTTACGAGACCGGAAGCCCTTGTAATTCTGGTCAGTAAACGCTGCGTGCTAGTGGTTGTGGACCAAGATGACAGGCCAGGCTTACCTGTGTGGGAGTATGACGTGATGATATTCGGTCTTGCTGAAGAGTTCTGTCTGTAGAAGCATGCTTCTGAAAATTCTGAAGCGCATTTGAAGGCCCGCAGAGTGCGTCTGCCATGACCGAACGTCGCCTTGGTAGATGTCAACTGATGAAAGACGGAATGGCGATCGAAAGGGCGAAGAGACCAGGACGGCGAGCAGGAGAAACTGAAACTGGCAATCCAAAAGGGTTCAGGCTTGACTAGAGCACCTCGCTCGTTATCATAATTATCGCATTATACTTAATGGAATATCCATGCATAGTGCATCCAAAATGGAATCCTTCAGATGCTTGGGGATGTGTTTCACTTTCAACCGAGGCGATGATGAAAGCGGAGGGGCAACGGTGTCGGTTAGAATTTCCCGATTGGCTGGACTGGAATCCTGTACTCCGTACGGGGGAAAACTAACGGTAGCTCTCACCTACCACACAGATCAATCTATGGAGTACTCCGTACTCCGTACTGCGACGCCTCTACGGAGCACTTCGTATACATTTACAAAATGCAATAGATTTACAACATAATATTTTAACTGTCACAAAAGACATGACCTGAATATTTATTATTTCTATTTAGTAAGTTATTCATAGTATTCTTGTAAGTTCTCATTCTTTCAACACCTCTTCTTGTGGAGATTACAGAAATTACAAGATATTTTTGGTAATTTATAGCAAATCTTGATATTGTATGTGAGGATTATCAGCAATCAAGCTCAAACTTTATCTATAATCATAAAAGAGATGCATATCACCTATCCTCATAATTAAAAAGTCACAATAACATCTAGCCGCAGAGATATTATGTTGTAATTTATCGCATTTTGTATGTGTATACGGATAGTGGTGTCTTGGTGGGTGATTTGTTAAAACCAGCGCGAAGGATTATATAAGCAGACCTTTCGGAAGCGGAATATAGTTTACCCAAAATTAGTTCTAGATTGATAAGATTAGATCAAAGCATTGGTGGCAGCAAGGGGCTGTGGTGGCTTGTTTGCGACTTTGGGCCAGCTATGAAGGTCCCATTATCACAAAACCTAGCTGGAGTGTCGCTCCATTACCCACCTCGATCAACAGCCTCACGTCCTTTTCCAATTGCATTAGATTTCCTTATAGCCTGACTCGGACGGCATAATCCGTTGCTGTCAAAATGGTATGCCTAACTCTTGCACCATTTCCCTCTCGAGCCGCCCTCTCACTAATCAACTTGGTAGGCACAAGTGATAACCAACTCCGGTCACGATGACATGATTGTACGTTCCCTTCAGTCCTCTAGGTACCATCCTACCAACGGACGGAGATGCTCTCCTCGAGGCTTGCTAGCTATTGCTAAGTCACACGCTAACCGGTTGTAGCATGATGCTGGGATGGACTACTACGGCCGCAGATTGGCGACATGTTCCTCTGATAAAACAATAAAAATATTCGAGTTGGAGGGCGATTCACATCGGCTTATTGAGACGCTTAAAGGGTGAGAGAAGGCTCCGTATCCACTTCTGGCTGTGTGGAGGTTAACGAGGGTTCCCTGAAGGCACGAAGGTGCGGTGTGGTGTGTCGCATGGGTATGTACATCCAGTGACCCTCTGCATCTCCAATATGCAAAGGACTACTTAACCTCATATTGACGAGTGACTTATTCTCCAGGCGCACCCTAAATTCGGCACCATTCTCGCATCCTCCTCTTACGATGGCAAGGTCCTAATATGGCGCGAGCAAAGCTCTGCCGCGTCAACCGGCAGCTCGTGGAGCAGAGTTTTCGACTTTTCTCTCCATACCGCATCTGTGAATATGGTCTCTTGGGCTCCACATGAACTTGGCTGTGTACTTGCATGTGCCTCTTCAGACGGGCACGTCAGCGTCCTAGAATTCCGGGATAATAGCTGGACACATCAAATATTCCATGCCCATGGTATGGGTGTCAACTCCGTTAGCTGGGCGCCAGCTGCAGCCCCAGGCTCCGTCATTAGCGCGACACCCAGTACAGGACAAATTCGCAGATTTGTAACTGGTGGAAGTGACAATTTAGTAAAGATCTGGGACTACAAGTAAGTCTTGCATTATAATTAACCCATGACTATCCTATCTAACCATCCGTAGCCCCGAAACAAAAACCTATGCCACGTCTCATGTTCTCGAAGGACACACAGGCTGGGTCCGGGACGTCTCCTGGTCACCGAGCATTCTTTCACGGTCCTACATTGCCTCCGCTTCTCAGGATAAGACTGTCCGAATCTGGACATCTGATCCATCAAATCCCAACGAATGGACAAGCCACCAACTTGAATTTGACGCGGTGGTCTGGCGTGTCTCTTGGAGCTTAAGTGGAAATATTCTTGCTATCAGTGGTGGTGATAACAAAGTGAGCTTGTGGAAAGAGAACCTGAAAGGCCAGTGGGAGAAAGTGAAAGATATCGAGGAGTGAGGTGTTGATGTAATGACTGAAAGTATTCTCCTTGTTTTGCATTTTTATAAAGCTTCATAATTCTTTGACAAACAATCGGTGCGTCGATCTCATGGCATACTGCAGGATAAACTGGGAGAAGTCCAGAAGCAAACAAGCCACCTTAGCGTAACCGGTTTAGCTGCAGGTTTTCGAGAGCCCAATGCAACCACAGGCAGGAAGAACCGAAAAATGCTCTGTGCTGCCTCCGCAAGCACTAATTTTCCTGCTCGCCTGCCAAGCCATATTCCTCACAGCGGTTCCCAGAATATAAATGGGTCCCCATCCCATTCCTGGGACATCATCTTCCTCCATCTTCCCATCATAATTCTACCACCTGGTAGAACTGCGCCTTCATAACCATATGCCCATGTAAAATTCTCTTCCCAGTTGCCGGGCTCCCAGTTTCCTAGAGCACCCGCATCTAGACAGGTCGTAGCCTTGGTCTGTGTATTCATAGATCATGAAACAGACGCGTTTCCAACCAAGGAAGCCCCCTTGCTTCCCGGGCAAACATTCGGAGAATCCCAAGACTTTATGGGTATCGCCATCCCCAAACTGTTCACCGCTAAACCATTCTCGGTTAATGTCATCGGCGGCAGAATATGGGAACTCCCGTTCGAATAACTCCGGCCAGGCCACGGGCCCTACAACCACGTCAAGCAGCTACAAGTTGAAGAATTAGCCTCAGAGACAATTGGTAAAGGAACTCTTTGTTTATCTACCACACCAAATGAGGGAGTTTGTTCCAATGCGTCGAGAAATCAGCACACGTCTGACGATCGATAAGGTCGTCTAGCCCCTAAAGGGATGGATGCACGCTATTAACAGGTTAACCAAGCGCCATAAGATATATACGAAGGTAAATAACACCTACAATAGTAACCGATCCATTTGGAGCCAAAAGTAAGCCTCCTCCCGAAATTTACATGCCAGCCAAGAGGCGGGTCCGTCAGCTTGTAAGACGAATGCAAAGTATACTCCTCTCTGCTTGTCAAATGTCTCTTCCAAAAATTTCTGATATGCAGAAGCTGCTTCAAATCCATTTTGCCCCCTTCAAAATCGAAAATCTTGGTTCTATCCCGACTCCATACGCAATAGCAATATCGTAATCTTCACGCAAAGAGCGAAACGGCCGGTCCTGGCGAAGAGCTAAATGCGTTACGCATACCTGTATCGCGAGAAAGGAATCTGTCGGCTTGAGAGCTCCCGATAGTCTTTGATGCACGCTGTCACAGTGTCCTTCTGTATGCTTAATCTGCGCGGCCAAAAGCCCACCAGGCCGCTTCGCATTTTCAGGATCAGAAGAGTTTCGCATACGCTTTGGATATAAATAAGGTTTGTTTGGATGCTTTTTGGGCATCAGCGTCCCCTGCTCGAAATCGATTGCCATAAACTGCTGCATCTCTTCATTCCACAGCATATTTGGCTGATAAAGGTCACCATGAACCACACCCATTTGACGCAGTTGTTTTGTGAGCTTGTGCTGGGCTTTGCAGAAAGCCTTGTATTTCTCTCCATCCTTCTCATCGAATCCTTCTATCTGATGCAGGGGCTTTCCAGCTCAAGAAAGCAGTGCACGATTTCAACCAGGCTGTCCATGATTAAAGCATGCTTCAAGTCGACGCCTCCAAAGCAAACAGTGATCTGATTTCCTTGCAGATTCTCCAAAAATGCATACACTTGTGGTTCGTGCCGAAGTAAATCAACTGCTTCAGTAACCGTCCCTTTGCCGCCAAAAGTGTAACCATAAGGAAAAAGAGTCATCGTGAAAAGGGCACCGATTCTTCTACGAATTCACCATAATGAAATGCACCCATCGTCCCGGTCATTGTTCACTTGATTCCGAACAAGCTCTGCAACCTTGGATTTTGGGATTGTGTGGTTGCCATCAGACCCTTCGCTTTCGTGGACCGGAACGTTCGGGCGGTTTCGATCAAGGGGGATTGATTTGCCTAACCGGAAAGGCACCTTTGAGTGCAATATTGAGCTAATGACCGTCGATGTCGCGAGGGAAGGGTGGATCGCTTGGTAGGACGATGGGACGATGGGGAGGATGGAGAAGAGGAAAAGTGTAGTTGTACGCTTCCGTACCATTCCAGAGTCTCTCTTGATTATTATGGGTAGGTAACGAGATGGTTAGCCTATCAGGGAAACTATAGAGCGTCCTCGTATAATGTTTCATCAAACACTAGGTCTGCTTGCTTCAACATTTATCTTTCTTCGTGGCATGCTTCATGTTAGAATTCAAAACAAAGCTAAAAGTACATCAATCAACTGAACTTGGCCCCAATGCGGATGTCCATGGCCGACTTTTCTTCCTATGAGATGACAGTGAAGCTTTTGACTAGAATCAAGGAGGAAGGAAAAAAAAAAAAAAAAAAAAAAAAAAAAAAAAAAAAAAAGGGAAATTGAAGAAAGAGACCCATCAGGAAGCAGAATAATGACACAAAAAAGGCCTCATTGGTTTACATCAGAAACCTTGAAAAGTCCGCTACTATCAGAATGTCGGGTATCTGAAAACAGTTCCAGACAGCGCTAATGAGCAGTGTTGAATCGAAGAAGGGAGAATAATCAGACAAAAGGCTGAGACCAAAGAAAAAAAAAAAGGGGGCAAAAGGAAAAAAGGGCCACCTCCCAACCCACTGTACCCAGAAACGTAAGGAATTGCTCTCAAGCTGAATAGCAGAAATTACAAGTCAGAAGGGAAATCAGTAGAAGTAGAAACTAATTGCCAAACAAAAGAGAAAGAGCGCCAAAGGAACAGATTCGTGAAGGCCTGCGATCAGAATTTGACAACAAAGTAGTCCGGTTTTGTGAGAGACCAAAAAAAAAAAAAAAAGAAAAGGGAAAAAGAAAAAGAAAAAAGGCCATGAAGAACACCATAAAGATTGTGTGATCATTGACATCATTTTCATTAATCAACCAAGCGAGGGAATCGCAAATAATCATCGCGGGTCATTTATGAAGACTCAAGTGTGGGGATTGACAACAGACGAATCGGCTTGGGGTCGACAAAAGATTTTGCTAAACGGAGGGTCTGAGGTTCGCGTGTCGACTTCTGGCAGCAAACAGACTCCTTCTGCCTTTCGAACCACGTCTTTCAGTGCCCTCGTAACAACACCTGCACGTACGACAAGGTCCCGGAGAGATTGGGTGTCAAAGGCTAGCTTATGTTGTCCGTCGGAACCTTGTTTGGCAAAGGCGTTTTCGCGCAGCTTTCGATCTCGGTGTATCGTATCGAGAACATACTTGGCTTTTGTGGATGAGTCTGTTCGTGGGCGAAGGTGCTGCCTCCCATTGCACGAGACATGTTCTGCTTTGGAGAGTGCAAACTGGTCATCGGTAATCGCCACAGTATCAGATAGTCCTGACTGCTTAGCATACCCTAGTTCGGCATCAAACTCTTCGAGGCTAAATGTGAGAGACGAGGTTGAGCACCTCATCCTGAGCTCGTGCTCATATTCCTCGTCTTCCTCGAAAGTGGCCAGACTAATGATGCCTTGTGCTTCTTTCCACAATTCACTCGAAGGACCGTCAATTATATGCATCGCCCTAGCCCTAGCCCTGAGGAGTTTGAGCTCCTCTACTAGCACAGTCAGCTCTTGGACGTGACTAAATTGTCCATAAACACTCTCCTGTCGTTCCATGATTGCCTGAGGAACTTTCACGGTTTGCGTCATGCTCGGCGGGTCCTGGCGTTTCTCGGAAAGATTGGTTTGGCATTGGCGCTCGCTATCCCCAAAATCAAAATCACCATCCCAATCTTCGCTTGCTCCCTTATTTCCTAAACCCCAAGTTGCGAACTTTTTGGCGCTGGGCTCCTTTGGTGCAACCGGCTCTCGCGAAAGTGGTACGCTTTGGCTTCGCAGATGAAGAGAGCTCGATGTACGGCGGATAGCAGTTCTACCCCCACGTAGGTCAAGGAACTGCTCTATATGAGAAGTTCTAGGTCGGGGTTCGGACCCTTGCTCGTCCTTTTTAATCTTTTGTTGTTCGGACCAGTCATAAAGACAGAGGTGAGAATTCTTCTCAGAGTTTTCGTTAAATGCGACGGATGAAACTGGACTACATGTAGTGGTTCTCTGAAAGTCCGACGCGGAAACGGAGTTTGTAACGGTGACAGTAAGATTGTTGTCATGCCGATTATTTGATGAAGGAAGGCCATTGTCATCATGGCGGGACTTTTCGATATTTTGGAGCTTAGTAGTTCGCCTAAGGCGCTGGGCTTGCGGACTACTTGAAGCAGACGATGAACTAGCATCTTTGTCTAATCCGGTATCCGAGAAACTTATCTGTGCGGGCGGTGAACCCTTCTCAGCATAAAGCAGATGCTGTTTATCGTCGGAGAAGCCCTCAAAAGAATGGGTAAGGGGCGTTGAGCGGTTTGATGCGAAATCAATATTGGGCGGATAATTTTCAGCGGGCAGAGAGACAAGTTTTGGGGCAGTAATCGGGGTTGACTGATCAAATATTGTTTCAATACGAGGACCACGACGGATCGATTTGTTGCTTCCGGCTGCACGGGTTGGCAATGAATCAAAGGCAATGTCGCTTTGGAAGTCGGTGTCATCTTCTTCCCCAGAACTAAACACCTTAATATCATTATCAGATCCAACCAACGTCGATGCTGGATCTGATCCTGCAGCTGAGTGACGTTGATTTACACAACAATCTACCGACGGTTGAGTGGAGTTCGCGGTCGGGGAACCTGGGGGGGAAGGGGCTCTAGGTGACGACTTTGAATCAAGGTTTGCATTGCCCGAATCAGCTGCAGCCAAATTAAGCGCCTCGCATCGAAGATTCGAAAAATTTGGAAGATGGCGCAAACGTGCCTTTGGAGTAAAATCCTCAGTCACGGCCGCAGTTCTCTCGAAGTGGGCTGCGGTCAGCTCTATTTGGGACGATGTACTCGGACGACGGAAGACGTCTGGGTCGGTGATGTTTCCTCTTCGTCGCGATTGCACAGAACCCCCATTAAGCCTCTCACTTTTGCATCTACGCGCGGAGTCTATAGACGGCAGATCCAGATAATCATTATCTTGTGAAAAAGAAGATCTATGTGGCGCGTTCCTCGGCATGGTCCATGGAGATATGAGGTCTTCACTGTCAACGTCTTGCATAGAAGAGCAAGGTTTCAAGGGTACGTGTCTAGCAACGGGTCGATGCGCGAAAGGATCATCTCCTAAGTCTGCTGAATTCCATGACTGATGGCCTTTGGCGATCCTTGGTTGGTCTGAATTAACGATAGAATTGCTGTGCCGGTTCGTAGGTGCGATAGAGGATGCAAGTAACAAAGTGGGAGGGACACTGGAGTGAGAAACAAGCCGACACGGAGACCGGGTTCGATGTTTTGACGTCGCAGTCCGTCGCCTGCCGTAGCTCTCTGAACACCTTGTTGGGCGGGACCTGCTAAAGTATGGTCGCCATGGGCCGTCGTGATTTATGCCGAAGGCAGAGTTCCCACTCCGAATCGAAAAATTCGGAGTCAGCTTTGGGGGCGTAGACTCTACTCGGCTATCAGTTAATGAACGCTGGCGCATAGTTGCAGATCGTTGATGGCTTGTAGCCGGGCGGCGTAAGAGAGGCAAAGAAGTAGGCCCAGCAGTAAAAGGTGGGTGCGATTCTGGGAGCCCGTGCGAGGAGGTCGATCGTTTCACAAGCTTGTTGGGAGAGGTAACGGGATGCGATGAGAGGAAAAAGGGGGTCGTAGAACTGGTTATAGATGGAGATTGTGGTCGCGACCCAGAGACTGAGCTCCCATTCAAGGACGAGGTAATTGTCGAAAGCCGTCGTAGCCACGATGACGACGGTCGCCCGGTGATGGGACATGGAAGTGCTTCATCTGTGACTTCTCCCTCACTGATTGTAATTCCGGGGCCTACATACGTCCGACGGCGGGGACGAAGGCCGGTTCTCTCCTCTAGCTTCCTTGCCGGCGTCCTAGGTTCTGTTTGCTGGCCTTTATTCACAGCTGGATGCGGAGCTTGAACCTCTGGGAATGGCTCCTGCTGCAGAAAGTTAGGAGAGGGAAAGCCCGGGTGGGCGGCGGTTGCAGGACGAGGCTCAGCAGCGCTGTTCGAGCGGGAGTGGCAGCGTCTCGCGAGGAGGCTTTGCCTCCTTCTCGCTGTTAATGGGCGTTGTTTTGGGGGAGACGGTCGACCTAGAGCAAAACCCGTGGCTGCAATGCCAATTGTGCCAGCCGCACAGAGCTAAGTGATAGGTTGCATGTTAGCATATATAAAAAGAACACCAGACTCAGATTCTAGCCTAGCTGGTGGGAACAGATAGCAGGGAGACGGGCCAGGCACTGAATTCTGCTTCAAAAAGATCCGATGAGGGGGCGCAAAGCGCGCTTGAGACAGATTGGGCAGTGATTGGAGTTGAACAGTCAAGGTTTGGGAGGCACCTACGGTTGATACGTGCTCCATCTTTCCGTTACGTAGCCAGGGATGAGCTTCGACGCCACATCGATGGTTGACCTGTTCCAAGTTGTGGAAGACCTCACATGCCTTCGATCATGTTGTCGTCGATGCCTGTGGGCGCGTAACGAATTCCCAGAACATCAATTGGAGAGAGAGGCGATGGGGAGTTGCAGCGCTCTTGGTGGTGACAAGGAGGGATCGAGGTGCGACCGACGAAACTGGAAGTTTGACGCCAGCCTCCGAGAAGAGAAATGTTTCGGAGAGGAGGTAGTTGGCCGGCGAGATAATGAGGAGGTGTTTTGCACCAAGGTTTGTTGATGGGGGGATTCTATTTTGGGGGGAAGCGTGGTCGGGGGGTCTGACCAACTAAACCGATGGTGGAGGGAATCGCCCTTCGGCAGGCTAACTACGTGCTTAGCCCCGAGATCTTCCAACTTTAGATCAACCCTAAATCAACAAGAGCGGTTTCACACCAGAACAAGAGAAAAAGAAACATGGGAATGGAGGAGGAGGGTGGTTCAGTTGTCTCAGGAGGTGTTCTCCTTCGCTGTGGTGGTTGGTATGATCGAATGAGGTTGATGACTGGGGGCCGGGCAATCTCTGGCTGCTGATTTGTTTTGGTATTCCAGACGCGGGAAAAAAGCAACAAACCAGAAGCAGGGAATGCAAACAATCCATGGATTCTTGGTTCAGCCAATAGTTCAGCCAGGCTGCTGTCCTGGTGTAACTCTCTCGACCTTCCAAGTCATCATCATCATCATCTCACACACAGAGAAATCGCTCAATCCCAGGTTATTGCTTCATCTTGTCTGCTGATCTGTTGCCTAGTTATTCTCCTCTCCTCCGGGTCTCAGGAGCTCAGAGTCTCGCCATGCAGACATCCACACAGACAACAAGGCTCGCTCAGGAGCTCCAAAACCCACCCGAGCCCACTCGTCGCTTTGGGGTTCCGTGCCTGCAAAAGCTTGGCCCATTTTCATGTCACATGATCAAGCTTTTTCTGGGCAGTGCAAAGCGGTTCATTTCGAGTCCTTCGCACGAACGGACAAGAAGCTGGTAAAAGTGTGTTGAATGTCGCACTGTTGAGAGAATGCTTTGAGACGGAAGCCGTATCACCAGCTCGTTATATTTTCCTTAACCCCTTAACGAGGGTTATACCGGCCAGCTGTTTGATCAAAAGACTAAAACGGCAAGACTAAAACGGAAACTCTACTGGTGTCTGAACGTTCAGCACCCAGGATTAGACCAGAAGGACAGATCTATTCCTCACTTCTCTGGCTACCTGCTGCCCTTAGGCCGGGTAGTTCAGGTATTAAACCTCTACCTGCAGCCCTAGGTAGAAGACGGCTTCATAGCCTTTGCTAAAAAATATAAAGAACTATTGCATCGTTACTCCGATTTCCTGAGGCTGAAGCTTCCCGTCACAAGTCACAATTTGAGGGACCTCTTAGCTACCTCAGGAAGCCCCGATATGTGTTTTTACACTGTTTGTTGATCTCCTTCGGGGAGGGCAACTCCGTTTCGAGAACTCAAGTACCTACCTATATGAGTGCGGAAGAAGCACTTGTAGGCTACCAAGCTCAAAAAAGCATGTTCTTTTGTAAGTGGCTAGGGCACTAGAGATGCTGTGATACAGTCAAGCCGCCGCCGATCCTCCAATTTTGACAAACTACATCCGGGTCGTGGTGTTTCCCGTGTTGACTTCTCCATGCTACTCTACACGGAGAGCGTGGGAAAAAGGCCCAAAAAATAGTTTTTCGACATGTAGTTTTCCTACTACATGTAACCGGCCCCGCCGCCCCGGATAGAACGCGCAGGATGGGGTGAACTCCGAGACACAGAACCCCCGCAACGCACAATTTTCTGCCTTATTTAACACTCTAGACGCAGCCCTCCATGTCCATCCGGACCAGTATCACGTTGGATTTCCTCGTCTGCTAGGGGCTATTGGCTTTGTACGAAAAAGGCCATGTCGCGGATCCGGCCAGAGTTGCCGGGAGAATGGAGTCGCCTTGTGAGTTGATGGTTCTGAGGATCTTCATCACAGCTTATTGCGTCTTGCATCGGAATTGGATTTGCTAAAAATGACCAATTTTTCTCCAATTCAGCTGACTCAATCTAGTTTCTCATCAAATAACATCAAAGCTTGCCTTGTTAGCAGTTTTGGGGTGATCTAAGATTCGCATATTTTCGGTGCAACAAGAGAATTTGTGTTCATGAATATCACCGGCAGAAACTTCCCAGGACCAATGGTGAACACGCATCTGATTCTAACCAAGTGTATGCAGAACTGAATAAACTTTGGCATGTTGCCATATAACAGCTCTCCGCTTGACCTGTGAGGTATTATCAATTTAATTTGGAGATTCTGGCCCTAATCATATTCTGGAGCGCGGGAGAGGATTACAACATTCCTTTGGACAGGCCAAGGAGACTCTAGAACAGAGCCTTAGCGTTAAAATCAACCTTGAAAATATGGAACAACAAACAGTCAGCAAAATTTTGATATCGCGGCTCCGGAAGATATGTTTTGCAATACTACATTTCTGCTCGAATTCAACACGATTCTCTTAGCCATTTGGTACTTTGGGTCACCTGTGTAAAACCGAAAACCGTACATACAATGCCGCTCGCTATGTATGTGCATACATACTCGGACCTTTTCGGCAGCCTGGGTGTGAGTAGCCTTAGGCTTCGAGCTATACTACCAACACAACACCACCGTCTTGATTAGATTGATATTTTCTGCTTCAATGATGGTTCCGAGCGTCCCATAGATAGATGGATCCACTTCTGGGAAAGGCTTCGGTTTTTAATTGTTTCAAAATAGTACCAGCTCCTGAGTTTCGAAAATATATCCTGTTACCCTGTACGCAGGTAAATTGAATTCATTCCTTGGGAGTATTTGGTCGTATGGACAAAATTTCAACAGCGGAAGGTCCACCAGCTAACTAGTATAGATGCACACAGAAATTCGACCGAATCCGGGCGTGGCGACGTCGCATGTCAACCAAATCCTATTTCATCCCATTCTCTTTGTTATTTAACCTTCAGTTTCAACCTCAACAGTATTAGATGGCAAATTGGCATTCCGAGGCTCTGGACTGGGCCATTCGTCCATACGATTTCAGATGGCAAGCCGTAGTTACATGGATCAGCAACCGACACTTGCAGCGTTTTCGTCATATCGGCACGAGACTTCCGGTTATCGAAACATCCAATGATCGGTTCTAATGTGAATCCAACTGCACCCCGCCTTGTTCATCCTTCAAATTCGGAGTACTCCGTACTCTTTAGATTTGTTAATTTTTGTTTTTAACACCCTCATGGTAGTTCTGTTAAGCAAAATCCTCGAGCCTGTGTCAATTTCTCCACAGAGTTGACGTGATCAAGCACCTTTCCGTTATGCTACGAGAAGAATGATGCTCTAATAAGAATGAAATTAGATGCCGCCGCTCCTTAAACCTAGACAACAGGCCCAAGCCTTATACATCCGGGCAAATCAGCATGTCTACACGCGGGTAGCCCTTGGCCATGCGTATCAATGGCCAGAATTGAAACTTTTCGAGATTCCTTCTTGAAATTATGTGCTTTTGTAGCGAGAGGAGCGCAGAAAATCAGGGAGGGTAACTCGTTAAACTATGTTATATTATGGAAGATCATCCCAGTTCTTATAGTAAATGCGTTCAAGGGCAGCCATGTGGGTTGGTTGGTTAACTAACTACGGAGTACGAAGTACAGAGTAACTAGTTAACAAGATTATTTAACATTAACTAACTAGTTAACATAATCCACAAGCGAGCGAAATCTGCAAGCAAGCAAAAGATATTTTTTCAACTTCCTCAACCATTCACTTCAACGCGTCAGAATGCCACCAATTCACAATAAAAATGCAAGATCCTCTATAGAAATAGATGGCAGGATTGAACTTGCTATTTCTACTCTTAAAAAGCAAGAAATTAGCTCAATTACTGAAGCTGCATGGTTATTTAATATGCCTTATACTACTTTATATCATCAAGCAAAAGGAAGATGTGCAAGAACCAGTCTACATACAAATTCAATCAAATTAACTGAGCCTGAAGAGGATCAGCTAGTTCAATGAATCTTAGATCTAG